TATGAAAAAAGCCTTTGTCATGGTGATGATAGTTGTAATAAGCTTCGACTGAAAATTAAATCGTTCTTCTGTAACTATTGCAGTGAGCACAAACTTTTTTTTTCAGTTTTGTGATATAAAACATTACGAAAGTGGTCAATAAAAACGTTAGAACCTACAATTTCAGTAGGCTAGGTTAGGAAACGATCTGTCATCGCCGTACCGTAGAATTAAGTAATATGGTGGTACCTACACAAACGGACTCCTGGGCAGTAAAGGATTCCTGCTACCTAGGATTGTTGTATAATATTAAAAAATCCGTGCCCCCACCAGGCGTTTGTGTGTCAGATATATCCCCTTAAAAAAGACAGGGTAGACTAGGGCTGGTAAGTACATACATACATACATACATATAATCACGCCTCTTTCCCGTAGGGGTAGGCAGAGACCAGTTCTTTCCACTTGCTACGATCCTTACATACTTGTTTTGCTTCGTCCACTTTCATTATTCCCTTCATACATGCTCTACGGTTTAGGGTACTCTTGACCTGGCCTTTTTTCAAGACGTCCCTGATTTGGTCTAGAAATGTCCGCCTAGGTCTACCCCTTCTAACACTTTCATTCACACTCGCCTTATACACTTTTTTCGTCAATCGTTCTTCATTCATTCTCTCGACATGGCCAAACCATCTCAGCATACCTTTCTCAATTTTTGTCACTACATCTTCTTTCAGACCACAACGTTTCCTTATCTCACTATTTCTTAGCCTGTCACTCAGTTTAACTCCTATCATACTTCTTAATGCTCTCATCTCAACTGCATTTATTCTGCTTTCATGTTTCTTCTGCCATACCCAAGTTTCACTTCCGTACATGAGTGTCGGAACCAACACCCCCTCATGCACAGCCAAACGAGCCTTGTTAGACACCTTCCGACTGCTCATAAAGGAGTGCAAAGCTCCATTCACCATGTTTCCTGCATTCACTCTTCTTTCGATATCACTCTCACACTTTCCTGGTAAGTAGTAGAATAATAATTTAAAATAAAAAAATTGTATTGTGTATATGGAATCACATGAGAGGCACCAGCTTAAATAAAAAAAAATCATCGAAATCGGTTCACACGAAAAAAAGTTATGATGTGACATACATAAAAAACATACAGTCAAATTGAGTACCGTCTCCTTTTTGAAGTCGCTAGAAAAGTAAAAAACGTAACAGCAATGTGCCGCTGCAATCATCTGAAACGGGTCATTAAAGAAATGCACCAGACAAAGTGTTCTTGGTAGCCGCCTACCACAATTACGTGAGCCAGGAAGCAATTTCCCTGCAGCCATCAGAAAGCTGAGACTGCCAGCTTCCGCCTGCACTGCGGAAGCGTATCGACACGTCCATCTACTGTCACCCGCCTTGAACTTAAACATCGCCGCATATACTTATGAATAACGATATAAGAAACTTTTTACTGGTGATTTATAAGCATGCATCAGAGAGTAACTGCACCCAATTATTTAACTTTAACCTTAAAACGGCGGAACAATTGCGCGGTAAATTAAAAGATTAATTTTAAGATGAGTCAGATCGATCGAATACAATGCATTAATGTCTATAATCTCGAAGTCCATTACCACGTGTTACTTAACTCGCTTTCATGTGCAGCCGTTCGGGTCGAATTTAGTAATTGATTATGAACAATTTTTTCCGATAAGCCACAGATACTTGAAATTTTAAACAAAGCTCAAAATCGGATGACAATAAAAGAATATGAAGAAAGAAAGCGGCCGAGTGCAAGTCGGACTCGCCCATGAAGGGTTCCTTAGCAGCAAGTAACATAATTTACGATTTATGACGTATTCAAAAAAACTACTTACTAGTTCTCGTCCAAACCAATTTTTGGTGGAAGTGTACATGGTAATGTACATCATATATTTTTTTAGTTTTATCATTCTCTTATTTTAGAAGTTACAGGGGGGGGGACGCATTTTACCACTTTGGAAGTGTCTCTCGCGCAAACTATTTAGTTTAGAAGAAAATTAAAACCTCAATATTATTTTTGAAGAACTATCCATAGATACCCCACACGTATGGGTTTGATGAAAAAAAATTTTTTTGAGTTTCAGTTCAAGTATGGGGAGCCCCCAAAATTTATTGTTTTTTTTTTCATTTTTGTGTGAAAATCTTAATGCGGTTCACAGAATACATCTACTTACCAAGTTTCAACAGCATAGTTCTTATAGTTTCGAAAAAAAGTGGCTGTGACATACGGACGGACAGACAGACAGACAGACAGACATGACGAATCCATAAGGGTTCCGTTTTTTGCCATTTGGCTACGGAACCCTAAAAACGTGGATATTAAAAAATAATACATATGTTTTTTAAATTTCATTTGGTCTAGAAATATTTTTCAAAACTGAAGCTATATTATAAAGTAAATTAAAAACAACTTTCATAAGATATTGAGTACTAGGTGGCTTTTATAGTTTCAGACTTTATATTGCTTTTGCGTATAATATACAGGGCTATTTTTAAAGAGTAGCGAAATTTTAAACTTAAGTATAAAAATAATGATATACCGTTAAAATACGAGTAAATAAGGTTTCTACTTTTATTTGAAATTATCCCAAATTGGATGTGATTTATGGACAACAACGTTTTTACCTACCGATCGACCCTTACGAATGTGTGCGTGCGCAGTTAAATCAGTTCAAATAATGCATTACCACCTATTTAGAATTTAAAAGATAAAAAGGACGGAATGTTTGAGATTTTTTTCATTAATTTTTCATCATCATTTTTTTTTAGGATAGGGTGACAAACGAGCACACAGTCCACCTGATGGTAAGTGGTTGCTGTAACCCATAGACATCTACATTGATCCTCAATAAAGAATCAAAATGCAGATGCGTCGTCACCTGTGAGGACTAAGATGGAATGCCTCTTTTCCAATAAAATGGGTCTCCGGTTCTCTACACTCACCATACGAAACACAGCAGTGCCTTTATATATTACTTATTCTGAACCTTTTCTACTTTGGCCGGTTATTGCAAAATAATCCTGTATATTAAAAATGTACAGTGCTATACGCAAATGGTTCTTTAACGTGTATACAATTTTTTAACTCTTGTGAAAAGTATACAGATTTAATACACAATAACCGTGTTTATTTTCTTATACGTTACACACTAAAATATTGTTTTGAATATATACTGCATTAGTACCAGTCTAAAAATATATTATTGGTACTACCAAAAAAGGGTATTCTTCTGTCCTCGTAACAATCTTATTTTTATAAAACTAAAGTGACAAACGAACACTACATACAGTCCGGCAGTACCGGCAGGTGGCCGGTAAGTGCTTACTGTAGTCTATGTACACCTGCTTCCTACTTCAAACCCACAAACTACATGCCAATCAGTTTATGATTATACTGACTTTCTACACCCTTCAGTCCTAGCAGGCATGCACGCACTATTGCACACTGTTGTTAGGATGTGAAGTACGTAAGGTGTTAAAGAGAAGAGACGCGTTGAAGGTAGTAGCACTTTAATTTTACTGCCCTCTAACTTATTCTATCTTAAAACTTACTTAACATATTTTCGTGAGAGCTACACGACACTACAATAGAACGAAATAGGTTTGTTTGCATATAAAAGTAATCCGAAGCAAAGAGTTATCACCAATTATTTAGAGCTGAAATATAAATTTAAAATTAAATAAAATAAAAATAAATTATGATAGAAAATGAAGATAGGCCAAATTAATATTATTAATCGCCTAGCATGTATGCGTAGATGTATGGATGTAAAGGAAGTGAGAGAGGTGTGTCAGGATCGTGCCAAATGCAAGTCCGTAGTCTCTGCCTACACCTCTGGGTGACAGGCGTGAAGTTAATGAAATATAAATTTGTTATAATGTTATCACCATTTTTGAAGATATCTTTTCTTTTATATCGATTTTTTTTTTATGAATAAAGCCTTATACTTTCCGTTTGTGCCATAGATTAACATTAACATTGAATTAGCATCACAAAGTTATAGAGTAGTAGAGTACAATAACGTAGCATAGAGTAAGTTAATGTAGAGCGTCCCCCCACTAGATGGATTTTTATACGTGGTAGAGCCATGCTGCAGCTATATTAGTATGTAGTATAGTTGTAGCACGAATGGGTCGGTTCGACCGGGGAATCTTGATCCTCACGGGTGAAAACGCATCTGCATTTTGATTCGCAAGCGAGGATAGATGTAGATGTCTATAGGCCACAGCAACCACTTACCATCAGGTGAACTGTGTGTTCGTTTGTCACCCTGTCATATAAAAAAAAGTTAACTAAATTTACATAATATTTAATACATATAAATGTTAGATTTAATGTTAACTTAATTGATTGATTAAGTTCTTAGTGATTATAAGTTATGAATTAGGTACTAAATTATGTCCAGCGATTTCTCGCGAGTAGACTTAATACGAGTATGAGAATATTATAATGTGCTGTCTGTGCCACATGTGCAATAAATCTGTTACTGTAACATTATGCGGAGTCGGTGGCCTTTTTGATGCCGCCATCTATATTTTATTAATATAAAGTTAATCATTTTTGTTTCTTTGTTTTTATTATAATATTATTGCGTCTTGTACCGTTATAAGCGATTGTGTTCGTCCGTTCAAAATTCAAATTTTTGATAAGCCGTTTTGATTTACGATAGAACGCAACACCTTTCTTTTTACAAACGACTTCAAAAAAGGGAGGAGATTCTCAATTTGACCATATGTGTGTTACCTCAAAGTTTTTTTCTACATGAACCGAATTTAATGATACTTTTTATTTGAAAGCTGGTGTTTCTCGTGTTGTTTTATATATTTTGATAATATCTAACCAGTAGTTTTTGAGTTATCCTTTATAATACGTTTTCAATTGACTTCGAGAACATTGATGATGTTCTCATCTTATTTATATTGATGTCGGTTGTGCATTTTTTTTTTATTTACCACTTGATCTAATGACAAATTTGTATCCGCAGTGGAGGACGCGAGTGGTCGCTACACGTCGATGTTCTACTGGGGCAACAACTACTGGACGGGGTCCGCCGAGCTGTGCCAGGTGCTTAACGACCAGCACGACGCCAGTCCCGTCAAACAGTATAACGGCAAGTATTCAACCGTATGAAAAAACATCACTCCTTTCCGGCCCGAGATGGTAATAATAGAAGAGTGATGAAAATGCTAGAAAAATCTTATAAAAATGGAATTTACGGATAGTATAGATAGATATAGCCATATAGTTCGAAGAACCGACAACCAATCTACGTGGTAGAGCCATGCTGCAGCTATATTATGGTTGTAGTACGAATGGGTCGGCTCGAACGCGGAAGGACCACGCTCTCACAGAAAACCAGCGTAAAATAGCAGCTTAACGCTGCGCTGCTGTGTTTCGTATGTTGAGTGTAGAGAACCGGAGACCCTTTTTACTGGCAAAGAGGCATTCCACCTTAGTCCTCACGGGTGACAACGCATCTGCATCTTGAGTCTTTATTGAGGATAGATGTAGATGTCTATGGGCCGCTGCAACCACTTATCATCAGGTGGACTGTGTGCTCGTTTGTCACCTGATCCTATAAAAAAAAACCAATGGGAAAAAAAGATTATCGAGCGGCGGCCTCGTACCCGTAAGCAAAGTGTAGGGCGTCTCCCCACTAGATGGAGTGACGACCTGGTAAGACGTGCAGGAAGTCGATGGATGCAGGTGGCTCAGGACCATGCTTTGTGGCGTTCCTTGAGGGAGGCCTATGTCCAGCAGTGCACTTGTGAAGGGCTGTAATGATGATGATAGATAGATAGTGGTACACCACATTTGTATTTTACCTGTATTATATTTCACCTGATGAGATCTTCTTCTATACCTCCCCTTCTAACCCTACTGTTACTCATGGTACACGTGGTAGACATGCTGTAGCTATATTAAGTTGTAGCTCGAATTGGTCGGCTTAACTGGGGAAGGACCACGCTCTCACAGAATACCAACGTGAAATTGCTTAATGCTGCTGTGTTTCGTATGGTGAGTATAGAGAACCGGAGACCCTTTTTACTGGAAACTAGGCATTCAATCATAGTCCTTAGATGTGACAACGCATCTGTATTTGATTCTTAATCGTCTATGGGCTACAGCAACCACTTACCATCAGGTGGACTGTGTGCTCCTTTGTCACCCTTTTACTGCAAAAAACGTGTTACGAAATCTTCGCCAGTTTTGAACTGACCTTAATGATTATTTTCATTAAATAAGCTATACCTTTTGGGTTTTCCCATTTAAAATTTAAAATTGAAGGAAAACTTCACCTCAAAAGGATATAGAGGAAGAAATTTTTTATTTACCTATTTACACTATATTCTAGTTTTTAACTGTAGGTTGTTACTTTGAGGTTGTAATATTGCTTAGTCAATTAACTAACTATTTAACAAAATGAAAACCAACTTCAAAATAGAGAAAATAATAATATAATTTCCACTTATCAAATATGTAGATATGCAATACTTCAGAAGCTGTTATGATAGTATAAATTCAAAATAAATTATGTAAGACAGGCTGTTCCCTGCGACTTCGTCCGCGTGGAATTTATTATGATTGGATTTCATGGATTTTAATTTTTTTGCGTGGAACCCTAATTATGAGGTGATCACTACCAAGCTATTTCTAATTTGTCGTGTTGTTAATTTGTGTAACATACATGATTGTAAGCTGTTATTTAAAAAAAAATCCCGCTGAGTTTCTTGCTGGTTCTCCCCAGGACAGAGGTTATTTTTTTTCGAACCAGTGGTAATTAAACAAAAGAGTGACTTTCAATAAGAATTATTTATAATCTATATTGAATAAAAAAGTTTCTGTTTCTGTTTCTATTTTTCTAAAATAATATTATCCTAAGTTATTATAATAATAATAGTTTATAACAAAAATAAAAATTGTTTTTTTGATATAAGAACCATATATAATTTCATATGCATTTAACAAAAAGCTGTTATTTTGACTTTACGAACAGATAGTTAAATTTTATTTATTTGTATAGACGCTGTAACGACGTGTCGACATGGTAACGCTTAATCTAGTTGGTAGGGTTAGGGTAAAAAGGTTTCTTGTCTGTCTTAGATTTCGTCTGAATTCTTCTTTTTCCTCCCCCTATTCTTTTATTCCTCGCCCTTCCATCATTCTGCCGTACACCGGCAGGGTCCACGTTCAGAAGTGCATTATTACAATGAAAAGTGCTTAAAAAAGTTAACTTGTAAACCACTAAAGTAATTATCGAAATTATGATATAACATTAACTATAAATAGACGTAGATCCCGGCTAATGATTGTCTTATTAGATTATATACGTACATTAAGACGAAACCCAATATGCGGCCAGTCACTTCTCAAGGCAGCCGGTCATAGTAAGGACAAAGTGTTTAATCTGTCTTTTGAGGCTGTAGAATGTCTTAAAAGTATAATTAAAGATAAATTATGTGTAAGTATTTCCTGCGGTAAGCAGTTCTTATAAATATGAATGTGCAAGTTGTACTATTTCCATTTACGCCGGATGTTGCTCAATGTTATATTTTGACGGCTCCGTGGCGCAGTGGCTTAGCAATGAGTTGTTGCGCTGGGGGCCGGGGGTTCAAGTCCCGCACGGAACAAGTATTTGTATGGCCTACAAATAACTGTTCCGGGTCTGGATGTTTGTCCTCGTGCGATTTATGTTTGTAAACTGCCTCCACGACACAGGAGAAAGTCCTAGTGTGGGGGTAACGTTTTTTAAAAAAGAAAAGAAAGAAAGAAAGTCATGGGACCTATAAATCTCAGACCAACTTGGGTCTTATAGATAACTTTATATTAATCAAAGAGTGGGACAATAAATACGTCTATGACTTGAATTTTAGGGAATTTATAGTACTATTAGTATTTGGTTACAATTCTCCTTCCTTTCAAAGGTCAAGTCAGTATCACTCTGCTTCGATAGAATATTTTCATTTAAAAGTATTAAATAGTTTCATTGCGCCGCAAATAATGAATGATTGTCAACAAAACATTTTTTTTATAGAATAAGGGTGACAAACGAGCACACAGTCCACCTGATGGTAAGTGGTTGCTGCGGCCCATAGACGTCTACATCTATCCTCTATTACAAATCAAAATGTAAATGCGTTGTCACCCGTGAGGACTAAGATAGAATGCCTCATTTCCAGTAAAAAGGGCCTCCGGCCACCTGCAGATCATATTAGGTATCTCACATTTTTGTTTATTCTTCTTGAATCATTTAAAAAGTAAGGGTGATTTTATTTCGCAACACGCCGCCCTCTGAAATCTGCCGCCTGGAGACATGGCCCTCCCTGTTACGCCACTGCAGTAACCAACTTCAAGCTACACTACGTTGTTACGCCTGAGGTCTGAGATTGAATGCATCACAGTGTGTACACTAACTAACCTTTCTCGTAATTGTAACACAGAAGTGAATGCACTGACGGCAGAAGTATACAAGAGGTAAAGGGTGGTGTAAATCCTAGGCAGATTAAAAGCCTGGAATTCATACCACCCTCTTCTAGTAAATAAAAAAATATCTAATTACCTTCTTAACTTAGAACTTTTACCGTATGCGCGTCCTATTGTATTATGGAGTATCTTTAATCTTTGAACTCAATTCAGGATTAGTTTTGAATCTTTTGATAAACACTAAGAACTGACGTCCTGAAAATTTTCTAATTCTAAAAATTTAATGCAAGTCGAGATATTATTCTTTTTAAATTTTGGATTTTCTAAAGTTTTTTATCAAAATTGATAAAAAAACCGTAGGTATACAAAGCATATTAATAAAATTATACGGCGAAATAAAAAAAACGAAAAATTAATGTTGATAATCGTGTTGTAAACCCGAGTAGACCAGTGATTCAGTTCCCACAAGCAGCACCTGTTCACACGTCTGACAAATGTTGCAGCCATCGACATTGCAGACATTGCCTCCTCGACCATTTTAAAGACAAGTGGATGACCCGTCACACGAAGCCGCTGCAAGTGAAGTGACACAGTACCCAAGTCTACCATACAATACACTAAAATGTTACTGCAGGCAATAAATAATAATTAATACGCATTTAACCGAGCACATACTTATCTTGCGATTTTCTTTGGGACCATTTTACAGTATGTTCTTAAAGTAGTACATAGTAAATAATACATAGGTATATATGCAGATAACAGTGACACAACAAATAAAGTAGATGAATATTAAAGTTAAAAGTTAAAGTTCCAGGCTATATACGTCCCACTGCTGGGCACAAGTCTCCCCTCACTTCTTAGAGGGTTTTAGGCAAAGATTTTGTTCAGGGCAACAATGTGTCCGCCGCGCTGCCCCAATGCTTGTTGGCGGACTTCATATGTCTTTAAAATATTTATTTTTATTTTTCAGATTATTCAGGTTTCCACACGATGTTTTTCTTTCAACTCAAATCAGCACTTAAAATTGCAATCAACCATTTAATTGGTGCCAGCGAACCCGGAGCGCTCGAGTTCTGTGAAATTTACAGCGAGCGCTAAGGCCCTGAGCCACCACGGCCCTAATATTATCAATAATAATTCAAAGTATAGTAGACCTTGGAGTGCAAACACTTAGCTTAATACTTGGTCAGATATTTTGTTACTTCGTGTATTCGGTTCACGAATTGATGAATAATTTAATGATGATGTTTATTATTGTTCCTTGTTAAACAATCTTTTCAATATATTTTTAAATATTTTTTATTATTATATATTGGCTACCTATAGTTATAATAAACTAAAATAAAAAATTTTGTACAACCGATTTCAATATAAATTATTAAGAATAACTCAAAAACTATTGGTCAGACCTTGATCAAATTTATATGGGACCACATGTGAAGCACCAGTTTTCAAATACAAAAAGTATCATCTAAAACGGTCACCGAGTAAAAAGTTATGAGGTAGCACACTTAAAAAATCATACAGTCGAATTGAGTAACTTCTTCTTTTGTCGGTAGAAAATAAGAATAAAGTTACGTGTGCACAGATTATAAATAGGATCATTGCTCTTTTTTGCAAAATTAATATCACGTATAATATACATATAGTAATACCATATTTATTTACCTGTTATTCTGCGATCGAATATTTTGCAAAATGCTAATAGAGAGTACCATACCAAGAGTGGTGTAATGGTGTCACTGTGACAGCTAGGGTATTCCACTAGTTGGTAAATCGTTATGCAACGATGGTAGAATGGAGTAATTGTTAATTAAAAGGGAAATATTTTGTTCTTTATAAATTCTTTATCTTTTTATATATTCTTAACTATCTCCAAAAAAGAGAAAATTATTAATTCAACTGTATACTCTATTTATATATAAATAACATCATATTTACGATGTTTCTTACCGATTCTGCCATTTTTTTATTTACCCATATCTACTTCAACTAATAACTGAAATTGGTTTTAATTTTTTATAACATTTACAATTCTAAACGTAATTCAATATTTAAATTTAGAAATGGTATAAACAATACAAAAACTCATTGATATTGTATATTATGTAGTAGGATAATTTGATAAACCGAATTTTCCGCAAAAATCTAAGGATATCGCGAAAACACGGATAATTAGACAATGGCTATGACATTTCTCAATCTTACTGAAAAAAGGAGTTTTGCGAAAACACTGGTTAATCATAAAAGTTAACATTGTGGTGTTTTATTTGGTGCAAGAGCGAACGAACAGAGCCCTCCATCCCCTTCGTGGTTATTTTTTATAAATCATCCAGAAATAGCCGCATAGCGGCGCTCCGTCAACTACACTTTGATATTACTTTGGCGGAGGGAGGACGCTACCGCCTTTCCTATTAAAGCGATTCTTCTCAGAAATCATTTAACAAAAATTTTAATCTTTAACATTTAATTTAAAAAATAGTCACATCCGACGGGGAAAAAAGGTGGGGGGCAAATCAGATAAGACGTTGTTTTGGGTGATCCGACTGACCAATCATTGTGCTTCGTTTATAGCCAACGATTCTTTTCGCAATCTTTACTAAAGCGAGTGGCGTTTTCACAAAAACCCCTATATTTTTTCAGTAAGATTGAGAAATATCTAAGTATCCGTGTTTACGCGACATTCCTAGATTTTTGCGGAAAATTCGGTTCATCAAATTATCCTACGACATATACACGTAATTTATTTCCTAACAAATCAAGTTTGCATTTCAGCCAAAAATTGATTTAGGGTCAACTCATATATCCTCTCAAAATGTTTCCAAGTGATAAATATCGATCGAACTCGATATGCTCGCGGGTTGCGGGAACTATGGCCTTGCAGTGCCGGCGTGCCGTTTCCTCTCTCCTGTGTCGTATGTGGCAACAGTGGTGAATGCCAGAAAAATGTAATGGCTTCAAATAGATCTATATTTTTGTATATATTCTTAAAATAAAATTACCCCCGCACTAGGATTTCTACTGGATCATGAAGGCAGTTTACATACATAAATTTTACAAGAACAAACATCCAGACCCTAAACAATTATTTTAGGCTATACAAATACTTGTTCCATGCGGGATTCGAACTTGCGCCCCTTCGCGCTGCAACTAATTGCCAAGCCACTGCGCCACGGAGCCGTCATTCATTATACATTATATATTATTCATTACTTCAATTTACTTTTACACAACATTACTTTTACCAAAAAAATATTTAAACAAAATAATACGTATTGCTGCAACATAAAAACCACCGACTCAGCAGAATGCAGTAACCGAGTTACCACAGCACTGATTTTTTTATTGACTAAGAGTGACAAACGAGCACACAGTCCACCTGATGGTAAGTGGATGCTGTGGCCCATAGACATCTAAATTTATTCTCAATTATGAATCAAAATGCAGATGCATTGTCAACCCTGAGGACTAAGATGGAATGCCTCGTTTCCAATAAAAAGTGTCTCCGGTTCTCTACACTCAACATAGTAAACACAGCTGCAATAAGCTGCTATTTTACGCAGGTATTCTGTGAACTACGCCTTCCTCGGTCGAGCTGACCCATTCATGCTACCAACATAATACAGCTGCAGCTTTGCATCTTATCAGATATATATATTTCTTCCTTTCAGAAAGCGACGGTTCTATCTTGGGTCAATGGCGGAACGACGTGTCGATGTCCGGGTCAGGGCCGCCCTTTGCGACTGCCTTTTACAACGTGCGAATGGTGATCACCACCGACCAACAAGAACTTATCAAAACGGTAATCACAATACCATCTTCTCATCCATTTACCATGTTAAGATAAGTCAGTGCGCTTTGTCACCTTCGACTACATTACTCTTACTCATAACACAGTACATTAACAGTAAGTAATAGGTTATTGACGACATATATTTTTTTTATGGGATAGGGTGACAAACGAGCACACAGTCCACCTGATGGTAAGTGATTGCTATGACCCATAGACATCTACATTTATCCTCAATTAAGAATCAAAATGCAGATGCGTCGTCACCCGTGAGGACTAAGATGGAATGCCTCTTTTTCAGGAAAATGGGTCTCCGGTTCTCCTACACTCACCATACGAACACACAGCAGTGTGAAGCTGCCATTTTATGCTGGTAGAATACCAGCATAAAATGGCAGCTTTTCTGTGAAAGCGTGGTCCTCCCCCGGTGGAGCCGACCTATTCGTGCTACAACTATACTACTAATATAGCTGCAACATGGCTCTACCTAACTAAAATTAAAGATTTTCAAAACCGCCGAAACAAAAAGAGCTGATGATCTTCAAACGGCTGAACAGACTTTCTTGAAATATAGCTAAGAACACTCTCCATTAAGGCATATTTCTAAAAAAAAAACTTAATCGAAATCGGTTTATCCGTTCAGGAGCAATGATACCACAGACAGACACACAGACACATAGGTACACGCTATAAATCCCTCTCATTTCGTCGGAGGTTAAAAATTGACCAAGTGTTAAGCAAATTGTAAGGTGAATATTCAAATCCAGGACCAGTAGTCTGTCATTAATTCATTAGTTACAGCCTCTCAAAAGTGCACAGCTGAACATAGGCCTCCCCTGTAGATTGTAATGGGGGGGGGACCACAGAATTTTTTGGCAACCGCTGTGTAGGTCCTGCGTAATCCACTATCCCATATTATCCCGTGGATATCGTAGGAGGCGACAGAGAGAAACTGAAACAGAAAAAGGGCAGCAGCATCTTTCTGAGAACAACGACGACTTCAAGGAATTTATATCTTATTGTGCAAAATAAATCTGACATCAGTAATATTGATATATAGGTAACCAACTAGTACGTTTATTACATACTTACTTACTTATCTTCACGCACAATCCCTGATGGGGTAGCCAGAGAGAACAGATCGCCAAGTGTCACGATCCTTACATACCTCTTTCGCTTCTTTCAGATTCGAAAAAAAATCTAACATTTTAAAATCTATCACTTGAGTTGACATTATAATTTTGCATGCAATTATTTTTTTTAATAATCATAGATGTATACAATTGAGTTTCTATTTGTTGTTTAAAAAAAATTATATTATATTTGTTTTATTGTATTATACCTGTAAAATATTTGCACACCATATATAGTGATAGAATGTGAATGGGCCATTGGATATAATTTAAGATCATACTTTATTGTACACCTATATTCTGGCAAATAAATGAATTAGAATTTGAATTTGAACAATCGAAAAGAAACTTCTGTTATACCTACCAATTATTCACGTGGTGTATATTCTGTAAATGTAATTAATCTGCCGTTTTCCCGCAGCGTCGTACATTACACCTGGGGCTCTGCTTCCCGCGCTCCTGTTCAAGAGAACAGGTTGGCACACTGATAGACGCAGTGCACTCCCCCGTCCTCCGTCACACCGTAGTGGCCGTGCGTTCCCCGCAGCATGGCGGGTACACCTACATCGAGGACCCCACGTTCCAAGTGTTATTGTAAGTTTTATAAACTATATTTATCTATAGTTAATACAAGCGACCATTCGCACGGGTGATTTCTGGGTCTTGGAAACTGCGAAACAAAAATGTAAAACAGTTTGTATTACAAACTGTTCGTTTAACAAATTATAAAAAAATATAAGCGGTTCGTAAATTGTTGAACTAATATTTTGATTTTCAACTCATCTGTGTACTGTTAAACGACTTGCTAGCGGAAAGAAAAGTTTTTAAATATAGAAATTCGGCATAAGATCTGGAGAAGAAAAAATCGTTACTAGAAATGTCGTCCAGACCGAAATCTGGTTACTCCAACCAATCTCAACGGACACTAGACACTGTGCAGGACAGGATTATGGTGTACGAGTGTGTGCACAAACACAGGTGCACTCTCTATTTCCTCACTCTTGTAGTCTGATAGGACGGCAATCCGACACTACCAAAGAGAGATCAGATTGTTTTCCGAGGCGCGAAGGTGAAAATTCCTGTCTTGCTGAGAATTTGTTGATAGAAAAACCCAACAATTGTTTTTTAGCCTGACCCGGTATTAACCCAGAACTTCATAATCAGCAGTCGCGCTTACGAACACTAGAACAACGAAGCAATCAATTTAATTAACAAATATAAGAAAGGTACAGATGCGGACTCAAAAATAGTCTTTAATAAAATAAAAACGCTTCTTTTACGATACCTAATACAACCAGATACAAGAAAAAACTTAAATTTAAGCATATGCAATTTAGCACCATATATAGCAGTTTAAATATAGAAGAAATAATATGAAGACATATGAAATAAGATTTTGTTTTAGGTCGCTTATAAAAATCACTTCGTTAACAGTCGCATTTGCTTAGGTTAGAGCTCTCACAGAAGACATAATATACTTAGATTATTTACTCTCTAGATAGAGTAAGGCGCACCGCATACATACGGAATTCCGTTTCGGGATTCCGTTTCGGAATTCCGAAAGGGTCGGCCACACACATACGGAATCCCGTTTTGCCCGCAAAATTTCGAACGGAAAAATAGCGCACGTGTGTGACGGGTCATAGATTTTATATGAACTTGCTGCGTTTGGAATCTCGAATCGTAATATCGAAACGGAATCCCGAAACGGAATTCCGTATGTATGAGGCCGGCCTAACGGCGGCTCAAAAGCGTCGAATAAAATATCAGCTAATCGTTAGCCTCTAAAGCGCTCCCCGCTCCTCACTGTCAATTGTAACGACAAAAGATACGCACGCACGGCTCATTTTTTTGAGGTAAATCATTTTGGTGAAAATGACAAATTGCGCGATCAAAATCTGCAGAAATTATAAAGGACGTTTACAAACAACTAACAAAATCACCTACCATCGGTAGGTAACTCAAAACTAATAGTAATTTACGAAAGCAAAACTAAAAATTGATAATTTTATTTACAAAATCAACGCGTCATTTTTTGGTGTTGCCAGTCTTGGATTGCGAATTTCCCCGTATAGTTGTCTTCAAAGCTGATGTATGTTCATTTTTAATGTTAATTGTCAAAATCGAATGTGACCATTTGGATACATGGTTTAGGATACCTATTGATCCTATAATTAGAAGTCAATGGGTGGACATAATAAGAAAAAGCCGTGGAGAAGAGTTCTGAAAACCATCCAAAACCACAGTGATATGCTCTGAACATTTCTGTGAAAATGACTTTTATTTTGCAAATAGTCAAGGCTGTCGAAGATTGAAAAAGGATACGCTAAATTTTAATATAGTTACCATCGCTAGTGTATGTAAGATACACTAGCGATGGTAACTCAGTGGTAAGAGCGGCGAAGTTTCAACTTGAAGTACAGTTCATTTCCGAGGGCATTACCTATAAGATTCATGTTTACTGTGTTCCTGGGAGTGACTAGATGCAAAGCTTCAATGGGGCACTCATATATCAACTCTTGCTGGCACAACAATGCTGGACGGAATAATTCTTCTTAAAAGGATTAAACTGTAGAAACGCTATGGGATAAAATTTTAAGGTAAAGGGTACCTGCGGGATAAATTATTTAACTATGTCGCAGGCGAAACCGCGCGCCAACCTCTTGTATTTTTATAAGTCGATTTAAAAATACAAGAGGTTGTTGATCATAAAATAATAAAACATATTTTGTAAATGCTTAGTTAATTTTTATTTGATTATATTTTTATTGTAAAGAATTTAAGATTCTAACTCAACAGACAACTAAACACAATTGAAAGCACCATATTCAAATATTATAATTTATGATTTTATTAACATGACAATTTTTCCCCATTTTATCGGGATAGATTCATTAGCTGGTATCTCCCAGATACAAATGACGCTGGTGTAAGTCATAGTTATTTATTTTGTCACCATAACAACCGCTAAGCGTGTGTGCGTGCCTCACGCACACACGCCTGTAAAAACTGGCCTGTTTTTGATGCATCGCTCATTACGTGACGCGTTATCTAGAGAGTAAATAATCTAAGATAATATTATAGCTCCCGTTTCAACTCAATTGCACGCCATTGTGAAATATATTTAAGTAGTATTAATGGACAAAATTGCCTGCAATTTTAATAATATACCTGCATTTGTTAATGACGTACCGAGTGACCCAGTTGTGTCATTGCACAATAAGTAATTTGTACATTCTGAGATTTGTTTCTAAGTTATAACAAATTACAAAATTATTATAAAATAATTTCATATGTTAACGCGAATACATTGAATAAAAGTCAAAGTCAAAATATTTTTAAAAGTCAAAGAAATTTTTCAATGTCAAAACCTAGGCCACCACTTCAACAATTACCTACTGCGGGAGACCTTGTGAGAAGTAGTGGCAAGATCACTCACAAGTTGACTATTTTTCTCCCAACAGTTATAATTTATTCTAAAAAAAATATATTACATAAATTACGAAAATCTACGAAAGCTCATAATATGCATTGTTATCATTTAAACAATCATATTATTTATAATAAGCATTTTTCTGTATAATGCTTTATACACGTGCCTTAAATTTATGTACAGATAACTCAGTAATATTACAGGGAATCTTGTTGTAAAAAAAATGCGTGAGTGTCGTGGAACACTCGGTTGGAACGAAGTTCCTTGCGTAGTTTATTATTATTGATAAACGTAAGTGTTATGTTATTGATTAATAAATACAAATAAATGAATTACTAGCGTCTATTAAAATGTAGCGTCATTTGAAATAAAATAATATTTCTTTCATGGCAAGATAAGAAAAAGTGCGAAGGAGATGGATATTATTCCATCTCACTTCCTTATTTCGCCGCCAAGGCCGTCTACACTATGACACAAGGGATAGTGACGAAAAAATCTTACACTTTTTGTCGCCTAGCTCCCATCCGCCAAACCCGTACCGTCTGATAAAGAACTTCGTTCCAATAGTTATACTTGCTTGCTGTTCAAAGTACAAACTCATGTTAAAGCTACGACCTGAGGGTGTAGTAAGAGGCGACAGAGAGAAACAAACAGTAGATGGTCAGTAACATCTTCCTAATCACGACTAAAATATAAAACACTGCTTGGCAACCCGCCTGCCATGCGTGGTTACCATGGCAAATATCTCCCCTATGTGGCAATCTATAAGGAGACCTACGAGTATGCTCATTAAAGAAAAACTCTACAAAAAGTGTTAATGAAAATAACCCATGGGAGTGAGGTGATCGGTGTATTATAATTCATATAAAAAATTGTAAAAATTGTAATCCCGCTGGGTTTTTTTGGTTATATTTATTTATTTATTTATTCTTTTTTACATCTACCTTATAATAAGGGATATAAAGCGCTGAATTAATGAATTAAACCTACAGGGGTGTATGCACCGCCTTGGCGGTACTTCTGGTGACAGCGACGGTGTACGACATGCGACTGGGACGCGCAGTGCGCAGGCGCAGACGCCGCGCCGCCAACATGGCCGCGGACGCTACTGCAAACGACCTCAAGCTTGACATCAGTACACTCGACACCATTACACACGCTTCTGGTACGTTTTTTATACAATAACTATGCTATCATCTTTGTCTACGTAGCAATTTTTTTAATAACTGGCTTTACGTCTCTGGGTTCTAGCCCTTCTGAGCCCGAAGTTACAATGTATAATTATCCTTCATAGTACACTGCTTCACAATATGTTGATGCGTCACATTGTGCAGCCCTTGGGATATTTCGACGGCAACATGAGCCAGCAAACAGCTGACAGTTGGCGATGGTATCTCAAGGCGCCTAAGCAGACAGACACCTTATCCTTAGAATCACATCACCATCAGAGCACTTGTTTCACCGTTTCCACTAATAGTTCACATGCGCAGACATCTAATACACAAAATCGCATCACTTTTATGTATCAAAATCCACTTCAAACCATTATTTAAACAATAATACAGGAGCAGCAATCCGTCGCCGGTCAAGTTCCCGCCAAAATCCCCTCTACATAGTAATATAATGCCATGTCATTGAAGTAATGTGTACTACGTACTAGAAGAGACGCCGAGACCTTGTTGTTTGCATAGACTTAGAATATACTGGCGTTACAATCCTACGTCTATGGTTGTTTGCAACACGCGTTAAAGCCCACGGGCTCAAACTTACTTAGTCTGTGCCATAAAAAGGTAATCTGTGTCTTCGACCACGCGCCCTGCGCTGCACTCCCGCACAACTTTTACTTTTACTTTACTTCAAAGTGCCATGTTGAGACAATGCGAGGTCGCACTCCTTTATTCAACTTCCTATCACGAAAAATACTTTTTCGAAAACAATGGGGCAGATGCCTACCATGCCTTTAGGTTAATTTGACCCTGATCGTCAGCCGTCTAACTCCACTGCTGGTCACCAACCTTTCCAAGAACGTGCCAGATGACATGTGTTTCTTGACAGATTTGTTCATACTTATCACGCTGAACAGACGATCAAAATCCTCGGTGTTAGAGTATGTGTACAAAGATTATGTTGTTTTAAAGTTGCTCTCTGTCACCAAAACTGTATTCAGCTTTATGAAAAAGACGGATATGCATGCAAATAAAACATTGACACGGTTGTAGACTGAGTACTTTATTATTTGGCTAGGTATTTCGTTCGGCTTCGCTCGCGTAAACATCCCTCTACCAACATCGTTAGTACTCATATATCATACAGTACATAGTACACATAGTGACTCTTTGTCAGTAGTGTTCCATGCTGCAATTCGGAATCACTTCATTGTTTGCTCAGGTTTTCTGTTAGTGTGTTTCTGTTTGTCAAAAACATTATCTCTCTTTCAGTACTTAAAAACAACATGTTCACTTTGAAAATGATTTAAAATGTAATAATATAAATAATATAAACGACAATACCGCCACCTATTTGAACCTGATTTTATGATTATCTTTTGTGGCACTAAACTAACATATATTGTGAATGTAAGTTATTTTGGTTTATAAATATAGAATTTGTTAATAAATAGCTTGAGCACAGTGCCACCTATTAGATCCTATAAAAAAAAATCTCGACAGTTTTTGACTCGACAAAAAAATCTGTGAAATCGTTAAGAAGTTACATGATCAGTAAGTGACGCATTTACAATGTATATAGTCCGCTCGCTAAATTCCGGTCTCTTTGTGTAGCTCGTTTTCTTTCTTTTCAAAGGCGACGCCGCTACATCAAAGGTCGAACTTTTTGAGACTCACCAACGCGTGGTTGGGTACAGCTGTTGCCAGAGCCTTGTGCGAAAATTATTTGATCATGATTTAAAATTATTTTTCTGCATCACCTAATACTACGTACTGTAAAATTAATACAAAGCAACAGAAGTTATTCCGGTTCACACACCAGTGTCCTTGCGGCTCTCACACTGATAGATGTATAGCAGTGTGTCCTCAAGGGTGACATGGCATCTGCATTTTGATTCGTAATCGATGATAGATGTAGATGACTGTGCGCCACAGCAACCACTTACAATCAAGTGGACTGTGTGCTCGTTTGTCACCCTTATCCTATAAAAAATAGCACTTGTTGCAGGCAAATCGATGTACAACGTGAACAACAACATAGCTATCAACAGCAACACTTCCGAGGAGCGCCTCACCGCCGAGACGGCCTCCAACGACGGCGAGATTAAACTAAGTAAGTAATAATAGTCCTCCAGACCGAAAGTTTGTCACGGCGGCCGGTCTCAACGAAATCTGCGCAGGACAGAATTATCTCACTGTCTTTTCCCTCGCTCTCATAATCCGAGGTGACGGTGACACGACCGGGGAGAGATCAGGCGCAGGACCTAAGGTTTACGTGCTTTCCGAGGCACGAGGGTGAAACACAGCCAACTTTCTGACTCAGGGCTGCTCCTGAGAATTACTTGACAATAAACCCCAACAACTAATTTTTTGCCGACCCGGATTCGAACCCTGGACGTTATGATCAGCAACTGCGCTAACAACCACTAGATCAATGAGGCAGTCATACTATAGTAAGTAAAAGTTCCTTGTCCGCTGTCCAATAGATTGCCTCATAGGGAGGATTTTTGCGTAGTTGTAATAAATAAAAAATGTTAATTTAATAAGTTCACCTCTCAGTGTGTCATGTGCTCCTGGTAGATTATCTCCTATACATCCATCCATTACAGCCCATATACGTCAACTGCTGAACATAGAACTCTCCCATAGATTGCCTCATAGGGAGGATGTTGCCATAGTTGTAATGTTACTGTTAATATAATAAGTTCACCTCTCAGTGGCTCATGTGCTCCTGGTAGATTATCTCATATACATTCATCCATTACAGCCTATAAACGTCAACTGCTGAACACAGGGCTCTCCTATAGATTGCCTCATAGGGAGGATTTTGTCATAGTTGTAATGTTACTTTTAATTTAATAAGTTCACCTCTCAGTGGGTCATGTGTTCCTTGTAGATTTTTTTCTATACATCCATCCATTACAGCCCATAATAGTCAACTGCTGAACATAGGTCTGCCCCATTAGAATGCCTCATAGGGAGGATTTTGCCATAGCTGCCACGCTTGGCAGGCGGGTTGACAACCGTAGTTTATTTAAATATTTTAGTTGTTATCAGCAAGAGGCTACTGCCCATCTTCTGTTTTAATTTCCCTCTGTCGCCTCTTACGACACCCACGGGATGATATGGGGTAGTGGATATTCTTACACCGCCACTACACGGTTCATTGTATTTGAAATCATGTTTATTGTAAACAGCTAGAAACAAACTACTGCCTAAATACTCATACGTTACTCAATTTTAAGATGCTAAGTCTCGTGCTGTCTCTATCACTTTAAGTCAAAGTGACTGTAACACCACGAGGCTTAACGACCTCTCAAAATTGAGTAGCACTTAAGTATTTGGCCATTAGTCCTATTATCTTCTTCATCATCAGGCCGTGTGGACATATTTCTCTTCCTTTCGGGAGGAATTTGTCTTAATCGCCACGTTTGGCAGTGAATTGACCATAGCATTTTCAGAGGCCTTGCACCTTTGTCACTTCTGCCTTACACCGCTCTGGAAAATATCCAGACTGGTGTAAGTCATTCCTTTACGCTTTTTTTTGTAATATCTTACAAAAAGAAGCTTATATATACGAAATTGAGCCACGCTGCAGTTATATTATAGTTGTAGCATGAACCGGTCGGCTCGACCGCTGAAGGGCCACGCTCTCACGGAACATCAGCGTAAAATTAACAACTTAATTCTGCTGCTTCATATGGAGAGTACATGAGACCCTCTTTTTACTGGAAACGAGGTATTCCATCTTAGTTAGTCTCAGGGGTCAGGGGACAACGCATCTACATGATTCTTAATTGAGGATAAATGTCTATGGGTCACAGCATTCAATTACCATCAGGTGGACTGTGTGCTCGTTTGTCACCATCATTCTACAAAAAAACCCATATTTTATTCAGATTCTCAGTATATATAGTGCATAATCTCTACATGAAGTCTTTTTGGAATTTTCCTGTAGCGCCACTCACGAACAAAAAAACGCATATGTAAAGGGCACAGACGTCGACCCGGTCGAAGAAGGACCACGCTCTTAGACTCTCTTGCTCCTATAGCGAGACTCTTTTTAGTGGTAACGAGGCACTCCAAATTAGTTCTGCCTGAGAGGAGATATCACGTTTTTAATTTAATTTATTTTAATGAGGAATAAATAAAGATAATAATTATCTATAGAGAACAACAAACTCATATCATCCACTTGGACTGTGTGCTGTCTGTCACCCATCCTTGAATTAGAAAAAAAAACCCTGTGTGCAGTTCACACGCGGTAAAAGTGAAACCTTCAGAAAATGAAGTCGAGATAAAAGGAAACACTGTACTGAATTCTATCTCATTCTCACGCAGGCTCAGTTCTATAGATGTATATGTTTGTCTCTTTTTAGTGTCGTTTTTTCATTTCATCGCGTTTCAAATCACAAAGAACATAAAGATTTCACTTACTCGTAATAAAACCTGTACATGATGCTATAAACCAATTCATAACATGGTGAGACGCGTGAATTATTCTATACTATACTACTATACTCTATCGCTCGAGCCTTGATCATCAATAAGAAGGATGCATTGTTCATGTTCTTATATTACTCTCTCTTACACAAAAATAGCTAATTTATATTTTTTCTATGAGGTATATGGTCGGAGCTACTGCTGTCGTTCTCGATGAAAGCGAACGTGCTGCAGATCTTCGACCAGTCGGTGGGCGCGGACACGGTGCCCGTTGTGCACGGCCTGCGCTCGCTCTCCATGCTCTGGGTCATATTCGGACACACCTGCATCGTCGTCTTCAAGGTACGCCCAAACTTCAAACTCGCTCTCGTTGAAGGGACTACAACTACCATAACATACCTAGTGTAGTTCTTTTTATGCTTAACAAAAATATGGTACTTACAATGTAACAAATATCAATAATTATAAATATTACAATTAATTTTATACATCGTCCTTGGTGTAAAGTAACATAACCCTATTTTCAGAATTTTTAAATTAATTTCAGTATGCAGACAACACAGCCCTGAGAGCAGTCCTGGAGAAAAGTTTCTGGTTCCAACTCATCATAAGCGCTGTGTACAGCGTCGACACTTTCTTCTGTCTTGGGTGAGTGTCTCCTTAGAGAAGTATCTTGCGTAATCCTTTATCATATCCTTAAAACATGGTTTTAATTACAAAATAATAAATTTACTTTTAGATGGTAGTTTAACCTTAAAGTAAATGTATATAGAAATATAATTTATAGTCACTATATATTTTAAGTATTAATGACTAGAGGGAATGCCTAAAAGAATTAAGTCTGCCAATTGTACACATTATATGCAATAAAGATGTTTAAATAAGAATAAATAAAATATATCATTAGTAGGTGTAAATAAGGGTGACGCAAAAGGTGACAGAGAGAAACTGAAATAGGAGATGGGCTGCAGAATCATCTTGATAACGCGATATATAAAAAACTGCAGTTGCCCATCCGCTTGCCAAGTATGACCAATATCAGGCATGAGGCAATAAAATAGAATATCCCATAGCAAAATTCCATAAGACATTACGCTACGAAAGTAACTAAAATACACTAATCTAGCTGTCTCAACACCTGTGAGACTTCTAATCTTTCTTACAGCATATGCTGAAGAACTAAATCTGCTTGCTAATTTAGATATATGGGGGCCAAATTGAAGTTTCGCGTCAATAGTAATACCGAGAAAAAGAGTGGTATCCACAAGACTCAACTCCTCCCCATTTAACAGCACATTGGTATTCGAATGTTTTACATTAGGTATTGTAAATTTAATACACATTGTCTTATTGCCGTTTAAGAGCATATTGTTGGCGTTAAACCAATGTACTAATTTCGATAGAGCATTATTTACATCGTCATAATTAATTGACTGCCGTTTGAGTTTGAAATTTAAAGAGGTATCGTCAGCAAATAATACTATAACGTGATTGTCCCCTACAAGATAAGGTAAGTCATTAATATAGATTAAAAACAGGAATGGGCCAAGAATCGAGCCCTGAGGAACGCCCATTGATATTACCGATCCGGAGGAACCTTTAGCATTGATCACGACTTTTTGAGTTCTGTTACATATATATGAAGTAAGAAGTCTAAGCGACAAATTTTTTACACCGTAATGTTGTAGTTTCCTGATTAATGTCTCATGATGAACACAATGTATGGAGAAGGCCTGTGCATATCATTGGCACGTATATATAACTTTACCATTAGACCCTATCAAATTCCATTTATAAACATAAGCCGTCTCATTTCTGATAGAGTTGTGAAGCAATAAGTACCAGAGCTGCTCCTATGCGCGTTGGCGGAGTTCGCATGTGATCAATATATTTTCAATCCTCAAACATGCATATTTCCTCATGATATTTTCCTTCACCGTCGAGCACGCGATAGATCAGCACTTGAAATTGCAATGACCGATTTCTAGCGGTGATCTAACCCGGGTTGCTAGAACTACCACGGTTCAATTGAAAAGTATATTTTTGTTTATTTAAATATTGTTTCTTTTTTTTAGTATAAGAGTGACAAACGAGCACACAATCCACCTGATGGTAAATGGATGCTGTGGCCCATAGACATCTATTTATCCTCAATTAAGAATCAAAATGCAGATGCGTTGTCACCCCTGAGGACTAACTAAGATGGAATGGCTCATTTCCAATAAAAAGGGTCTCCGATTCTCTATACTCCCCATACCAAACACAGCAGCATTAAGCTGCTATTTTACGCTGTAATTCTGTGAGAGTTTGATCCCACCCCTGTCGAGCCACAACCATAATATATTAGCGTGCTCTACAGCATATAAAATTCTGTGTATACTGTATATTAACAATTTTAACTTTGACAGTGGTATGCTCGTTTCATTCCTGTACTTCCGCACCAACGCTAACGGCAAACTGGACTTATTGACGAAAGGGCGAAGGACTCTTACCTCCGGGGTGTTGCAGTTTCTCGGACTCATCGGCTACAGATTTGCCAGGTATGTAGTAGTTGCATGAAATCGTTCACCGTTATCATCAACTTTTTAAGTAACCCGTAAGAAAGACACTTATTCTGCTGCCCTGTTCGTTTGTTATTCGTTCAGTAGTAGGTAGGTGATTGGCACTCACACCATACGAATTCAAATTACTTACTCTTCATCAGCTCATAAAAGTCTCCTAGTAGTTGTTGAAAGGATTTACCATAATCATCACTCTTGTCAAGAGGATCGGAATAACTAACATAACGCGTTGTTGCTGATGCTCCCCGTTGCCGATCTGATTACTTTACGCCTGGCTTAAGCGTGACGATCTGTCTATCTCTGTATACTATCTATCGGAAGGCAGAAGACCATACAATCACATGATTGCTTAGTTCGAACAAAAAAACATGTCTGCGCCAACTTCACTGAAATTGTCCAGTGCTAAACTACACTGCTATCTATCGGAAGTCAAAAGGCCGTACGATACTTTTTTAGCTATTATTAGCCAGTCATTTTTTTAGCTATTCTTAGCCAGTGCTTGGCTATTCGTGGTAGCTCAGATGGTTAGCGCTTGCTATAAGCTTCAAAGTACTCGATCAATCCGTGTTCGATCCCCGCCGGCACCAATGAAATTGTTATTTGTAATTTTAAGTGCTGATTTTTCACGTGCTTGGTGGTGAAGAAAAACATCGTGAGGAAACCTGCATGTCTGAGAAATAAGAAAAAAAATATTTCGAAGACATGATTTGAAGTTCGCCAACACGCATTGGAGCAGCGCGGCGGACATTTCCTCGCCCTAAAACCCTCTCAGAAATGAGAGGAGGCCTGTGCCCAGCAGTGGGACGTAAATATACTGCAACTTTACTTTTTACTTTGCTCGGCTATTATCCCACCTGATGGTAAGTGATGATGCAGCCGAAGATAATAAAATGCACTGACTGAATAAAAGCCTATTCACTCTTGCTTTGAAGACACCCACTTTATAATCGGTTAGAAAGACAGACGCTAGCAAAATATACCACTCCTTTGCTGTATGTATTGCGAACGACAAATCAAACCGTTCGGTTCGAATGCGTGGTATTTGGACAACGAAAGCGTTTCTATTTTATTTTTATTTGTTTATATAAGATCAAGTTCCGCTAGAGCAATTTCTACTGTAAAAACATATTTTAGTTATAGCTCGCTCAGACAAACACCTAGATCAGAAACACTTTACCCGGTGGTAGGACTACCTTTTTTGTCTTGGAATTTGTCTGCTTAGGTACCGCACTCCTACTTACTTTCCACCGCTAAATAGCAATGCTTGCACTACTATATTATTGCTGTGCTGTGTGTGCACAGTAAGCCGCGTATCGATTACGCGCTCCAAGAGGTCGAACATTGGCGCGCGCTCCAGCCGCGCAAAATGGATACCGCCTTGGAGCGCGCGCCAAATTGTTCGTTGGAGCGCTCGATCGTGGAGCGGGCCGCTCCATCTGGGGTCGGTTTTTTACCGCGCATCAATGTAGTTTAAATTTTGGCGCGCGCGCCAGTTGGGACGTTTGTTTTCATTATCCGTGTGTTCGTTGCGTTCCCGTAAACACTGGAGCGGCTGCCACGCGCGGCAGTAGCGCTTAGTTGATACAGTTGGAACATTAAAGTATAATTACGGGTTTTAGGCATTCCATTTTAGTCCTGAGATGTGACAATACCACTGCAACGCCCTTTCTCTGACGTTGGCTGCTTTGAATAAATAATAGTACTCAGTAGCCACTTCGTTCGTCACTTCGGTTTTAATTTAAAAAGAACAATTATTTATTGGCATATGATACTTATCAGCCAAAAGCTTCTAATTTATGCATAGTTGTATGTAATTAATAATGCGTTATAGATTGACGGCTCCGTATCTGTTCATGATCGGCGTTGTGGAGGTGACGATGAAATGGTTCGCGAACAACGCGGTGTTCGAGCCGCCAGCGGCCGACCACGAGACCTGTCCGCAGTACTGGTGGCGCAACCTGCTCTACATCAACACACTCTTCCCAGTCGATCAAATGGTGAGCACACACATATTTTTTTAAATGTTACCTCTACACTAGGATTATCCCCTATATCGTGAGTCCAGTTTACATACATAAATTTCACAAAGTCAAACATGATTGTAAACTAGTTTTTTTTTTCAAAGAAACCCAGCGAGGGTTTCCTACTGGTTCTTCACAGGATAGATGTTTTTTTCCGAACCAGTGGTAAATTAAACGACGATAAGAGTGACATTCGATAAGTATTATTTATTATCTATAATCTATATCAAATAAAAAAGTATTTTGTTACCGTTGATATTGCACACCACGAGAACTTGAAGACATAAATAACACTATGGAGCCTAACTTTCTCTTGTAATATTATTAATAATATTGTATTTACAAATAAAAATAATTATTTCTTATTCTTATTTTATTTGTCTTTGTATTCTTCTGTAGCTACGAAAAAAGTTTAGTATTTCAGTTTTTTTTCAACTATGTTGTGAAGAAGTAAACAAAGATTTTTTGTTTGTTTTGTGTTTTAGTATTTGACATCACGTCAGAACTTAAAACTAATAAAAATAATTATTTATATCCTTATAATTCTTATCTATTTTATCTTTGTATTGTTGTGTAGCTGCGAAAAAATATATTTTTTTAATTTTTTTAAACTTTGTTTTGGGAAAGAATAATTTATTCTAAAAAAAGAAGAATTATTTTGACACAGACCATTGACGCACACAACAATATACAAATTTATAACTTAAATATACTTGATTTAATAAATTTGTACATCAAAGTTATGCCAAAAGAGGATATCACGGCATGTAGCATGTGTTGTGTTAAAAACACAAGTTTAGTGGTGATCGAAAATCGCAGGGAATAAAGTCCCGAGAATAAATAAATCTAGACGGTAAATTAAAATCAAACAATTTCTGCACCCGGAACTGTATCCGCGGGCCGGGAATTTGTGGCCGTCACGCAGAATAGAATAGAAAATAATAAATTTTATGCAATATACGAGTAGATTAAAAGAATACTTATTAAAAGTCATTTAAGCTTTACCACTGGTTCGAAAAAACCTCAGTCCTGTGACGAATCATCAGGTAACACAGCGAGACTTTTAAAAAAAAACATATTTTAAACATTTAGAAACAGCGTGGTAGCGATCACCTAATTCCCAGGGGTTCTTATCAATCATGTACTCTTTAGTAGTATAATAACCCTTACTAGACAATTTTTGTTTGATAAAAATTTTAAACTTTTGATAGATAAGTCCTGCATGTCCACACTTTCCTCAAAATAAAATAAAAAAGCACAATAAAAAGAAGTTCTGAGAAGAACAGCATAATATGTTACTATGTCATCTCATCAATACTGATATAATTTAAAATTATAAATTTTGTACAAACGACTTCAATATAAATTATTAAGAATAACTCAAAAACTATTGGTCAGACCTTGATCAAATGTACATGGGATCACATGAGAAGCACCAGCTTTCAAATAAGAAAAGAATCATCGAAATCGGTTCACCCAGAAAAATAGTTATGAGGTAATAACACACACAAAAAAGAAAAAGAAAAAAACATACAGTCAAATTGAGTACCATCTCCTTTTTGAAGTCGGTAGAAAATAAATAAACATAATTTTACATATTTGTTCATTGTTTTTTCAGTGTATGCTATGGAGTTGGTATCTATCAGATGACACACAGTTCTACGCAGTGAGCGCCATCCTACTCATTTTGGCGACGAGGTAAGTTTTGGACCTTCAAATTTTGTTAATTACAAGACAAAATATTAAGATGATATTCTCTAATACATATTACACATATACGACACTGTAAATGCAATTTGTCCGTGATGACTTGTGGATCTGAGATGTGGTCCTTCACTGCTGGCTGTATTAGGAAGCTCAAGGTCGCTCTATGCTATGAAGAGAGCTATGCTCGGGTTTTTTTGCATAATAGGCTTAAAAATAAAGATATCCGCAGTAGAACCACAGTAACCGACATAGCCCAACGGATTAGTAAGCTGAAGTGGCAATGGTCCGGCCAACCGACAACCGATAGGGAAGAAAGGTTTTCGTGTGGCAGCCTCGTACCGGTAGGCGAAGTGTAGAACGGTTCCTCACAAAGACAACCTGATAAGACATGCAGGAAGTTGATGGATGCACGTAACTCAGGACCGTGCTTTGTGGCATTCCTTGGGAGAGGCCTATGTTCGGCAGTGGACTTGCGAAAGACGAAAGAATAATGTCTATATTTATTCACATACTCCTTATTTTTCATGTGACATTCGAGGTAACAGCCCCCCCCCCCCCCCGATGGTATAAGACTACTGCAGGCCATGGATATCTGAACTACAAAGAAAGAAAATCACAGATGCCTTGTCACCCCTAAGAACTAAGCTGGAATGCCTCACAGCCTATTCTGGTTTCAATTACAATGGCTTCTGTGCTGTTGTTGGCAGATAAGTAAGAAGTTGGTATCAATCCAAACGAATCCCTAGGCAAATAAGAGTGTAAGAAACTAGTACAAATTTAAATTTCCTTAAAACTAAAATTAATTTTAAATTTCCTTAAAAGAACCGTATATCCTTGAGTTGCTTAGTTCCGTGCTTTTACGACCACAGTGTCCAGTCAGGGCCCCTTGCCGGAATGCGCAATTTATTTTTACCTAATCCCAGGGCTTCTGAAGCAAATTTACGATCGAAAGCCCGGGTTAAGTTTTTAGAACGTTTTAAGCCTGGTGTATCAGACCAGATTTTAAGTGAGTTATTGTGATAAAGTGTTTCAAGGGTCAATCGAGCTAGGCTTTCTTAGAATCCACAAAATGGGTTGGGTCCAAATTGTATACTCTTTGACTCTCCCGTGCGAGCTTGTCGGCAAGTTTATTGCCTACAATACCCGCGTGATCCGGAACTCATCTTAAAACGACCCTGATGTTACATCCCAGGGCGTTTATACGGTTCACGCAGTCTTCAACTAGCTTCGAGTTCACCAAGTTTGACCTCAGCGCTAGCAGTGCTGCTTGACTATCAGAATTTATATGGATTATATGGTTGACGTAGTGTTTTTGCAGATTGATTTCCGCACACTGAAGTGTGGCGAAGGTTTGTGCCTGGAAGATAGAGGTGAATCTACCCAATTTCATACTAAGTTTGAAGTTTGAACTCATACTAAGTTAAATTGTAAAGCCTAAATCGAAGCCCATTTTAGATCTATCGGTTTACCATATAAGGCTACCGACCTCACAGATAACCTGGCCATTCAGCCAGTCTTCTCTGGAGGGTAGTTCTACTATATACTGTTTTATTAAAAGTGTATAGTGGACGCATGATATCTTAGATCATGCATAAAACCGATGTTTCCTTAATTGAGTCCAACATGGATCTCAATCTATAGGAGAGATCAAGAGAACAAGATCAAACTACCCTGGGCGTTAATCCTATACAAAGTATCCCTCGCCTCCTTGTCTAAATAAAGATCAAGGGGCATTAGGCATAGTTCGCTCCAGTTGCTATTAAGCAGGCAGTCGTTTGTAGACTACTTCGTCTGTCAACAGTCGTCTTTAGGTTGTCTTTACTACACCAGACAGTAGAGGCGTAGGTAAGAATCGGCCTCACTATGCTCCTGTACAGCCAAAGGATCATACTACGACGCAAGCCCCAGTTGTTCCCGACCAAACGACTGCACGTACCTAAAGCAATTTTAGCCTTATGACATACGTTGCTAAGATGAGATTTCCACGTTAGTTTTTGGTCGATTGTTACGTACAAGTACTTAACTTCAGTGGAGAATGGTACTTCTTTACCATTGAGTTTCGGTGTGAATAATTTATCCAACAGCATAACCTAGTGTATCAATGCGAAGGTCTGCCATCTTATACAATAGTTGTTCAACCGCAAGAGTCCAAATAAAGGGTGAAAAACACCTCCTTGTGGATAGTCTCTTGTAGTTGCAACCTCAATCTAAGTTTGAAATAGCGCTATTTTTGCCTTTATGTTTGAGAGCATCGACTTCACCCATCTGATGGTTGTCTAATATACGAGTATCTATCTATAATCTTTTCCAATGCCTTAAGAAGAAAGGAAGATAGGCTTATAGGTCTAAAAGACTTTGGTAAAGCGTAGTCCTTTCTACCAGCCTTAGGTAAAATAGAAGTTTGACAATTGTCCATCGTTCTGGAATATATCCCCATGAAAAACTTACTCTTAGGATTTTCACCAGATAAGGATGAAGGATATCCCTCTGTAGTTGTATGGGAATTATTCCATCCTCCCCGCTTTTGTTATATGGTTTAAAGGAGTCAACAGCCCACTGCACCAGGTTTGGCCTTACTATCTTTGCAGCCCTACACCAGTTCTCATTACAAGGCCTTCGTAGGGCTCTGAAAGAGTTCAAGGCCAAAGTTTTATATGACCCTGGGAAATGGGTTGACGCTAGTAACTCCAAAGTTTCTGTTTCACTAGTAGTGAAGTTACCATCAGGCTTTTTAAAAAGTTCGATCTGATTAGGTTTAGCTTTCTATAACATTTTGTGTAGTTTTGCACTGCGAGGCAAAGACTCAACTTCCTCGTATAGCTTCCTCCACGATGTTCAGCAGCTAAGAATCTTTCCTAATTTCTTTCTTATACATATTCGGTTAGAGCTGCACTAGTTTCCTGGCCTTTTCCTTCCTTTGATCCTTTAGCTTAGTGATTCACCAAGGAACTTTTCATGTTGTGGTCTTGGTTTCGACGGGAAAACTGTCTTTGAAATATTCACGTATACCTACGGTTATTGTCACCGTCGCTAACTCCAGACCTTCAATCGTTTTGATGCTTTTAGAAAACGTTTCCAAATTCAGCCTTAAGCTATCTCTGTAGACATCCCAGGAGGTCGCTTTTGGATCCCTAAAGCAATAGTTTCATAAGTTGGTGATGCTCTAATCACAAACATAATGTGTTTATGATCAGACATCCAGTTTTCACTACTAACATGCCAGTCACTTATCAGCCTGGATATGTTATTGATAACAAAGGTTATATCTAACACTTCTTGCCTATCACGGGTTACAAAGGTTGGTGTACAACCTAAGTTTAGGCTTACTAGGCAATTGGATATGAGAAAGTCATACAGTAACTCAACTCTTTCGTTGATGTTAGTGTATCCTCAGACTGTGTGGTGAGCATTAGCATCACATCCCACCACGTATTCGGCATTGTATTTTCGTTGTAGTACTCTGGAACAGTTAAAAGTTCAATGATTTTTGTAAATTATACAAGCTCTAGGTCTACTGCCTTTAGTATTGACTAATATCTCACCGGCAGCCGACAATCCCAAAACTTGATCGTTGGCCACCCAAGGCTCTCTTATGCGGGCGAGGTCGATATTGTCCTCTCCAAAACAAACCTTCCCTATGACAGAAGCTGCTGCTGCATGGTAAAGATTTGCCTAGAGGACCATCGTCCTACCCTTGGGGCTAGCCATTTATAGGCGCGGGGGAGCAGGGGTTGTTTTCACCCGCTGAGAACGAAGACGTTCTTTAGTGACGCTCTTGACCCCCTCCGTACCTTTCACTCTACCGCTCCCACCTTCCTTCCTCTTACCCCTGGCCGACACCAGCGGAGGCCTTCGCACAGAGGTGAGATCAGTCCCTTAAGTCTTAGTCACTCTCGCTGATGACGTTCCAATCTCACCCCGAGGTGGGGGTTGAGGGATTGGAATTGAGGTGTTTCATGCTCCGTTACCGCCTCAGAGCCTCCCCTGACTCTGAAAGTTATCATTTTATAGCCAAGGACGACTCTGCCGCCTGCCGCCCGGAGAGCCTCCGCCGACGGGTCGTCCAGAGAAAAGGTTACTAGGAATTCATTCTCCTCGTCCCTACGGTGGAAGATTTTCCAGAGCTCAGAGCCATTCAATTTATGCCCTCAACAGCACAGCCGCCTCCTCTGGAGAGTCAGCTTCGCTGCGAGGCAGATGGGTAATGCCCAACTGAGGCTTAAGCAGTTCGCTGTCAGGTATTGTCGAGAGCCCAGACTCCAGCCAGGGTTGCAATTTTTCGACTTCACCCACAACCCAGTCCTAGCTTGACTTATTCAGGCACGTTACCAGAATCCAAGCTGGCTTGTGGGTGAATCCCGAAAACTTCTGTCCCATTCCCGGCTGCGCCCCACAGGCCAAATTAGCGATAGCCTATGTTAATGCCCGGTGGACCAGCCGCATCTGCTCCATGCTCATAGAATTCGAATTATGGATTCCGACACACGCGGAGCTAGCTACGGCACTGAAGCAGAGCTTTTCTCCCCCGTTGCCAGCTTCACGGATTTCCTGGGTTAGTCTTTGGGAGACTCCTCCTCAGACCGACTGCGTTTTTTCGCCTTCGGAACTGGGGTAGGTTTGGGCAGAGGAATCTCGTCCCAGGGCTTCTAGCAGAGTGAGAAGGCTTCTTCGGCTCCTATCTCAGCAGCTATCGGCCTTCTGCACCTCTTTCATGCCCTCCACTTCACGGATCGTCCCAGGTTGGGGCGTAGTGTTGCAGGGTGTTGGTGAGGCTAAAAGAGCATCTTTCAGACCTTCAGACAGTTCCATTCAAGGAGATTTTTCATCTATTTTCTCAAAATGTCGATCTTCATCCATTTTGGTCCCACGATTAGAAAATTCTAGAAAAAGATAGGGAAATATTCGGTCACCCCCGGTAGAGCGCCGCATGCCGAGGGAAGGTCTAAAATACTACCCGAATCGCCCTAGTCTCGAGTAGGCACCGTTTGCGACTAGACTCCCTCCAGCCACGCATCCATCGGCATGTCATGCTTAACACTTGGATTGGGTTAGGATAGGAAAAAGGGGGTGGGATTAAAAGAAAAGAAAAAGAAGATCGTCTGAGTGTTTCTGTTCAGTCTGTTTCCTATTGAACCAGACCAAATAACAAGTGGCAACTACGTGAAGGAAGAACTCCTCAGACTTGGCCTGGGGATCAACACGTCCTACGCTCTCCCCCAGAGCCATTCGCCAAACTGCTCGCCAGACAAGAGAGCAGAATAGGTGTTAATCTAGTCCTACTGATAATGTCAAAATGTGAAAATTAGGAATAGATTAATCCCCGCCCATGAATATACCTTAAATTATCTTCAAAACGTTTCTATTTTATTAGCGAACAGACAGACAGATTTTTTTTAAATGGTTATTTATGCCAGTCATAGCGTGCCAATAACATCCTGAGATTAAAAGAAACCAGTTATTTCTATGACAGACAGATAGACACTTCAATTTTATTTATATGTATATTTTCTATTATTTGACAGTCACTTCAAATTATCGGTTATTTTGACGAGCGTGTTCTTCCTGTCATCCCTGGTGACGACGGGATACGTATCGTGGAGCAGCGAGCACGTTCCCAGCGGGGAAGACCCCTTCACCCAGTTCGATAAAATATACGACAAGCCTTGGACGAGACTGGGGCCCTACCTCGTCGGCATGGCCACTGGATGGATACTATTCAAGACTAACTTAAAGATTCGAATGAATAGGGTAAGTAATTTGATTTATTTATCATCATCGTCGTCAGCATCGTTATCACATAGCATAGGCCTGGAATGCACTTTTGGGACTCACTTGAAAGCAAGAGCCATTTTATTCAATGTTTAGGTTTATGAAGAACACTTGTTAAAAATCATTTAAGCTTTACCACTGGTTCGGAAAAAACCTCTATTATCCTCTATTAGTCCTCCATTAATTCTCCCTTATATGGTGTGTATATGCCTGCCTCGACGGTCTTGTGGTCGTAACCGCGTTTGCTGATCATAATTAGCTAATCACGAGGTCCCGGGTTTAAATCCAGTGTCAGGCCAAATTCAGTTATTGGGTTTCCCTGTCAAGAAATTATCAGTAGCGCCCGGAGTCAGGAAGTTGGTCGCTTCCGGTTGGAAGATTTTTTTATAGGATAGGGTGACAAACGATCACACAGTTCACCTGATGGTAAGTGATTGCTGTGACCCATAGACATCTACATTTATCCTCAATAAAGAATCAAAATACAGTTGCGTCGTCACGCGTGAGGATTAAGATGGAATGCTTCTTTTCCAGTAAAATGGGTCTCCGGTTCTCTACACTCACCATACGAAACACAGCAGTGTCAAGCTGCCATTTTACGCTGGTGTTCTGTGAGAGGTGTGGTCCTTCCCCGGTCGAGCCGACCCATTCGTGCTACAACTGTACTAATAATATAGCTGCAACAAGTACCGGTCGTGTCGAATTACCTTCCCATAGGCCTATGAAAGTGAGGGAATATATTGCACTTGTACCTGCACTTACACGTCGGCAGTATAATCCTGTCCTGGCAGATAGCTAGTCTCCGTGAGACGGGGTGCCGTGAACGTAACTTGGTCTGGAGGACTTTATTATTATGATTACCTGACAAAAAGTTTTGCATAACAAAAACGGGGTGTGGCTGTGTCGTGGACACGGCCGTGTGTGATACGTGTACGTAACGAAACTACCTCAAAATGGCGGCACTCGCCCCTCCATCGCGCGCAATTCGTCAGGGTCCTCACTTAACATAACGAAATGTTTGATCCTTTAGATATCAAGTATAATTAAATGTAGAATGTAGATGATAGATGTAGCTGCAACATCAAACTGTATCTCCCGATTTTGTTATCATCAGTTTTCTGAATTGCCTCCCACTATGGAAGCTTTGCAGACGTATTCACGTCAACAATTGATTTTTTTTCAGATATGGGCGTACGTGGGATGGACTGTATGTACGTGCACGCTGCTGTTCCTGATCTTCGGGCTGTACAGCACGCAGTTGAACGTGGCCGTGGCCGCTGTGTACAGCGCGCTCTCGCACTCATTGTGGGCCGCCTGCATCGGCTGGGTCATCGTCGCGTGCTCCACGGGACACGGCGGTAAGGCTGTACCCTTTTATAACACTCGGTTAATGACGGCAGCATCTATTATCATTAGACTCACAAATCGCATTGTAATTGGCGTAAAACACAAGTCCGTGTCCACGACAAAGCCACATCCGGATTTTTTTTTCCTGTAAATTGTTATGATATACAATAAAATTATATTTATTATTATTGGCAGGCTGGGTGCATCCGCTGCTCTCCGCGCCGATCCTGTACCCGTTCTCGCGAGTGACGTACTGCGCGTACCTGGTGCACCCGGTGGTGCTGCGCTTCGTGGCCATGCACCTCACGCACCCCATACACCTGGGCGAGCTGCTCGTCGTGAGTACAACACCTGCACGCACGCACGCACACATACACACAGCTCCCGGATTATGATTGTACTACATAGTTCTCTTACTTAAGTCCGAATATTTTACTATGGCATCCCTGTAAGGTGCTTCTCATCCCTTCTTAACTCTCTCATCAGCCGAGTGTACTCATGGACATGGATTTTTTTTTCGTTTTTTTATATCATAAGGATCACAAACCACCTGATACCTGATACAGTCCACCTGATGTTAAGTGGTGGATGTGACCCAAAGACATCTACATTTACCCTCGATTAAACATCGAAATGCAGATACGTTGTCATCCCTGAGGACTAAGATAGAATGCCTCGTTTCTAGTAAAAAGGGTCTCCGGTTCTCTTACTCTCACTATACAAAACACAGCAGCATTAAGCTGCTACACGCTGGTATATGAATGAGTATGGTTCTCCACCGATGGAGCCTACCATTCGTGCCACAAACATAATATAGCTGCAGCGTGGCTCTACCAGATTTTGCAGAAAGTAAGGAAGAGAACATCTCGCGGTTCTCGCGTCATAGCATGCCTTCGCTGATCTAGAAATTCCCATTTGCTATAAATGGGAGATCGTTATAGCATCATCCCATCCTGTAGCTATCGTCAGAGATGACTTTGGGTAATGCTACAAAAATCTTCAGATAGATAGAATAAAAACCCTTTGGTTCCCGTTATCAGAATCAGTATTCTAACGTATAGAAATAATGGGGTTGTTATAAATTAATTTGCTTAATTCCGCGCAAAGAAAGAAAATAATGTGTCCTGCCCAGTTTTAAGGGGATCTCCCACCCTCCCTCAATCGCGCGCACTATACCCGTCGCCTACCATCACTACTACACTACACTACCATCCCCAGGACCACCACTCACTTAGCGGCCAGCCTCCGCAGAGTCTACTTCACCTGAGGATATGTACAGGCGAAAAACGTGTCGTATTTTCGAGAGTGGTGTGTCGTGCCTAGTGTGGTGGTGCTGGGATTGACGGCGACGGGTACAGTGCGCGCGATTGAGGGAGGGTGGGAGGTCCCCTTTATAATGGATTTCCACAAAGTAACGCCTGATTCTATTAAGTATAGAAATAACTTTAATTCGGAAAACTCGACCATAAAAAAATGTTCCTCCTCGAACTAACACGAGCATCGTTATAGCAGATCTTTAATAATACTCTTACTCCCTAGCCAATGGCAAGGCATACATTTTGTAAGAATCTTTTAACATTTTGTATTCTATTTTTTCTTTCCTAGTTTGTAATTTGGTGTGTGCAATAAAGAACTGTCTATCTATCTATGTATCTACCTAAATATCTTACTGTCCGTTGCCGATGTGTGTGTTTTTTTTATATAAAAAAAATAGTGTGCAACGAGCACATAGTCTACCTGATGGTATGTGGCTGCTATGGCCCATAGACATCTACATCTATCTTCATTTTCGAATCAAAATGCAGATGTGTTGTCAGCCTTGAGGACTAAGATGGAATGTCTCTTTCCAGTAAAAAGGGTTTCCGGTTCTCTACACTAACCATACGATACACAGCAGCATTAAGCTGCTATTTTACGCTGGTATTCAACTGTGATGTGCATTTACATCTAACCTTAACTACATGGTTGTACCACCTTATAGCGGAAACCATGAGAATTTTCTCGCATTTCTCATTATCGCCTCGTACGACACGAATGAAACGAAAGGGGACAATGGATTGTTTTACGCCCCCACCAGATCATAATTAATTCGTTCTTCGCTTTCAGTTCGTACTGTTCCTGGGCTTGACTGTGATGTCTTACTTCTTCGCTTTCTTGATCTCGGTAGCTTTCGAGGCGCCCATCGTCACTATGCTCAAGATTCTTTCTCCGCAGAAGAAACCGCACAGGGTCTGAACTAAACTAGTGTTAGTTGTAAATATTCGCCAATAGATGGCGATGTATACAAAGACTTCTTTAACTGCAAACCTCTTTTGTACATTGAATGTGGGGAAGCCAGTTTTTACTTTTGTAAGCGGAAATGAAACAGGCAATATGAATTCTGATTTTCTTGGCTCATATTTCATAAAAAATGCAGTTTTAAGAATGAAAACAAAAGGTTCTTGTTTCTTATTAATGTGCTTTTATAAGAAAAAACATACGCGTCGAATATACAACCTCCTCCGAATACAACTAAAAAATTTTGATTTCTAAATTGTGGAAAACGTCGTCGCTTATTTACGTCACGATTTTGAAGCGATTTTCACTATAATTTAAGGATTTCTCAAGGAAGGTTTATATATTATATATGCAATATTTTAATTTAAGGATAGAAATGTCAAAAGTGAAATTTTAACATTATGTAACGAAGTCGCAAAAACCTTATAGCTCCTTTTTTTTAAACGTTATTTAAACTAAGTACTATATTTTAGTCAACTTCATTTACTTCACTGGTGTTCTCAGAAATGTATTAGGTACTGAATCATTTACCTGTGTAATATTATAAGAATAAAATCTGATGATTCGTGGTTTTATACACTATAGTGGTAAATCGCATGCATGAATAGCCTGGCGGTTATTCAGTATCATAGCATTACCATAACCGTTTACATATTTTTAAAGAATAATATACTGTAGGAAACATATACATAAAAATCTTCTATGTAGAAAAGAAATAAAACATTTTATTTACGTTTGATTAAGGTACACTGAAGAAGGTCATAATCAGGCCAATCAGGCATTATTACTGGCATGCAAATCTTAGAACTATAAAATGTCGAGATAATAATATTTAAGAGTAAAATGTCTATAATAATAAAACGTCAACGAGTAATCAATAAATAGGTTATAATTAATAAAGATTTCATAATTGCTCCAGTAAATTTGTTTCAGTCAAGTTGCTATTACGTTAGTTCAAATATTCCTGTACACTGTGAAAAGCCTTTTCACTGAGTCAGTTGTATGATTCTCTTTTAAATTTAATGAAGGATAGGGCTTGAATTACTTGTTAAATCTTATTATATATACTGTCATACACACCCAATAGCAATTTTTATGGAATCTCGCACTCTCGGGAATTATAGAGGAACTAGATACAGGAAACCAAGAGTAAATCATACGTATGGTTTGGAATGAGAAAATAGGGGAATTAGTTGCTCTCTGTCACACGCACACAAAATAGTATCTATGTAGTTACAAAACGATTTAGTACTGCGAAATAATCTATCTATTAACTGCACCTTTATATTATAATGTCATTGCTAGAAATAATAACAATGACATGAATGACACGAGTTTGGAATGTTTATATTATGATTGTTTTCGAAAATTTATTATGTATGATGTAGCCAATAAGAGGGGAGTTTGTTTAAGCAATGTATGATTCGGTATCTTATTAATTTTAAGTGAATGTACAAATGTATTACTTACTTTATTATTTTAAAATTAAGAAATATCTTAGAATTAAGACTTGATTATTTATATAATATATTGATCATCATCATATCATATCATATGACATCATGGCCTATATTGATTATGCTATATAGGCAAACCAGATTTTAAACACGATTTGAAATTACCTATACGAAATCAATTTTAAAGAATTTAAAAAAAGGCACTTTGTGTAAATTTGTCAAACTCTTATACAGTATAACGACGTTTTGCAACGTTTGTGTACAAACTATTTTACGTTATTTGACACAAAATTAAATGATAAACGCATTGAGTTATATGTACTACGTACTAGAGAAGCCATTCCGAACATTGACTATGTTCAACTGAACTGTAGTGCAATCCATACAAACTAAATATTGCGTAAATTGAAGATTTGTGAATTCCATAAAATAATTATTACCTATTACGTTTTATTTAGAAATATAACCTGTTTGTTTAGATGAAATTAAGATATTTTATATTAAATTCTTATATTTATTTTATATTAATATCTTATTTTATATCAAATTAAAGTCTTCGCGCATGCGCGACTACTACTCCCGCGCATGCGCAAAGACATAAAGTAGGACACAGTTTTTGTTTGAAATGGCTTCTCTAGTACGTAGTACATATAACTCAATGGATAAACGCATTTTAGTAATGAACAATCCTCAAATTACAAAGTATTATGTAACAGAAAGTCTATCTATTTGAATAACCAAATGCTGTTGGTTACTACATGAAAAAAATCTTCGTCTTAATCCAGTCAAAAAAGTATAAGAGGTGTTTACATAAAATTTTATTTATTTACATTCATATTTTTTACAACCTATAAACAGTTTTACAATTTAATAACAAAAGCTATTAAAAAGTAGGCTAGTACGTAGATACAATATTCAAACAAAATATTTTAACCATGACAAGTCAGTATAAATATTTTTATAGCTACAAAGTGAAAAAAATTACACAATTATATACAATTATCAAATTTTGTGTACACGAAAGGTTATATAAATTCTTTGATAAGCGACGGCAGCATTTCGTCGCAACACAGCATAATTAATACTTTTAAAATAATATATATTAATTATATATTTAAAAAAATAATTTAAAAGACAATATTTTTTATATTTTAAACTTTTCAAATGGCAACATTGTAACTGTATAGTTTATAGTAAGGATATGACAATGGCAAGTGCTGCATTGTAAATTAATTAATGCTGTATTTACTTGTTAACGCTACGCCATGTAAATAAGTTGTAAATATTAATTATTTGTAAGTTTTTACACGACAATATATTTGTAATAAAACTGATTTATAATAACGGTTGATTTTATTTATATGTTCTCTTGGCCGGTCGCAATTTTGGTATTCAATTAGTTCAGTAATAATGAGTGGGGGCTATACTACACTACAATGTAATGTCATCGAGACCGAATTTTGGTCGCGGCGGCCAGTCTCAACGGATACTACAGACTTGCCATCGACGCGGGACGGCTCCGTGGCGCAGTAGCTTAGCAATAGGCTGCAATTAGGGTCGCAGGTTCGAATCCCGCACGGAATAAGTATTTGTATGGCCTACAATGTTTGGCCTTGTAAAATTTATGTTTTTGAACTGCCTCCACGATACAGGAGAAAATCCTATTGTGGGGGTAACGATTTTTAGAAAAAAAGAGAATGAGTGCGCTAGCAGTGGTGCACTTCTATTCGCTCTCTATCATAGTCCGATGGAACGGTAATCCAACACCACCGTAGAGAGATCACGCCCAGTACCAAGTTTACTTTACATATTTTCCTAGGCACGGCTCAAATTTTCTAGACAGAGAAACCCATATTTTTATTGACTAAGGGTGACAAATGAGTACACAGTTCACCCGATGGTAAGTGGATGCTGTGGCCCATAGACGTCCACATTCATCCTTAACTAAGAAACAAAGTTGTCAACCCTGCAATTTTAAGTGCTGATTTACCACGTGCTCGGCGATTAAGGTAAAAATCTTGAGGAAACCTGAACATGAAACTAATTTTACGGTTTTTAATCGCGTTTAATTTAATTTATTAAATTTATTTTATCAGCGCTTAAAATAGCAATTAATAATTTGAATAATTTTTAAATTATTTTCACAATTAATTTAAAATTTAATAAATTTTAAATAATTTGTGATGATCGAACTCGAGTTCTCGAACCCTGAGCTACAACGTATCTTTTAATTAGACAGATATTTATTGGTTTTATTTAGATATGTGTGTTTACTTATTATATATAATCTGTAACCGCCTTCGTGGTGTTATCACAGCCCTAAGGTTGACTGACAAATAATGTTTTTAGCATTAAGTCCACCTTTTAATCATATACGTTTGTTAGATTCAATAAAGATTAAATAAATAAATAAATAGACCGAATCGTAGAGGTATATTTTACCCTCAATAAAAAGAAACAATATTTGAGATCATAAATTTTTTGTACATATTTAATTTTTTTATTGTCTATGACAATACTTAGAACTATCTAACTTCACGAAGCCTTATTATGAGTACGCGTAGTCGCTGATCCTTCTAATCAGGCAGCAGCACGGCATCTCCACCAGCAGCGATAGCAGTAGCGCGCCCACTACGGTCATCAGGGAAGTGCCCGCGCAGTAAATCCACTAAAAAGTAACGATATATTTTAAACCCTTTTTTATATATAATAAGGGTGACAAACGAGCACACAGTCCACCTGATGGTAAATGGATGCTGTGGCCCATTGACATCCGCATTTATTCTCAATTAAGAATCAAAATGGAGATGCTTTGTTACCCCCCAGAAAGTTTAAGTGCTGATGACTTTTAAGGCCTGTGCCCAACAGTGGGACGTGTATAGGCTGTAACTTTAACTTTTATAAGACTAAGGTGGAATCTCTCGTTTCCAGTAAAAAGGCTCTCCGGTTCTCTACACTCCATACGAAATACAGCAGCACTAAGCTGCTATTTTACGCTGGTATTCTGTGAGAGCGTGGCCCTACCCATGTTAAGCCGACCCATTCGTGCTACAACCATATTAGATGCAGCGTGACTCTACCACTTTTTTGTAAATACCCATAAACAGTCCCATATATATTTTTATAGAATAAAGGTGACAAGCGAGCACACAGTCCGCCTGATGGTAAGTGGTTTCTGTGGCCCATAGACATCTACATCTGTCCTCGATTACGAATCAAGATGCAGATGCGTTGTCACCCGTGAGGACTAAGATGGAATGCCTCGTTTCCAGTAAAAAGGGTCTCCGGTTCTCTACACTTACCATTAGAAACACAGCAGCATTAAGCTGCTATTTTACGCTGGTATTCTGTGAGAGCGTGGTCCTTCCCCGGTCGAGCCGACCCATTTGTGCTACAACTATACTACTGATATAGCTACAGCATGGCTCTACCACGTAAAAATACACTTGACTTCAGACAAAGATACTTTCATCTAAGTGATAGGACTTGTCTTCCTAGGACTCCGTATGGGTAGGTACAGCACTCTTACTTATTTCTGCGGCCAAATAGCAGCGCTTGCACTGCTGTATTCCGATCAGAAGAGCATAAGAGCCAGTATAACTACAGGCTGTGAGACGTTCCATTTTAGTCCTAGGTGACAACTCATCTGTGGCCTTCTTTATTTGTACCATTGACTGCAATAGCCACTTAACATCAGGTGGACTGCACTTTGATTTTTTTTATACTAGTTGTTCCCCGCGAATTACCCCGCCTGTAATTTAGGGTTTTATTTATTTTGCGCTGAACCCTTAGAGGATAGATGTAGATATATATGGGTCGCAGCAACCACTTACCATCAGCTGGACTATGTGCTCGTTTGTCACCCTTATCCTATATAAAAAAAGTTTCCACGTAATGCTTGCTAGCCAGCCTTGCTAAACCAGCTACGTTGGTCGCTTGAAATTTTACTTACAAGGCAAACCGTGTTTGCACAGAAAGCATTTCCAGCAGTCAGCAGTAGCCACCTTGCGACTGGCCCGTGTAGCAACATTGCGCAGTAAGTGAGCCGGCTTAACGCCGCCACTACACCGCTATCCAGTATGCGACGTGTCTGACCTGATAAAAAAATATTATTTTCTATTAAACTAAAAAAGGATTAGTTGGTACAATTAAGTGAGAGAAAAGAATCTACTTCAAAACACATATACAAAAATGTGAGAGTAGCATAGTAAATGATATCTCTGACTAGAATGAATCTGAATGACAAGGTGCGAAATTGTGTGATAAAAGTGTGGTTTGCAAGATGATGTTGTGATCAGGATTAAGAAAGGAATGCTTCGATGACTTGGTCATGTAGAAAGAATGAACGACGAAAGAGTGTCAAAGTAAATCTATATTGCAGATGTGAACGGCAGAGTCGGGAAAGGACGCTCTAGACAAAAGTTTTTCGACCAAATTTGCGATATATTTAAAATGGGCTAGATTAAGAGTACCCTTAACCGACGAGCGTGTATGCGTAGATATATGGATGTAAAGGAGGCGAGAGAGGTGTGTCAGGATCGTGCCAAATGGAAGTCCGTAGTCTCTGCCTACCCCTTTGAGTGACAGGCGTGGGTGTTTATGTAAATCTGACTAGATACAGCTAAAAAATATCTTAAGTTGGCGGTGATTCACCATGAAAGACATTGGTGAAAACCAAAGCACGTAAAGCCGTTGATCTTGCGCCTGATCTCTCTTCGCTAGTGTCGGATTACCGTTCAATCGGACTATGACTACACTTGGACACTATAATTCTGTTCTACGCCGATGGCTAGTGTCCGACACCCATGAGCTCGTTTTTGAAGGTCCCTAAGTCGTACCGGTAAGAAAAATACGATAGTGATAGTCGATTCCACAAGGAAGTTGTGCGAGGAAGAAAACTGTAAATCGCACAGTGGTGGTGTGTTAATTAGTCTGAACAATTGCTCTGAGCACTCTTCTTGGTATGGTAAGAGATGCAATATCTGTTCACAGCGCCAGTGAGTCAAGCCGACCAATGAATGACATGATCACATTTGTCCCCAAGTATTTTATTAATCAGGCATATAGTTTTCCTCATGATCTTTTCCTTCATCACCGATCACGTGGTAAATCAGCACTTAAAATTGTAATATTAATTTAATTGGTACCGGTGGAGAACGAACCCGGGTTTCTCACATACTATGAATTTTACGACCAGTGCTAACCCCTAAGGTATTTACTTCATGCTAAAGATAAAAACGGATATTGTTAAAATAATAAAGCCACCAGCATAATCCGTGGAGGACACTAAAGCTGGCCAAAGCAAAGCCGCGGGCCAGGCTAAGTGCAGCCAGGAACAGCTCCAGTGTCCGTAGAGCGCGGACACCGACACTGACGCAACCAGCACTGCAGCCGAGAGCAGCCAGAGGCAACACGACACCAGCTGAAAAGCATTAACATTAAAAAAAACAGTCATTAATTACATGGTAAGGTCGGAAAATTTTATTTAAAAAAAATATGCTATGATATACGGTAGGCGAAATGTAGGGCGACCCCCCACTAGATGGAGTGACGACCTGGTGAGACATGCAAGAAGTCAATGGATGCAGGTGGATCAGAACCGTGCTTTATGGCATTCCTTCAGGGAGGCCTATGTTCAGTAGTGGACTTGTGAAGGGCTGTAATGATGATGATGATGATGCTAGGGTAAAAAAAAATACTTTTAATAAAAATATGCTAGGTATTCAAAAAATTAACTTTTGATAAAAATACGTTAGGGTTGTTATTTATCTTTTAATAAAAATATGCTAGAGTGAAAATATTTAACTTTTAATAAAAATATTCCTGGGGTCAAAAAATTATACTTTTAATAAAAATATGCTAGGGTCAAAAAAATTGTTTTAATAAAAATATCGAATTTAAAAAAAAATTAACTATTAATAAAAATATGCTGGGGTGAACAAAATTAAACTTTTAATAAAAAGTAAAAACTGACTTTAAAGAACTCAATAAATCGATCTGAGGTGCAGGTACAATCCCGGTTACAGCTTGAAGATTTTGGTATACCCCAAGGTAGTATACTTGGACCGCTTCTTTTCATATTGTAACATCAATGACATACCTAATGTGCAGCATTACATGATTCTTTTTGCAGATGATTCTACTGTAATGATAAAAATAACAGCAATAAACCATACGAATGTTTTATTGCTGAAGCTTTGTCTGATATTATCAGTTGGATGAAATCTAATGATCTCGTCATAAACCTAGATAAGACAAAATATATGCAGTTTTATCTTCCCCAAAACCGGAAACAAGAGATTGTTAAGTATGAGGGACATTTCATTGAGCGAGTGAAACAGCTACGTTTCCTTGGTGTGTTGGTTGATGAATGTGTAAGCTGGAAACAATACGAATATCTTACAAGTAAAATTAGTAAGTTTGTTTATCCTCTAAGAAAATTAGCACAAACTATCTCACAAAAAGCTGCACTTTGCTTTACTTATCATGGATACGTTGCCACCAACTTAAGATATGGTATAATACATTAGGGAAGCGCGGCTGATCTTAACCTGTTGCCATTGTTGTTTCTTATGCAAAAAAAGTGTCTCAGGACAATGTTTGTTGCCAAACAAACAGATAGTTGCAGACCTCTGTTTGTAAAATTAAGAATCCTAAATTTACCCTCGTTGTACATAATATAAGAAGCCCGCTTATTTGTCAAAAGTAATTTATATTATTCTAACACCCACATTGCTAAGCACCTGCGACAAATAAAGAATAATGTTACTATTATACCGTTTCACACATCTAGGACAACTTTTTTCTCAAAAAGTTTTTATGCATTAGAAACAAAAATATTATTAATCTAATAAATATAATCATTTACCTGACAATTTAAAGGTAAAAGTAAAAAAAAATAAGAATAAACATTCTTCGAATTATTAACTGAAAGATTTTTACTCCTTAAAATATTATTTTAGCTGCAAACTTACATTCTAAATTAATTTTCATTTGAATTATTTTCCGAATTATGTTTATTAAAATCTCTACATTTTAGTTATAAGCTAATATTTATTTTGACATATTAATATTTCATTGTACTTACGACATTATATTTATTATCTATGTATGTTTAAATATTCCATTCTATGACATCATTATTTATTGTCCGTGTTTGTTGATTTGATTTAATGAATAATGAGATAACGTTTTAAATATCATGATTTTAATAATATTACATAAATAGCCTTAATAAGAATAAAGATGTTCGTACCTTAAACACTAGGAAATTGTATAATTATTTGTAATGCCAGTTACTAGACTCCACAGAATTAGTAATTCATTTATGGGGCAATATATACGCTTTTACAACAAAATCCCAGAACATATTCAAAGTTTGTCAATAAACAAGTTTAAAAGTTTTATTAAAGAAAAACTGTACAAAAAGAGTTATTATATAATCAAGGAATACAGGAATGAAAATAACTCCTGGGAATAAACTGATCGCCACCATGCTGGTTCTATGAAAATTCATTTAAAAATTGTATAAACAAAATTATTATTAGGTGAAATATGTTTAAAAAAAAGTCCCGCTGGGTTTCTTGCTGGTTCTTTCCAGGACAGAGGCATTTTCCGAACCAGTGGTAAATAAAAAATGACTTTCAGTAAGTATTATGTTTATTTTTTTTTAAAGTTACCCCCACACTAGTATTTTCTCCTGTATCGTGGAGGCAGTTTACAAACATACATTGCACGAGGACAAACATCCAGACCCGGAACAATTATTTGTAGGCCATACAAATACTTGTTCCGTGCGGGATTCGAACCCGCGGCCCCCGGCGCTGCAACTCACTGCTAAGCCACTGCGCTACGGAGCTGTCATTATGTAACAATCAATATTGAATAAAAATCATTCTATAATTCTGCTGTGTTTCGTATGGTAAGTGTAGAGAACCGGAGACCCTTTTCACTGAAAATGAGGCATTCCGTCTTAGTCCTCAGGGGTGACAATGTGTCTGCATTTTGATTCTTAATGAGAATAATTGTAGATGTCTATGGGCCACATCATCCATTTACCATCAGGTGGATTGTGTGCTCGTTTGTCACCCTTATTATGTAAAAAAAAAATATTACCCTCGGCACTCGAGTCCGTCCGTCAAGCTTGTGCACCAACCAGCCTGAGAGTACACCGATGAAGTATGGAGCCACTCGTGCTACTGGACGTTGGATGAATAATAAATATCCTTCGAATATTCCATGAAATCTAAAAATTTATATATGTAATTACTTAATAAATCTTTATAAGTAAAAATAATAAATAAAACCGTTTATCAAAATAAATCAATGTCATATTTAAGTAAAATTATGGTCAACGCCCACTGGCAGTGGCGTAGGAGAATCAAATACTAGATTTATTTCCATGGTAATCGTAGAAGGCATGTTCACGCCCGAACGCTGGTTTCGGAATTTTACGCCAGAGGGCGCTCGGCTCGGCGCCATACCGGTTTTGAAGTTCGGTCGAGCGGTGTGGCGAGCGCGCGCGAGCGCAGGAGTCGTTTGCCAGCTGTGCTTGGGACAGCACGCTGTCATTTTTTTGTGCGGGAACACGGAATAGTTTTGGCGCGTCTAATAAATATACTGTCTAGCGTTCGTATCGCGCATTCCTTATTTGAGAGCTTTTCCCGGGACTTCTTGTGTCTAACTCAGAATCTGTATAAGGGTATTCCTACTACTGCGGCATTTGATATTCTTGAAATAATTGTTGCCACGCGAAACCGTAGTGAACTTTGATCCGGACATTCGTATTCGTGCGGTGTGTTACATTTTTGCTTATAGTAACGGGATTTCGTATAGACCAACATTCTGTATTTGTGTTGGGTGTTACGCTTTATAACAAATTAGAGTTAGTGGCTTCTGGAAGTTAGTTAATGGTACGATAAAGTTAAGGACTGTCTTCGTAACGAACGAAGGAAGTGACTGTGGACGACTCCGCGGAAGATTACCACAATTTGGAGCGGTGCTGAAGTCCGAGCTGCTGCCGACGGCAACGGTCTCATAAGGTCTACCACACTCAGTCACACACAGATACACATCACTGACCCTTACTTCCCATGCACCATACAACCCCATGCGACCTGACCGAACCCTGAGGGACCAGTCGCCTTGGATATAGGTAAGTAAGCTCGGTTTTAATATTCTCCTCGTTGAATGCCAGTAGGATAGAACGCTCCCCCTTATTGTTTATTGTAATTAGAGATTTTCCACTTTGACCTTAGGAGGCCCGACCTCCATCTGCAGGTTCTTCCTTCATGGGCCGGGAGGATCCTACTCTTGGATAGGCAGCTGCACGCCGTAACAAATTGGTAGCAGAGCGTGGTTCCGGGTTCAATTCCCCGGTCGATCCCGACCATAGTGTTTGATAAAAATTAAACAATTCTGGTGGCAGGGAGCGTTGGTTTGATTGGTTTAATTTTGTGTCTACAATCACGCCCGTCCGTAATACGTAAAAATATTTTTTTGTACGTAATAATAAAATTATTTTCCTTTGTTGCTTGCTTATTTGGTTAGTGGGTAGATTTGAAAAGCCGCGCCCGTTTAGTGCGCAAGCGGGAGTTTTTATAGAGGTATGCGTCATGTAGGTAGATGGTTATTATCACGTAATCGGTTAATTATCGTTGTCGGATAGTTGTAGTGGATTACTTATCGAAGGGTCGATTTCCGAGCGAGGCATTTTTTGTTGATCGATCGTGATGTGTATCTTTAGTCGTATTGTAATTTGTATTTGAGCTAAAGAGTAGTAATTTGTATTTGCGCAATTTGAATTTAACTTGATTTGATCGCACTAGTATTTGTTATTTGTTGATTTGATTTGTGTCTTTTCTTTTGTGGTAACTTGTATTTAATTAATAAGTAGTAGTTCGTATTGGTATAATTTCTATTCAACTCGATTTGATAGGAACTGCATTTGTTAACTGTTAATTTTTTTGTTGTATTTGTTATTTGTTATTTTGTAATTTGTGCTCGAGCCGCGTCGTAATTTGTATTTAGTAGTGATGTCATCGCCCAAGCTACTAATCCGTTGCCTGCGGACTGAGTTACGCTAGGCCACCAGCGCCCATGCTTTGATAGGTCGACCGGATAGGGTCCATAACTTGATGAAGCGGCTCGAGCAAGTCGATGCTCGAAGGGCCGCAGTGGAGGAGGCTTACGCCGAGCTCGAGGATTCGGATGTGGAAAAGGGAGTCCTGGACACCTGCTTCGCAGACTACGAGCAGTTCTTTTCGCTCACGGACGAGTTGATCGAGATGCCGAGGAGGCGCATGAAGCTCGGATGAGTGGCCTGCCCGAGTCCTCTCGGAGACAGCCTCAGCCGGAGCTGTTGGGACGACTCCCAACTCTGGACCTGCCCAGGTACTCCGAGGTCCTTTCCGAATGGCTGACCTTCGTTGGTCTTTTCGACAGCCTAGTGGACGCCCGGAGTGACTTGACCCCGAGCCAGAAGATGGCGTACCTCCTGGCCTCACTGGAGGGGGAGGCCTTAGGATTGTCGGACGACGCCTACCAGACTGCTCGGGACCTCCTAGCCAGAAGATACGCCAACGTTCGGCGAATTGCGGACGATCATGTTAAGCAGTTTCTAAGCCTCCCGCTGCTGAGTGACTGGGCCAGACTACGTCCGGACCTGTTGAATCTAGTCTTGGTGGCCTGTAATACGTTGAGGCGGCTGGATTTACCAGTGGGCGAATGGGCCTTTTTGCTGCTCCGCATCGTGCTGTCCCGTCTACCTCTCGACCTTCGAATACATTTTGAGGAGAGGTACGGCGGAGATGGGGCCTCCTATGTTCCGCCCTTCAATGACCTGCTGCGGTTTTTGGAGGAGCAGTGCCGGCAAATTGAGAATGCGGCGGGCACAGTTGACGACCTACGAGCCGTGCCCAGTGCGAGGCGGAATCCGCCGGGAAAGTCATCGTCAACCCCCCCCCCCCCCAGGCCTATCGGAGCTCCCGCGGGAGGGCGTCGTTCCCTACCATCTTACAGTGGCGCTAGATAGGCAGCTGCACGCCGTAACAAGGCAACTGCAGAAAAATCAAGAAATAGCTTATGCTTTAGATGACGGTATACCATTTCGCAAATTATAATACACCGTAGAGTGGCAGTGTAAGAATATCCATTACTCAATATCGTTCCGTAGGTGTCGTGAGAGGCGACGGAGGGAAACTAAAACAGGAAAGGAACAGCAGCATCTTTTTTTTATAGGATAAGGGTGACAAACGAGCACACAGTCCACCTGATGGTAAGTGACTGCAGTGGCCCATAGACATCTGCATTTATCCACAATAAAGAATCAAAACTTTTATTTATGTTACAAAAACTATTATCCATCTTTTGTTTCTTAAACTTAATTTATGTTCCATCTACCATTAAAATAGGCAAATTATAATAATAATAATAATTCTGTATTGAACACAGATATAATATACAATTCATTCGTTCTCTGACTCGTAAACTAGGTTACCCTGTATGTTAGGAGGCAGTTTCCAACCCATTAAGTGATCTCATTTTCCGTGTACAATACAGACTCTAAAATATTAAAAAAGTATGTGTGTGTGTGTGTGTGTGTGTGTGTGTATGTGTGTGTGTGTGTGTGTGTGCGCGCGCGTGCGTGTGTGTGTGTGCGTGTGTGTGTGCGTGTGTGCGTCGTGCGTGCGTGCGTGTGTGTGTGTGTGTGTGTGTGTGTGTGTGTGTGTGTGTGTGTGTGTGTGTGTGTGTGTGTGTGTGTGTGTGTGTGTGTGTGTGTGTGTGTGCGCGTCTGTTTTCATTAAAATATGTGTACATAACTTAAAGTAGATTTTCACAATTTTCATAGTCGTATTCTTTTAACCAATTTAAAATAGCTTGTTTCATTTGGTAACTTTTTAAGTTATTTAACTTTATTTTTTTATTAATAGTATTAAATAAAAATTGTAAACAATGTTATTGTTTTAGAATGATGTGTTCTCCTATAGTTGGTATTGCATAGTTGGAGACCCATACAAATAAATAAATAAATGCAGCATTGTCAACCCTGAGGACTGAGATGGAGTGCCCCGTTTCCAATAAAAAGGGTCTCCGGTTCTCTACACTTACCATACGAAACACAACATCATTAAGCTGCTATTTTACGCTGGTATTCTGTGAGAGCGTGGTCCTTCCCCAGTCGAGCCGACCCATTTGTGCTACAACCATAATATAGCTGCAGCATGGCTCTACCACGTAAAAAATCCTATCTTCCTGATAATATCTCAAAATAACAACTATAACAAAATCCCCCCTATGCAGCAATATATTAGGGTGGCCTATTTCAACAGTGGACTTTTATAGGCTGTAATGGAAATTGTACAAATTGTACAAACATTTAACAAAAACCCTGTGATTCCCGTTGAGTACGTTATCAGGATCAGTATTCAAACCTATAAAAATAACTTTTTTTTAATAACTCGACCATAATTTTTTTATTAATTTTTTATTTTTATTTTATGTGGTTTTATTATAGTTCAAAAAGTTAAAATTATAGTTCTTAATTTGTTGGATTTATGAGCCTGTTAGTTTAAGCAATTTTATTTAAAATGTTTGTTTCTCAATCTTGGCATGCCGTGATAACACGTATAAGGATTATGTCTTGTATTACACTAATATTATTGTAAGTTATAGCTTTAAGTCATGATGTAATCTGTTGTGTTGTCCAATAATAAATAAATAATAAATAATTACCTCTTACTGACACTAGCCGATGCTAAAGCTAAGTAAAGCGGGGTCTTTGAAAATCCTCTTACTCCCCAGACAATGCAGAGGTAATAAAACCACATACAATTTGCATATAATTTCTTTTTTATAAAACAAAAAATATTATTGTTCGAGTTTTAAAAAAAAAGTAATTTCTATACGTTTGAATAATGATCCTGATAACGTACATAATGGGAACCACAGGGTTTTTGTTACATATCGTATATCTAGACCAGGGATGCAGAGTTGCGTGAATAGTGCAAGGTATCTACTAACGCGATCCTTAATTCGTCTGCCAAGCAAGCCGCACATTCTTCTATTAAAAAAAACCCAGTTAAATTTCTGACTTTTTTTTCGCAATCGCAAATATAAACTATATAGAAATACCGCTTGTTGTAATCGCTGAAGGCCTTGATGACATCAAAGGCAGTGGCCGCCAGTATGGCCGCAGTTAACAACATCAGGGCACTCCGGCGACGCGGTGACGTCATCAGCACGCACAGCAACGCACCGCACGCGTGTAGTAGCGTATCCGTTGATAGGTACCACGATACTTGCATGCACTTTGAGGCAAAATTAATGTGATATCCTGTATAGGTGCAACTGTTCTGCGTAGACCTGCTCTCATATTTGAGAGGGTTATAGAGCATGCACTGTAGAATTACCTTATTGACTAATATTAAATAAACAGGTATTTCTTTCTTTCTTTACTACATTTGATAATTGACTAAGGTTACGAGGAAACGTTTTTAATCAATTTTAATTTTACTTGTTACATTAAACTCTCACAAAATATCACCGAAAAATAGCAGCTTAATGCTGCTGTGTTTCGTACTATGGTGATTGTAGAGAATTGGATACCCTTTTTACTGGAAACGACGTATTCCATCTTAATTCTCATGGCAACGCATCTGCATTTTGATGTTTAATCGAAGACAGACGTAGATGTCCACAGCATTCACTTACCATCAGCTGCACAGCGTGCTCGTTTATCACTCTTAATCTATAAAAAAAAATTCACAAACTCAATACAATATAGACAGGAACTCATTAGTGGACAGTGACAGCTCACTGTCCACCTGATGCTAAGTGATTGCTGTGACCCATAGACATCTACATCTATCCTCAATAAAGATGGACTAAGATGGAATGCCTCGTTTCCAGTAAAAAGAGTTTCCGGTTCTCTATACACACCATACGAAATACAGCAGGGTTAAGCTGCTATTTTACGATGGTATTTTGTGAGAGCTTGGTCCTTCCCCGGTCGAGCCGACCCGTTCGTGCTACAACTATATTACTAATATAGCTGCAGCATGGCTCTACCACGTATCTGCCCATCTTCTTCATTTCCCTCTGTCGCCTCTTATGACGTCAATGGGATGTTATGAAATAGTTTATTACATACGCCGTCACTACACGGCTATATAAATAAATAGAAAATCTAAACACAAACCTGCTCGTTTTCAGGGTAAAACAAGGTAATGTATAATATATTTCTCCACCAATAAGTGTCGCAATTATAATAGTCTCCTTCGGGTAACATGGCGGACGCTGTGTCCCGCAATACCCTAGCAAACACGGCTGTTAAGAACACCGTATAAATGTATGGTGGCAGCAACCTAGGAATGTCAAAAGAAATTAAAAACAAATAACAGAATAAAGTCAAGAATTACTTAATCCAAGCTTTTTGAGGTGAAGCATCTATTGGCACGCCTTACGTTGAAATTCAGCAAACCAGCGATAAATTGTGGTTTTGGATGGCGCTTCATCACCAAATGCAGAAATCACCCGGTCAACACACTGTTTTTGTGGTAAACCACTTCGAAAGTCATAATAAATCATCGCTCTTGAATTTTCTCGAGTCAATTCCATTTTCTCAACGACTAAACAAGTTTGACAAAACCTTGTGACAAGACTGAGAATCTTTTTTTAAATAAATAAATGGTATTCGATTTTTAAAATCAAGGTCTTTTCAATTAAAAAATTTTAATATGACAGGAACAGTGGAAATATTCCATTCCCGATACTTTTAGTGCAGCCTCTGTACCAGTAAAACCGACTCGTATGCCGTGATGATAAACGGCATGACGCTTTTTTAAGCCGTCATGCCCGTAGCTTATGCTATACACCTCGTTGCTTCTCTGTGAGTTGTGTACTGCGTGTGCCTTTCAATTTTTTTTACTCCATGTTTCTTTATTATTAACAATAGCCATTTACAAAATTTATAAATATACAAATACAAATATAATAATAGGTATATAATACAAAAATTACAAAGGACAATGTCCAAAACCGCCCTGTGTAATAATAGCATCGGACATACACGATAATTAATTTTCTATTTTACTATATTAGTTGCAAATATTTTTATAACACGGACTAGCTGCATGCAAAAATGAACATTAAAAAGTATTATATTCGACTAATAACATTAATCGCCGCCATCTTCGCCAAATATCAAGTGGTGTCGAAAAATAATTAGGGATGCCCAATCAATTGTAATCGATTATTGAATTTTTAATGAACTGTTACATATTTTTTAATCTGTATTACATTTTGAATTTATTTCGAATAAAGTTGCTAAAAGAAGCTACAATAAAAATATTATATTACCATTTCTTTATATTCTTTTATATTATTCCTTACATATAATTTTAAAAACCTACTATACCTATTGAATATCATACTCTATTTTTAATAGGTAGTTAGAATATTGCTGAAGAAAAATATTCGTAAAGATATTTATTGAGGATTTTCTAAAGATCGTTTTGACAGGAGTATATTTTACGTCTTACTAAACGATAACTTACGAGTCTACGACAATTAATTTAAAAAAAAACTGTTATCGTTACTGCATTAATTATAAATGTGTTTTTTAAAAAGAGCAATATTGCAGACTAGACACAGATATTATTATTAATATTGTTACAAGTATGGAAGAAGTAGAGACGTACGTGTTATGATAAGTAAAGTAGGACATTGTTATGGTATTAATATTATCATATGACAAAAGATGATATATACTATATAGATGGTATACTGTTTGTAACGTACGGCTATAATAAATTTTAGGAAATATTCATAAGTCGTATCGTATTTGGCGCTCCTATTTCTGATGTCACTAAATGGTCACTTGTCAGTCTCTCATGAAAAAAATACGATCTCCAAATCGATGCAAATCAAACATACTAGAATCGATTCTCGATTAAATCAAGCATTAACAGATCTATTTTTGATCAATCGCGACATTTTCAAACATGCCTAATATAGACACAGAACATTATTGACGATAACTTACCGTAAATACAAGTAACTATATAGAAAAATCATTACATTAATAAACATAACATTACGCCAGTAATTTCCAGAAGGAGTAGGTAGAGGTGTATAAGTAATATAAATAGGGGATGCGCGTATTGCCAAACACCGGGCACAAATCCAGACTCCGTGCTACTACTGGGAACTTCAAGTTATAAAAACCCAATAATAATTTGCCCGACCCTGGGATTGAACCCAGAACAGAACAGTTTTTCTGTCTGTCACAAGGAACAGATGTTCCAACTATGCAAAAGTATTTTTTGAATCGTTTGAAATATAGCTAGTTTTTGAATAAGTCTGATTCGAGAGGTTTCTGTATCGACATCGGACAAAGATTCTTCAGATCTATATCGATCTGGAAAATCGATTCTGTTACTATAAACAATCGATTAAAGGATTTCAAATGGACACGCCTACTTTGTACCGTCATCTCTAATTATGTCAAAGTTACATTGGTTGGCGTCGTTTGCAATTGTATATGTACAAATTGTGTCTTTGTACATAATTGTATCGGTGTTGTGGTGACTTTCGGGACTATATATTGAACATTACGACTTGGCTATTTTAACGGACTCTGATTGCTTTCAAGAACGACTTACCTTGCTGTGATTTTTGAAACTGTGTACCACTCAAACGATAACCTAGCATTCATAAACGGACTTACGCATACGCAATGGAAAGTGTATTTTGTGTAAATAGCGGCTCTGCTGGTGGTACAATATTGTTTAAAGATGAACAGAGAAGCAATCGTGCAATATTGCTGTAATTGCATCGTTGTACGCAGAACCATCGGTTGCTGCGCCCATGTTATATATACTTGAGCTTTACGAGACATCAAAATAATATCGACATCCCTGCACAGTTTTTAGACAATATTCTTATTTCTAATTTAGAAAATGAACAATAAACATGAAATTAATCTGTGTTTTATTTCTAATTAAAACATAATAAGTTAATGTACGTGTAAATACAACTTATACTACCAATTAGGTACTAAGTCGGTAGGGCTGGTTTCATAGTCACGCATTTGAACAGCGTCGTCCAGACGCACACGCTTGCAAATGTACTAGATAGTAGTCTATAATATTCACGCTGTTCATGCGCGCGCTATTGAAACTTGGTTGAAACCGTGTTTGATACGCTCGCTGTTCGACGGCATGTCTAGCGGCGTGACTGATAGCCTAAATCCTTATACATTTAGATACTAGGTATCTTACCGTACCGTTTATGCTAATGACAACATCTTAATGCTAACAGCCATTATATACATATATTTTTATTTTTACATTAATACACACAAACATTATCTCTCATTTCAAAACCAATGCTCAGAAAGCAGGTTTGTTAAATACATTCTATGCATTTATACGTTGCACTTACATACACTTAGGCTTTAGAACAAAAATTGCATACCTAATTATGTAGATAGGTACTAGGAATAGCTAAATGTTTTAGGACATCGTTTTTCAGTTTGTTAAAAATCACTCGCATCTATGAAAAACCGTAATATTTATGGTTCAATTATAACCTCAAAATCTGATACTTTTTTTGAAATATATCTATTATGCAGCTAGTCCGCTATAAAAATAAGATCAAATAGAAATTTACTAATGATCAACAATAAAATACATAATTTTCCGATGCTCTTGGTTCCAGGGCGAACAATGTATGGGCGCAGAGCAATGTCCTTTGACCTGCTGAAAGTTGAGTTGAGATGACGGCTCCGTGGCGCAGTAGCTTAGCAATGAGTTGTTGCGCTGGGGGCCGCGGGTTCGAATCCCGCACGGAACAAGTATTTGTAGGGCCTACAAATAATTGTTCTGGGTCTAGATGTTTGTCCTTGTGCAATTTATATTTGTAAACTGCCTCCACGACACAGGAGAAAATCCTAGTGTGGGGGTAACGTTTTTAAAAAAAAGTTCAATAACTTTATTAAACTAAGTTCGTATAAAACGGGTTATTATAATATTAAGGAATTTATGGATGATAATAACCCCTGGGAATAAGGTGATCGCTACCAAGCTATTTCTAATTTGTTTGTGTTTGACTTTCAATAAGTATTACTGATAATCTATATTGAACAAAAAAGTTTCTGTTTCTGTTATTTAATTCCCAACTTTCATACATCAGTCAATATTAGTTAAATCATTTATCTAAAATAATATTATTCGTCAAGCCAGTTTTTATTAAATGTCATATTTCGAGTAAAATAAAATATGTTCAAAATCAATTTACAAATTAACTTACAATTATAAATAATGTTTAAGTAAATAAGCATCTTAAATATAGGTAACCATCTTTTTTTTCCTTTTAGTTGGTTCTTATCACATAATATATAAGTAATAAAATTATAGCTAATAATCAACTTATTTTGACCATAAACATGAAATAATTATCATGATTTATTATAATAATATTATAAACATGAGATAACCGTTTTCGGGTGATGGTCTCCTTCATCCGAAAACAATTTTTTATAATAAAAAAATATTTTTTTATTATATTATATTTATTGCCAATATCACATAACAATTTTTTGTTATATGATATTGGCAAAGTAAATTTTTAAGTTAAAGTCACTTTTTTAATTTTTTATCTGTCTGGCTGTCTATCTGTTTATTCCGGATAATCTCCAAAATGGCTGGAGCGATTTTGACTGGACTGTCACTGCCAGATAGCTAATGTTATAAGGAGTAAACTGTGATGTTTCTCATCTCTCGGACGTTCAGTGACGGCCAACTCTTTTTCTTTATCAACTCTTAGCAGATAAATGCCAGACCTAAATCCCCTAAACAAGATAACAATAGTTTTCTAAGAAGACGACATAATACAAGTGAATTAATACCTGATAGCCCTATTGGTGACGAAACAGACGAATTGAAGGATTTTTCCACTTTGGCCGCCACAGCTTACCAGTTCACGCACCGTGTACCGATTTGATAGATAGAAGAAATGATGTGCGCTAAACATACCGCTGTTGGTAACAATTTAAAAATAAATAGAAAAATATTCGTGTAAATCTTACATGTTTACACAAAATAATAAACAATATTACAAAATAATTATAAGTAAATCGTACCTTACGAAAAATAAAGCGTCAAATGCTAAAGTGCCCGTTCTTAATACGTAATACTTTCCCTCCGATCCGTTTGTATCATTATAATTTTCTGCAACACACATTGGCCAAGCAAAATTTAGAAAACCCTTATTTAGTAGCTGCAGGTTATTATAAGCCATAACATTACAATTTACCTGAAAGATAACCTACAATCGTAGTCACATGAATAAATATCACCCAAAATGTTGAAACAATTCGTAACAAATGTACTAGGGCTATATCTTTATTAGCCATTGTAGTATTGAAAATTTTCTTCCAATTATGTTTGAGTGAGAAACTTAAAAGCAAATTCAGAAAGATATTATGTTTTTGTCTGTATTCTGTATTTGTTAAGCTTGCACAGTTATTATATTTGGTTCGGGGACATGCGGGTATATTGTCGAACCGTTTCGAAATTCCGCGTTGCTTTTTATACTTCCCGCATCTTTTGCAGCTCGCAATTTGTCTCTCTGGTGCCATTATATCTAGCGTAATTGCTGGAGGAATCTCTGTTACTTTTGCCAATTTCTTTATTGTTTCAGAATTCAAGTTTTTTGATAAATCTTTGTTTATTTTTAATGTTTCTTTGTCAAGTATTTTTTCTCTTTTCAAATCAACAAACACTTTAACAACTTCACAATTGTACTTTCTACTTTGATCATCAGAACTACTACTGTCTGCATTGTATTTATGTAGATCCAGTGAAATTGGTCCACTATGATTTTTTAAACATTTATCTAGACCAACATCGACTATTGTGGCTATTACAGCCAATGTTATTAGTAATAACGTAAAAAATATTAGCAGGACAGCTCCTGCGTCATATCTTATGTCGTAATATTCTTCGATTTGTCTCAACGAAATTATTTTTACTGCTCTGGGCGTGGTTCCATTTGTCTTAAGATTGTCGTTAAGCATTATAGAGAAGTTTAGGAGAGACGCAACATCATCAGGTGAACACGACCGAGGGAGACACAATCCGAGTGTGATTTCATATGACTGTAAAGGAAAAGTAAATAATCTTAATTATATGACTGTAAAAACTAATCTTGTAATTATATGAAGAAAGAAGTAAAAGATATCTGTTGCTTCTATTCTAAGGTTTATCTTTATTTTTTCTATTGTATAAGTATATCTATTGCAAATATAAAAGTTGTGTAAGAAATGAAGAATATAATGTTATTTAAGTACTACTCTGAGAAATTTTTGACTGTTTCGTTGGTCTATTGGTCGTAAGCGCTATACTGATCATGTGGTCCCGGGTTCTGAATCTGATCCCGGGTCGAGCAAACATTATTAATTGAGTTTTCTGTCAAGAAATCTTTAGTAGCAGCCAGAGTCGGCTATTCGGTCGGTAGTCGGTCGAATATTTCATTTCACCCTCGTGATTCGGAAAGCACGTAAAACCGTTGCCTCTGCGCGTGACAACGCATCTGCATTTTGATTCGCAAACGAGGATAGATGTAGATGTCTATGGGCCACAGCAACCACTTACCATCACGTGGACTGTGTGCTCGTTTGTCACCCTATCCTATAAAAAACATGAAAGTGAGAGAATAAAGAATGCAACTGTGCTTGCTCACATACTCGTGCACTTTAATTCTGTCCTGAGCAGATGGCTACTTTACTACTACTAGTCAAAAACATTAATACGCACTAAAAAGATAAGAATGCGTGGACTTAGTGAACTTTATTATATAGATTTATGTGTACAGAAAAGGGTGGTGTAATTTGTAAAGACAGTACCAAGCACACGTCTCAATGGGGGCTAATTATCTTACGCTCTCCAGATGTTGCTAGTTCGGACTAAGGTGAACTTATTTGTTATGCAGATAATACAAGAATATATATATATTTAATCTCCGGGAGAAAAACCAGCGACGAGGTTCGCCACCCGTCACGTCCTGTCTCCCGGGGGGGCGAAAAGTGGATTGCGGAGGCCCGTCTGGCCACGCTGAATGTATGTGGAGCAATGAATGATAAGATGGATGAAATATGCGAAATGATGAATGATAGAGGAATAGATGTGTTATGTGTAAACGAGACGAAACGAAAGGGAAGAGATGTCACTGCACATGGCATGTATACCGCTTACTGGTCTGGAGTAGACGAGACCGAGCGGGCATGTCAGGGAGTCGGTGTCATCCTTTCAGAAAGAATGGGTCAATGTGTGAAAGAGTATGAATGTGTTAGCCCAAGGCTGCTGTGGATACGAATGAAAGTGGGCTTAAAGAAGTTGTTTGTGCTAGGGGTGTACGCCCCAGATATGTCTAAGCCCACTTATATCCGAGAGCAGTTTTGGGACATGGTAAGGCTGGTGTTGATGAAATGTAAGGAAAATGAAAATATTATTATGTTAGGAGATTTTAATGGAAGGGTTGGGGTGAAGAGGTCTGGTTATGAAAGGATATTAGGAACGTTTGGCGATGAAAGAATAAATGAGAATGGTGAAGACCTCCTCACCGTATGTGTGGAAAAGAATCTTTTTGTGGCGAACACTTTCTTTCGCCATAAGAGGATTCACATGTATACATGGGAAAGAGGGGATGATAGAAGCATGATAGATTTTATAATTGTGGATGAAAGAATGAGGAGCGCAGTGGTAGATACAAGGGTTTACCGGGGGTCCAACGTAGGGACGGATCATTACTTGGTCTTATGCCGAATTAATGGTCTATTCAGACGTTGGCGGCATCGGACATCGGTGTCTACCACTGCGTTACAGCGTATAAGAATAGAGAGGTTACAAGATGAAGGTGTGAAAGAGAAGTATAAATGCAGATTGAGGGAAAATATAAGTGGGTTGAATGAATTATGTATGAATGATTTAAAATTGAAGAATGTATGGAATAATATTAAGAAAGTTTTGGTGGATGCAGCCACCGAAGTATGCGGTGTAAGTAAGAGAACGAATGAAAGGAAAAGTAATACGTTGTGGTGGGATGATGAGGTACGGATGGAAGTTGAAGCAAAGAAGAGAGCATGGCTAGATTTACTAGCAACTAAAGCTGGTAATTCTGGCGGTATGAATGATGAGATTGAAAGAAAAAAGGCAGACTTTAGACGTATTAATAAGAGAGTAAAAGAAGTTGTTGAAAGGAAAAAGCAAGAAAGGATAGATAAGAATGATAGAAGGATATCTGATAACTTCCAGGCAAATATTAAAATGTTCTGGAAGCTCGTAAGAACTGCCAGGGGAAATTCAAAACAGCCTAGAATAAATGCTATACGAGACGAGAATGGCTGCATGCTGAATGATGAAGTTTCGAATTTAAAGAGATGGAAGGAATACTTTGAAAGCGTGTTTAAGAGTGAAGAGTCGTCTGGAATAAGTGAAATAGAAATTCCGGAAGAAGTGGAGAGAGGTAGGGAGATAAGTGTAGATGAAATAATGAAAGCAATGAAAAGCACGAAAGCAGGTAAGGCAGCCGGATATGATAGAATATCACTCGAAATGCTAAGGGCTGGTGAGGGTGTGGTTGCAGGCCTGCTGCACACCTTGTTTAATTTATGTTGGGAACTGAAACGGGTACCGGAAGACTGGTGTAAAGCCGTTATAGTCCCAATATATAAGGGAAAGGGGTCGCAGCAGGACTGTAAAAACTACCGTGGTATCAGCTTGCTTAGCATTGTGGGTAAACTGTATGCTAAGGTGTTAATTGAAAGAGTTATGGAAGAAACTGATGGAAAAATTTGGGATGTGCAAGCTGGATTTAGAAAGGGGATGGGGTGTACGGATCAAGTCTTTTCCATGCGCATGATAGCGGAGAAGTTTTTGGCTAAAAACCAGAAAGGTTTTTGTGCGTTCATGGACTTGGAAAAGGCTTATGACAGAGTGGACAGGAATGTGTTATGGCAAACACTGAACTCATTTGGGTTGAGCGCTGGCTTGATACAGGCATTAAGATCTCTTTATAGGGACTCTAGTGCTTGTGTCAGGATCAACGGGGTCTACTCGGACTGGTTTGGCATTCATAAAGGTGTCAGACAGGGATGTGTGGCTTCCCCGTGGCTGTTTAACTTATTTATGGACAGTTGTTTGCAAACTTTGAAAGTTGAAGAATGTGGGTTGAGAATGGGTGAGTCAACCGTCAAATGCCTTTTGTACGCCGATGATCAAGTCATATTTGCATCGTCGGCGGCCGAGTTGCAAATGATGGTTACTTTAATGAATTGGTCATTGAAAGAAAGGGGTATGAAAGTGAACGCAAGTAAGACGAAAGTGATGGTTTTTGAAAGAGAAGAAAGTAAAACTTTATGTGAAATAAGAATAGAAGGGGAGTTGATTGAGCAAGTGGATGAGTTTGTATATTTGGGATGTTTATTTAGCAGGGATGGTAGATATGATAAGGATATAGAACGACGAGTGAACGCAGGAAATAGAGTGAATGGGGCTCTACACGCTATTATGAGGAGTCAGAATGTGTCAACTAAGGCACGTATGGCAATTCATAATGCTGTGTTAGTCCCTACTTTAATGTATGGTAGTGAAAGTTGGGTCTGGCAGAAGAAGCATGAGAGTAGAATAAATGCTGTAGAAATGCGTTCCTTAAGGAGTATGCTAGGGCTGAATTTGAATGACAGGGTGAGAAATAGTGTGATAAGAGAAAAGTGTGGTTTGCAAGATGACGTTGTGACAAGGATTAAAAAAGGAATGCTTCGGTGGTTTGGTCATGTAGAAAGAATGAACGAGGAAAGAGTGACAAAGCAAATTTATGTTGCGGAAGTGAACGGCAGGGTCGGGAAGGGACGCCCTAGACGAAGGTTTATCGACCAAATCGGCGATACATTAAAAATGGGCCAGATTAGGAGTACCCATAACCGACGGGCGTGTATGCGTAGATATATGGATGTAAAAGAGGCGAGAGAGGTGTGTCAGGATCGCGCCAAATGGAAGTCCGTAGGCTCTGCCTACCCCTCTGGGTGACAGGCGTGAGTGTTTATGTATAATACAGTGTCATCATCATTTAAAATTTTCGGATTCTAGTGTATGTATAAAAATAACCCTCAGTTTTTTTTATATTTTTACAAGTTTCTTTTTGAATTCTTATAATTTTAGGAATATCTGTAGTTTGGTTTATCCATTTTAAATCTAATTAATATAAAATATAACCAATAATAGACTTCCCTCGCTATGAAATCTGTGAAATATTTCACCTCCTCTAAGTCTGCCACCAGGGGAGCTGCCCTAGTGGCAGAAACAGGTTCCCTAGACTTTTTTTACTTATGTACTCGTATTATTTAATAACTTTAAATTGTGACTGTCGGAAAAAATCAGTATGCTTGTGAGTTAGTTACCTCTTCTTTACCTAACAAGGTCTGCCGCTGTGAGGACTTATTAAAACGATAACGTAGCTTTCTTTTCCTTTCAAAAAGTGCTTTGTAAAGTCCAATTCTAAATAAAAATATTTTCAATTTACTTGACTTGACTTGCGCAGTCACGATCACAGGTCATGAGTGTTGTGACACGCATTAGAGGCCATGCGCTCATACTACTTGGTGCTATATAATTTAAAATTAAAAAATTTGTATAACCGAATTTAATATAAATTATTAAGAATAACTCAAAAACTATTGGTCAGACCTTGATGAAATGTATATGGGACCACACGTGAAGCACCAGCTTTCAAATAAAAAAAGAATCATCGAAATCGATTCACCCAGTAAAAAGTTATGAGGTAATACGGTAAACACATAAAAAAACATACAGTCGAATTGAATATTGGCTCCTTTTTAATGTCGGTAGAAAATGGTACTTTGTTCTCCGACCACGCGCCCTGCACTGGCGCAGAGAATTTGGTCGCGGTTTTTTTTCTAGTGCGTAGTACATGTTACTTCAATTATATTTTGAAAATATTATATACTCTGTTAGGATTAAGTGCTAAAAGCATATCGATGGCAGCAAAGTAAAAACGGACATCTACAAAATTGCAATTTTACAGGAGAGCAGATTTAGTAAAAAAATTGTGGTCATTTTGAGAATTATGGACCGATTAACATGAAATTTTCTATGAAGCATTAAAATAACATTCTTTATGAATTATGTAAGAGTTTTTATCGTTATGTCGTTGTTTTACTAAAATAATTTAAATGTCTTTTTTTACTCTAAAAACTTGGACGTAGAAGAAGACATCTGCCTGATATCCGTTTATACGTTGTGATAAAAAAGCGTCCATTTCATTTAAAATATGTAATAAACTAAGATAATAATCTCCATTAATACTTTTAAGGATGTTTAAAGAAAATCTAAGCAACATGCAAACAGTATTCCTCTTTTTTTGACGAAATTTTGCAGATGTCTTTATTTACTTTGCATTTAACATTTTATACATTTCAATTAATGAATTACCTACCAGGCGGACAAATTCAAATGTCTGTTTCTACTGCGATGTTTTTTAAAGTCGAGGGTAGATGTCTTCATTTACGTGCCAGATTTTCTTCATTATTTTGAAATTTTAAATAATTTTAATACATACTTGTAGATAGGGTTGATTTAAGCTAATTTTTGTAAAAAAAGCATTTTTATAAAAATGTAGATGTCCGTTTCCATTTTGCTGCCATCGATATTAGATAGGGAATGATACAACAAAATTGTCCGTATAATTGTGTACGCGTACGAAGTGAAACTTCTTTACGACAAATCATTCTCCTTTTCATATTTTACATAAGTAGGATAAATAATAGTATACTCATGCAGCCCCGGCGGTGAAACGTTGCAAAAAATGTAAGTTTTTTATACCCTCCACTAAGTCGATAATGAAGTTTCACTTCAATAAATTAAATTGCGACCTACATAAATTTTATTGTAATTTACAATACCTTCGGAATTTTGAATTTCGTGATATTCAACGAGACTTGCGCAGAAATGTATGCGAGGCGATGTAACGGAGTCTCGTCAGGAACAGCCGTGCTCTGTGTCAATGCCTCCTTTACAGTAAAAGTCGACCAGTCTTCTTCGTCTATTTAGGGATATACACATATACTCGTACACTTTTCAAAAAAGCATTTATTAATTGCATTTAAATTACAATTCTATTTCTATCGATATTTTATCAACATTATAATGTCAAAGAAGTTGCAGAACTAAAAAGTTTACACGAAACGGAAAAAAACGTAAATTTTAAAGCGTTTTCAAAAATTACATCAAGCGTAAAACGTAATTCAAAAGTAGCTTTTTTGTGGATTGGATCCTTTCTAACACGCTTTTAGCTTCGCGTGTACCTATCTAACTATCTACATATGTAGCAGAAGCTTTTAATGTAATTTTCACCACCTTATAGACGGCCGATTAAATTGAAAATTTGCTCTCGTATCAAGGACTGATGACAATACAATAATTTAATAACTTTATTCTAGTATCCTGATTAGGATAACCATGATAAAAGGATAAAATAAAATAAATACATCCTTTATATTAACTTGACTTGCATGTATGTATTAATGTAATGGAATTTTGTAAATCAATTTTCACCCACTTCAAGATATTTAATTTATTTCACATTTTGCAGACGTATTAAAAATCGGTGACAATTTAATAGTACTCACTAAAATCATTACAGCTCATGATCAATTCGCGTTACTTAAATTTTTTACGTCCAATTACTCGAACGCTACTCAATATTAAGACGCCGTTAAGCCTTGTGCTGTCTCTATAATTTTAAGTCAAAGTGACTGCGGCACCACGAGGCTTAACGACATCTTAAAATTGAGTAACGTTCGAGTGTTTGGCCATTAATCTCTAATATTAGTCTGTAAGGACGCGTCCATTAATTACGTGAAGCGAATTTGGCGACTATACTACCCTCCTCTCCCCTCCCCCCCATGGTGAGATGTCGTGAACTATGGCTCGACTTCCTCCTCCCCCTCCCCCCCCCCCCCCCGTCCAAACCTCAAGTGTGATTTTTTTAAATTAGTATTTTAATGTAAGTACTTTAATCTGTGCTTGATTGCGTTGGGTTTATTAAAAAAAAACCTGTGCTTAATTGTTTTTATATAATTTGTGGAGTTCGCATAACCGCGATAAATATTATTGTGTAGGATCTAGCCATATTTTACTTAGTTTAACACAATCATCTCGAAATTTCACACTGTTCCTTGTGACAAAAAATTACGTGATATTTGCCGAGACCGTACCTCTCCCACACGTAAGATTGGGTGAGATTTAGCTCGACCCCCACCTCCCCCTAAAAACCTCACGTAATTAACGGACGCCCCTAACGGTGTTCAATTTGAAGAGACAAAATACTTACGCTCGTTGAAATCTTTTTCTCTCCGGACTAGCGAATTTCCGTCGGAGAATTTGCGTCTTGTTACAAATTCATTGTCCTAGAAAATAAGCTTTCAATTGTATACCTATTGTGTAAATCTTTATTGACACCGTTGACCAAAATGACGTATAAATAATAATTAAACAATAAGATATTAAAAATTAATTAGCTAAGTTATTTTTATTTTATTCAAATATACATAAAACATATTACAAGAGTTCATAGTTACTATATAGCACCATTAAACCGCAAAACGGTTTGTATTGGTGCTGGCAGACGTCTATACGCATAAATATATAACTTTTACTAATTACCATCATAAAATTGGTAAAATTAAGGATGATAACAATTAAGTAGGTACCTACACATATTTTACCTTACACACACATACATGCTTACAATATCAATAAAATAAAATAATGTGACTCGTGAAATCGACTCTGCGGTGGCTGACCGCTAAATAAGCAGCGATCCTAAACAGCTAAAATGTTAAAATTGGGTAATTTTAAATATGATTTAATTATTGAACATTATCTTGATTGTAGAAACATCGTGATCTAAGGCATGACAAATACTTTTTGGCTGTAGTATATATCACTTTAAATTTAATCTCATACACCAATGTCAAATCTTAAGATATTTATAGTGGACACAAATCCTGAGTCGACCTGTTTGCGTTCGAATGAACGGTAATATTGTCTGAATGCCTGAAGTTTTGTGAGCGAGAAAAATGAATATGTTGGTTTTAATTGATGTAATTGGTTTTACCGTTTTAATTAAAGTAAAAATAAACAAATAAATAACTATCAACTCACCAGTCGAAAACACAACTCCTTGGAGCCTAGCCAAAGCCGAGTTCCTTGAAACATACCAGGCTGGTACCTGCCTGAAGCATCTACAGCTGTAATTATAAATAGAATTATTTAATAATTATTTTTTGTCCGCGGCTTCACACGAGTGGATTTGTAGCACAACATTAGTATTTGTGTTACATAATTTTATTCATCTAGTATAAACTAGTATTAATAGAAGAGAAAACCTCACTGATGTGAGTGAGAGGACTGTTTTTATGCCTTGGGCTTCTAGCTAATAATAAATAAAAAAAAACATTTGCTGCTACTTGGCTCGGCTACTATATTGCGTGATGTCTGGTTTGAATTTGAAGGCTAAGGTAGCAAATATAATGTAAATCAATGGGAGACATTGCATCTTATTTCTCAAAGGTTTACGCGTTTATAATATCTATATTTCTTTGTTTAACTATGGCCGTGGGCCATATATAACTGCGTATAACGTATTGCAGTTAGGCGTGGGCTACTAACAATTATATAAATTCTATCATTTTATATTAATTTTAATTTGTAAAATAGGTTAAATACAATCGAATGTTCCACAATAAGTGTTCAGTATAATTAGCCTCTGCACTTAATTCGTACCCTACGCCACAAAGGGGTGAACTCATAAAAACGGTCAAAAATTAGTTAAATATACAAAATTGCTCCATTGTTCGAGGTCTATGTCGTCTCAATCGGGCTAAGCTCTAAGTACAAAAATAACGAATTTAAAGTGACGGCTTATGTCAAAAACACTTTATGTGAGATTTTACGATATGACGAAGCTTAGTAACAAAATAAGTCCTAACTAAGCATGCTCCCTTTTGTTTCGACTCGTAATCGTTTGTTAACAATATAATATTACACACAACAAAAAAAAATCATACCCATAAAAGCTGTTGGTGCATACTGTAGTGTAGCAAATTGTAAAGTTAAAAATCGTCACTGTTAACGTTTTATAGATATTGACCGCAAATTTATTTACACCAAATTGCATGACACATGTGATATTTCTTTGAAAAAATAGAGTATATTTTACAACACATTACTGAATCTGAGCCAAAACAGCGAACGCTACTACTGGGAGGCAAAATTTTAAGGCTTAAAAGATCACTTAAATATTACCTATCTCTTGAAGGCCAAAATTACCAGGTGTGCAGTACTTTCGTTTTGAGCACATTTGCTATATCTGAAAATTTTGTTCGTATTGTTTTAGTTATGTGTAGTCAGTCAGGAATCATGCTTCAAGATAATTGAGGTAGTCGTGTAGAAAGTTTCAAACACGGAGACTATTACGTGATAGAGCCAGGCTTCAGCTATGTTATGACTGTAGCACGAATGTGTCGGCTCGACCGGGGTAGGACCATGCCATCACAGAATACTAGAGTAAAATATCAGCTTCATAGTGCTTACTATGTTTCACACGATGAGTGTAGATAACCTAAAGTTTACTGGAAATGATTAATTCGCATTCCATCTTAACCTTTAAGCGTGACAACACATCTGTGTTTTAATTCCTGATCCTGATCGAGGATAGATGTAGACGTATATGGGCACAGCATCCATTTGCCATAAGGTGGACTATTATTGTTTCACGTGGCCCGCAATAGAAAGTAGACGTAGTTCGACAGAAATTACCATAGCTGTATCTATATCTATTGCTCGCTGAGCGACTTTGAGCTTCCCCATACGGCCAGCAGTGAAGGACTACGTCTCGGATCCATAGGTCATCGCTGCCAATACGCACTGGTTGTACAAGCTAGTTTTGAGATTTTGAGGTATGCCTGACGAGAAGATGTGTCGTAATTTCCCTTACGTTGCCCAGCCGAGTTGAATCCGTCGATTGACCTCTCGGTCGAAGTTTGACTTACCTAGTCAGACTATTTGTCCCAGGTAACAAAACTAGTGCTTAGGTTTTCCAGCGATTCTGCCATAAGGACTATATCGTCGACAAATTGAAGGTGAGTGATGTATTCGCCATTGAGGTTAAGGTTAAGGTCCTATCCAGTCCAGTAGCTTGAAAACATCTTCTAAAGCAGCGGTGAAGTTTCGGGGATATTACGTCACTCTGTCTTACACCTATCTGGAGTTGGAGAGGTTTCGCACTCTGGTTTTGTACTCGGATAGCCATCGTAGCCTACTGTATAAACACTTCAGCACTTCGATATACCGACAGTCCACTTGGCACCGATGAAAGGACTGCAGCACCGCCCAAATTTCGACGGAATCAAAGGCTTTCTCATAGTCCACATACGCAAGACAAAGTGGCAGATTTTACTCTTCGGTCTTCTGTACAATTTTTCGAAGGATATGTATGTGGTCTATACTGCTAAAGCCTTTTCGGAAACCGGCGTGCGAGAGGATTCGTAATAACTCGGAAACAGCAGGTAGACGCGGCTCAGAAGGGAAATTGGTCTGTAGTCCTTCAAGAGAGCGTTGTCCCCTTTCTTGAAGAACAAGACCACCGCACTTCTGGTTCACGACTCCGGAGTAGTGTCACCAAAGAGGACGGAATTAATGAGCTTCTGAAGGACTTTAAGTACCGGTTTTCCACCCGCTTTTAGAAGCTCAGCTGTAATTCCATCCTCGCCCGGGGACTTGCCGTTTTTAAGGTGCTGGAGAGCCATTCTAATCTCGCTCAGACTGACGTCCGGGATATCATCGGAATAGTGTCGGATAAGACTTGCTCTTGGATCGTTACTCACTCTTACGTGTGCCTCCAACGATGACGTGAACAGCTGCCCATAGAACCTCTCAATCTCACTCTTAATCTCAGGTGTCCCGGAAACGATGCTGCCACATTCGGTCTTCAGCTTCGACAGTTGGTTCTTTCTGGCAGACAGATCTTTGGCAAAGACTTTGGAGCCCTCGATCGCTTCTTCAATACGAGCTGTATTGAAGTGGCGCAAGTCCCGCCGCATACATTTGGAGATCTGTTCAGTTGCCTGTATACTGTCAAATCTGTTGAAGACTGCAGCTTCACTGACTGAAGCTGCAGTCTAACAGCCATGAGATTAAGAGTGTGATCGGAGAGTTTTTGTGTTCTTCTGTGGCGGGTCTTGCAAAACTTGGCTCCGACCGCATGAACAGTTTCTACGAGCTTATCATTCATATCATCCACTTCATTGCAATCTTCTAGGCACTGAAAACGATTGTGTAACTAGAGCTGAAAGTTTTCGGAGCTTTGGATTAGAGCACGAGGGGAACGGAGCGTTGACTTCATTAGACGTGACCTCACGAACTTAACGTTTAGGTTCAGTGTGCCTCTAACCATTCGGTGATCGCTGGCAGTTTTCACCCTCGCGATCACTGAGACATCACTGAATAGTTGTCGTCTGGTCGTCATAATAAAGTCAATCTCATTTTTGTCGAACCGTCGGTGCTAGACCGGGCACTTTCTGTGAGGCCGCTTTTGGGAGAAAGAGTTCATCATAAAGAGTCCCTCTTTCTCCATAAAGTTGGCCAGCTGCTGGTCCCTTGGGTTCCGTTGGCCTATTCCAAATTTCCCTACTTTCAGCTCACCTTTCTCTCTAGTGCCTAGTTTTGCGTTGAAGTCTCCCATTAACACCGTATAGTGGGTTTTTTAGGAATGATCTTCCAGGATCTTCTCGTCAGTCCTCAGGGTGCGTACGTTATATGTTGCCAGATCGAGAAGTCGTAGGTGGCAACCGGACCTCCACCGGAGATTCTTAGCACTCCCTGCCCCGCCGTTACCATGGTCGCCACCGTAGCCAGGAATAGCGGGGCCACTGTTGCTACGCTTGGCAAGCGGTTTGGCAACCGCAATTTTTTTACTGTTTTTTGCTGTTACCTGAAAGATGCTGCTGCCCATCTTCTGCCTCAGTTTCCCTCTGCCAACTCTTACGACACCCACGGGAAGATATGAGGTAGTGGGTATTGTTACACCGCCACTACACGGGATTACAATAACAGTAATTAAATTAAAAAAAATAAAGAAGGCTGTAGACTTTGTCACGCCTGAGGACTAAATGGCTAGTAATGATATACATAATGGAATGAAATGTAATGAAATATTTATTTGCGTTTGGTTAAGCTACATTGAAGATGGTCATAATAATTAAACATCTGCTTAATCAGCCATTATTAATAGCATGCAAATCTTTAAAACTATAAAATATCGGGATATTAATATTTAAGAGTAGTGTCTATAACAAAATGTCAACAAGTAGTCAATAAATAGGAAATAATTAATAAACATTTCATAATTGGTCCGTTAAATTTGTTTATCAAGTTCATATTACCTATCGTAGTTTAAATATTCCTGTACAGTGTAAAAATACTTTTCATTGAAAAGGTTGTATATTTCTCTTTTAAATTGAATGAAAGGTAGGTCTCGAATTACTTGTGGTATCTTATTATATACTGTCATACAGATCCAATAGCAATTTTTACGTAATCTTGCACTCATAGGAATTATAGCGGAAACCAACCTATTCATATTTCTGGTGCTTCGTTTGTAGACGTCTTTTGCTTGTGTAAAATAATTCATATTGTTCTTTACAAATTTTGCCGCTTCAAAATTATATAGACAAGGAAGTGTCAAAATGTTCAAAGATTTAAACAAAGGCTGACATGGCTCGTCAAGTGCAGTACTACATATTACTCGAACACACTTTTTTGTGCAATGAATGTCTTTTTTATGTCCGTGATGGTACCCCATATGATGAGTCCGTATCGTAGGACTGATTCAACGTTAGCAAAGTACGCAATAAGTGCTGTAATGACATCTATAATTATTCTGGCTCCCTCACACTTAAAGCCGAAACACGACGAAGCAGTGCACACATGTGCAGTGTTGTTTAGGGACAGAAACAGCTAAGAGTAATACCTACCAGAAGAACGCTCTAAGTAGTGGGTCTAGACTAACCTAGTCAAGTAATAGATGCAACTTTTGGCTGACTTATGACATAATTTAAAAAATGGAGCGGGTACTCAATTCGACAGTATGTTTTACTTGTAAATGTGTTTCCCGATATCTTCGCCAGTCATGAACTGATGTTAACATTTTTTTTAATTTTAGGCAGTCAGTATTCTCATTTAACATTTAAAAAATCGACGATATTTGTTTAGATGACATTCTAGTTATTACTTGGAGGTATTGATATTGCTTAGTCCCCTCAAAAGGTTCAAATAATGAATCTTAAAAGAAATAAAAACCAACTTCATAAACTACCAAAGAAGATCACACAATATCGAAGAATTAAGGCAATTAAGTCAGTTTTTTATGTTCTATTATTATTATAATATTTGGAAGTTATATAAGATATAATAAATACCACATAAATTAGGTTATACTAATCATAATTTGAATACAAATACTACCTACGTGTATTAATTACAATTAATCGTTGTTTTTTATTAACTGGCTATATTGAATAATACACTTAATTTAATACATAATCCTGGCCACAATAAAAAAAGAATAATGAATAATAAAATTCACTTTCATTCCATTTTTGCTGAGAATTAATCGAGAACTCTCACTGAATTAATAAGCAGAAACACTGTCAATGTTGCTCCTTAAACCAATTTAGCCTTTAACTTCAAACTGTAAGACGTATTTTTGTGTGTCATTTTATGGAGATCGGTTGCTAATGTCGTGGACAGCGCGTAAAAATGATTCTATCAGAGTGGAATCACATTATAACTCTTTATGCATAGCACATCATGCGGTTATAATTAAAGCGTATAAATTTACGATTTACGTGAATAGCCACACAAATTATCGAGGTAATATAATCTACTTTTTTTATAGAATAAGGATGACAAACGAGCACACAGTCCACCTGATGGTAAGTGGTTGCTGCTGCCCATAGACATCTACATCTCTCTTCGTTTGCGAATAAAAATGCAGATGCCTTGTCAGCCGTGAGGACTAAGATAGAATGCCTCTTTTCCAGTAAAAAGGGTCTCCGGTACTCTACACTCACCATACGAAACACAGCAGTGTTAAACTGCTATTGTTCGCTGGTATTCTGTGAGAGCGTGGTCCTTCCCCGGTCGAGCTGACCCATTCGTGCTACAACCATAACATAGCTGCAGCATGGCTTTACCACGTATTTAAAATTACAGTAGCCAGTAGAGTACGGACCGCAAATTCAAAAGGTCGTGGGTTTGAATCCGCCATTCGACTACCACTCCTAACACAAGCATGTTAAGCTTACCAGCAGGGCTAGCATGGGCAGAAGACAATTTCATTCCCGGGGAAAGGAGAAAATGTTTATACCCTCGCTTAGTTTTATCCACCCTTCGAGCATGGACACACCGGTAGATATAATATCCACAGTACTTCTTTACACTTCTTACCTAGTTTGAAGAGCACCTCCCGCCCTCCCTCAATTGCGTGCACTATCACCGTCACCACTAACCCCAGCACCACTAGCCCCAACACCACTACACTAGGAAAGACACACCACTGACGACAATACGACACGTGTTTCGCCTTTACACGAGGCATCTTCAGGTAATCTAGACTCTGCGGTGGCTGACCGCTAAGTGAGCGGCGCTGTACGCGAAGTAATTTTTTTCTGGGCACATGCCTCCTGTCATTTCTGAGAGGGTTTTTTAGGGCAAGGAATTGTCCGCCGCGCTGCCCTAATGTGTGTTGGCGAACTTCACATGTCTTCGAAATATATTTTTTCTTATTTCTCAGAGATGCAGGTTTCTTAACCATGTTTCCTTCACCGCCGAACACGTGGTAAATCAGCACTTAAAATTGTAATTACCAATTTCATTGGTGCCGGCGGGGATCGAACCCGAGTTGCTCGAGTACTGTGAAGCTTACAGCGAGCGCTAACCATCTGAGTTGCCACGGCTCATTCTATTAATTATCATAAAATTATCTTGTCCTTATGCCAACGCACGGCAACGGGGAGAAGTATATCCCCGTTTGACGTTACGAGTAGACCTTGTCCGTAGCATGGAGCCAAATGAAAGATAAAAAAATATGCTTTTTTTGTCATTTGAAAGGGACAATTTTATCCTAGTTCATTGGACATGGGTTTAAGTAATATATTCATACAAAAAATCTATCTATCTCCCATTTTATCTACTACTGAGCTACCAGGGCTATCTACCACTTAGAATTTTAGGGTAATTTTGATTAAGTATTTTAACAGAAGCGTGGCTTAGTAATAAAAGGACCGGACTGTGTCGCTCTTACAGGACCAGCTCTTGCTCTAACCAACGAGTGAATACGTATGCCTATATATGCCGGAACCAACATTTATATAAAAACTCATATAAAAATGACATAATTGCTGGTACAAGTTAATATTCGGGTGGTGTGTGTTAGCGTCGTAAAAGGATCCATTACCACATCCTGTGGGTGTTCTAAGAGATGATAAAGGGATGCAACAAGAAATGGGCAGCATCATTTTCCTGATAAAAACTCAAAATGAAAAAATTGCCATTGCCAACGACCCCCAGACGACGTAATTTTTTGATAGGTTGTAATGAATGAATTAACTTAAAAGCAATGGTTAAGTTCAAAATACACTTATACTTACCACTATACGCCCAAGCACGACCCTCAAATAATGCATTATAAAATACACTCAAATCATCCCAGCAACCCCAATCTATGTTAACGTGCACTCCGTTCATTATTCTTGGCCAAACAAGTGATAAAAACGACGGATCATATATAACAAATAAATTTTCAAAAATGTCACCGCGCGTACGAGGACTTTTTCGAGATTTTAAATGCGATTCCTTTTTTGAATAACCCATGTTATGGCCGAAAGAGCGCGCGCTGGACACCATGGCCAGAAAAAAGAAAAACACAATACCCAGTTTTGCCGCCATTTTTAACTTAAAATTACTTATTAAATATACCGTTATTGAAAATGAATTTACAAGGTACGACACGTGCGAACTGCTAGCGGTCATCAACCAAAGTAAGATAGCACGCAACACACGCAACACAACTTGGTAAAGCATCTAAAAAGTTAATTTAAACATACAGGCTATTATTTCGTGCAGCAACAATAATTTCTAATAGCTCCGCCACACTATGCTCCTCGCGCTGCTCACCGCTCTACTCCTTGCGCTGCCGCGATGTTGCCCTCTCTGCCCACACTGCTCTACTCGCGCAATTAATCGCGACGCACCGCACTAGCTTGCTTCAATGGATGTTGAAGCTGTGGCAGCGTGCGCTCTATATGCATTATTTAGTTAGTAGTCTAGTAGTAGCTGCTTATATCAATGTCATAAAAATAAATATACGTCGTCATCCCCGCCATTGGAGATGGGGGATGACATTTATTCATCGAAATCGAGCACTCTATTCGAATTTATTTCGCGCAATTATTCATACTTAATGTAAGAACACGCACTCACGTACACATGCATCTAAAAAAAAAACATGCTGGCAACATGGTTTTAAGTGCATATATGAGGGTTCAGCAGAGAAGTTTTATGCGGTGATAAATACAGAACGAAGAAAGATACGAGATATGCGTGTGTGTTTCAAGAAGTTAAGCATGGTTTCTTCATCATTTGAAACGTACGCTGGATCTTCCTTTGTCGGTTTGAGGTTCCATCCATCACAGCCTATAAAAGTGCACTGCTGAACATAGGCGTTCGCCTCCCACATAGATTGCCTCATAGAGGGGACACAATTGGCGAGCGGGTTGTCAACCGCAGTTTTTTTTTTTTAATTATTTTGCGTTGTTATCATGACGATGATGTTGCCATCATTTGCTTGAATTTCCCGTTGACGCCTCTTACAACCACTACACGCTTTGTGATTACACTATGTTAATTAACAACCAAGGCTGCTTAACTTAAGCACCTATGGGTAAATCTAGCTATGCATGCCATTTGGCATGATACAACAGTAGATTAAAATAACCGGCCAAGTGCAAGTCAGTCTCGCATGAAGGGTACCGTACCATCGTAATACACATTTCGAGTAGGGAAGCCCCTTTTAATTTATATAAATTATAAATTAAAATTTAATTTTTATTATTTGTTGTTATAGCGGCAACAAAAAAACATTCTGTGAAAATTTCAACTGTCTACCTATTACGTATCATAAGATACAGCCCGCTGACAGACAGGCGGCGGCTTAGTGATAGGGACCCAATACCCGTATACCTATTCACATCTATAAAATAAGGAAACAGATACGAATTTTTTATTTTATTTAAAGGTCTGTCTGCCTACTAGTCTTAGTAAAAGTATCTGAGGGGCTAAGCACTCGCTGTAAGTAAACAATTAAATTGTTAATTGCAATTTTAATAACTGATTTACCACGTGATCGGCTGTGAAAGAAAACATCGTGAGGAAACCTGCATGTCTGACAAATTAAAAAAAAATTGAAGTCAAAAAGTAAATTGTGAAGTCCGCCATAAAACTTTCTCAGACAGCTCTTTAAGCTGTGCCGGGTACCCAGCTGTGGGACGTACACAAGTCCACTGCTGAACATAGGCCACCCCCAAGGAATGCCACAAAGCACGGTCATGAGCCACCTGCATCCATCGACTTCCTGCATGTCTCATCAGGTCATCACTCCATATAGTAGGGGGTCGCCCTACACTTTGCCTACCGGTACGAGGCTGCCACTCGAGAACCTTTCTTCCCCATCGGTTGTCGGTTCTTCGAGCTAAATGGCCGGCCCACTGCCACTTCAGCTTACTAATCCGTTGAGCTATGTCAGTTACTCTGGTTCTACTGCGGATATCCTCATTTCTAAGTTTATCACGCAGAGACACCCCGAGCATAGCCCTCTCCATAGCTCGCTGAGCGACCTTAAGCTTCCTCATACGGCCAGCAGTGAAGGACCACGTCTCAAATCCGTAAGTCATCACAGGCAACACGCACTGGTTGTACAATTTCGTTTTCAGGTTTTGAGGTACGTTTAACGAGAAGATGTGTCGTAGTTTCCCGAACGCTGCCCAGCCGAGTTGAATCCGTCGATTGACCTCTCGGTCGAAGTTGGACTTACCTAGTCGGACTATTTGTCCAGTGGCGTAGCTACCCAGGGGCTAGGCGGGGCAGTGCCCCGGGGCCCCCAAGGTAAAGGGGCCCCTCGGCCTCCAAGGATGACGTTCGAAAAATTATGTAGTATCCAGTTGTGTAAAGAATTTTCGAGTTTTAACTTTTTGGCTCCTGGCCGCAAATGGTTCGAACAGAAATCATAAAAATTACTTCCACTTCCAGAACATAAATATAACATTGTTAAAGATAATTGTCTACTTCGTTTTATTGTCTCTTTTGTATAGAAGGGGGGAACAAACGAGCATGTGGCTCACTTGATGGCAAGTGTCGACTACCGCCTATTAACAAATACAACACCAGGGCATTGTAAGAGCATTTTGGCTTTTTAAAAAGGAGTAAGGGAACGGTCCGGAAATATCTCCGGTGGTAAACGATTCCACAAAGAAGTCGTGCAAGGAAGAAAACTCCTAGTAAATCGGACAGTAGTGGACCGCCAAACATCCCGATGATGTGATTTTTGTGAAATGCATTGATGATATTTTGTGGCTGGAATTAATCCGAACAATTCCTCTGAACACTTCCTGTAGTAAATGCGTTAGAAAATGCAAAGGGATGCAACATCTCTTCGTCTCGTCTTTCGCCTTTGTCAGTCGTCGACGATTCGAGCCGCTCTGCGCTGGATGCGGTCAAGTGGAGAGAGCTGGTGCTAGGAAACCCAGGCCCAGGGGTGAGAACAGTATTTCATGTTAGGCCGAACCTGCCCCTTGTAAAGTTGTAAGTAGTGTGCCGGCATAAAATACTGTCCCGCCTTACTGAGCACGCCAAGTTTTTCAGAGGCCAATTCAGCCTTCTCTTCCAAGTAACCACGAAACTGCACATGATTCGATATGTCAGCGCCGAAGATTCCGATATTAGTTGAGGTAACAAGGGTAATGCCCTGAAATTGAGGAGTTACGATAAAGTTCTTTTTAGTGGTAAACGCACAAACGTGTGTCTTCTGGGCATTTAACTTAATTAGATTTTGTCGCCCCAATCCAAGACATTATCCGGCAAAGACTTGACTTCAGACACAAGTTTGGTCCGGTTCTCGGTGGCGTTTTGCGGAGAAATGTAGGCACAGCCTGTTTATAAAGCATCACCAGTGCACGTTACTGGCTTGCAACATATAATTGATAAGCAGAAGAAACAGCGTAGGTAATAGCACGTAGCCTTGTGGAACACCAGCATAAAATAGGCTTAAAAATGGAGCATTCACCTTCTACTACGACTTTGTTGCTCCAATCTACAAGAAAACAGCTGATCCAGTTGCACAAATTCTCGGGAAGCCCATAGGAAGGAAGCTTCGAAAGAAGTGCTTTGTGCCAAACACGATCGAAGGCCTTCGCTATGTCCAAACTAACGGCCAGGGCCTCCCTCTCCGCTTCCGCCGATTTATAAGTCAGGTAAGCTAGAAGATCACCAGCTGAGCAACCCCGACGGAAATCGTTCTGGCGGTCACTTTTCAGTTGGTGATCCTCAACTTCATGAGCTGGCAGTTCACAATGGTTTTCATTATTTTCGACTTTTGGGTTATTTTTTAGGGATCCAGTGCAGTAAAGTTGTCTTACAATGGCAGGAACTCCATCAGGTCCACTCGAATGGACGCCTAGGGATAGTAGTGCTATGCGCACCGAACGCTGTGTAAACCGTATCTTTCCGACCTGAAGGCGAAATTATACTTCTTTTTCAAAGTGCTGGTGAAGCACTCCTGTTATAGCGCGATGTAATTTTATAAAAGCGACCAAACCAGCCACCACAGGTGATAGAATAAAGAGTTCCATTCCCTAAAGTACCACATCAGTGACAGAATCACGTAGGGATTATCCGGCGAGAAGCATACCCGTCCCTGTCCTCAAGGGTAGAATGCAAAAAATTACCGCATCCTGTTCCAATCGGCCGACCTATAATGCCAAACGCGGCGGTGATCTGCAGAACGCAACCGCGATGGGAGTGTGAGTGGTGATCCGGATTAGACAATGGTTCAATGAACCAAAAAGGATGTCGACGGAAATTTGATATTCGTCCGGATGTGAGGTCAACAGAAGATCCAACAGGGAAGGCGCACGATCCTCCACATCTAGAATCCGCGTAGGCGAAGTAACGATTTCTGTCGGACCATATGCCAAGGCAAAGTCATAAACAGATCTTCCCGCATAATTGGTTAAACATGAACCAAGCCATTCAGCGTGGTGTCCGTTAAAATCACCAAGGATCTTGATCTCTGGAGATGGCAGTTGTTATGCTGCAGCTATATTAGTTATACGTGGTGGAGCCATGCTGCAGCAATATTAGTAGTATAGTTGTAACACGAATGGGTCGGCTCGACCGGGGAAGGACCACGCTCTCACAGAATACCAGCGTAAAATAGCAGCTTAACAATGCTGTGTTTCGTATGGTGAGTGTAGAGAACCGGAGACCCTTTTTACTGGATAAGAGGCATTCCATCTTAGACCTCACGAGTGACAATGCATCTGCATTTTGATTCACAAACGAGGTTAGATGTAGATGTCTATGGGCCACAGCAACCACTTACCATCAGGTGGACTGTGTGCTCGTTTATCACTCGATCCTATAAAAAAATGGGACCTGTCGTATCACGGAGTCTACTACCTACCTACTACCTAATCTACCTTAGCACCAGTGCTAAGGTAGATTAGGGTAGTTTGGGCGGGGATGCTCAGCCAGGGATTCTCTAATACCAGAGGTGCTGGTACCCTCTTGGGATATTTTCTTATTTAATTACACTACCACGTTAAGGGGGAGAGGGGTTAGGCCTCCGATCACCTGCACTTACCAGATAAAGTAAACTTCTACTTCACGCTGGTTTTCTGTAAGGTCGTGGTACCTCCTCGGTTCAAGTCGGACCACCCAGTCATTACATTACATTCATTCATTACAGCTCTTCATTTCATGTCTTACCAGGTCGTCACTCCATCTAGTCTGGCCCACCCGTGCGACAGCGAAAGCTGCCGTGTGGCTCTTCAACTGTTATGGTGTCTGCCTATATTATTAACTGTAATCGACTTCGTCATAACGAGTATTTATGCGTTACCCATAATACTTAGTAGTAAGTAGCTTTGCTTTATTACGCCCTGCAGCGGTAGTTTTGCACCTTTAAGGTATTTAATTAAGTTTAAATAGGGCCCCAACTTCATTTTTGCCCCGGGGCCCTTAGTTACATAGCTACGCCACTGTATTTGTCCCAGGTAAACATACTCGTCAACAACTTCGAGCTTAGTGCTCCCAACAACTACCGGCATAGGTGTGACATGGACGTTAAACATTATTTTTGTTTTGTCCATGTTCATCTTAAGACCTACCCGTTGGGAGACAATATTGAGGTCATTGAGCATAGTGCTTAGGTCCTCCAGCGATTCTGCCATAAGGACTATATCGTCGGCAAATCGAAGGTGAGTGATGTACTCGCCATTGATGTTAATACCGTATCCTTTCCAGTCCAGTAGCTTGAAAACATCTTCCAATGCAGCGGTGAAGTTTCGGGGATACAACGTCACCCTGTCTTACCGCTCTCTGCAGTTGGATAGGTTTCGTACTCTGATTCTGTACTCGGATAGCCATCGTAGCTCTACTGTACAAACACTTCAGCACTTCGATATACCGACAGTCAACTTGGCACCGCTGAAGGGACTGCAGCACCGCCCAAATTTCGACGGAATCAAAGGCTTTCTCATAGTCCACATACGCAAGGCAAAGTGGCAGATTATACTCCTCTGTCTTCTGTACAATCTGCCGCAGGGTATGTATGTGGTCCATGGTACTAAAGCCTTTTCGGAAACCGGCTTGTTCAGGAGGCTGGAAGTCGTCGAGTTGGCGTGCGAGACGATTCGTAATGACTCTCGAAAACAGCACGTAGACGCGGCTCAGAAGGGAAATCGGTCTGTAGTTCTTCAAGAGCGTTGTCGCCTTTCTTGAAGAACAAGACCATCGCACTTCTGCTCCACGCCTCCGGAGTAGTGCCACCATGGAGCTTCTGAAGGACTTCAAGTACCGGTTTTCCATCCGCTTCCAAAAGCTCCGCTGTAATTCCATCCTCGCCCGGGGACTTGCCGTTTTTAAGGTGCTGGAGAGCCATTCTAATCTCGCACAGACCGACGTCCGCGATATCTTCGGAATAGTGTCGGATAAGACTCGCTCTTGCATCGTTACTCACACTTGGGTGTGGCTCCAACGATGACGTGTACAGCTGCCCATAGAACCTCTCAATTTCACTCAAAATCTCAGGTGTCCCGGAAACGTTGCTGCCATACTCGGTCTTCAACTTTGACAGTTGGCTTTTTCTGACAGACAGATCTCTGGCAGACTTTGGAGCCTTGGTTCCGCTCGATCGCTTCTTCAATACAAGCTGTATTGAAGTTGCGCAAGTCCTGCCGCATGCATTTGGAGATCTGTCTGTTCAGTTGCCTGTATGCTGTCAAATCTGTTGAAGAATGTAGGTTCATCTCCCGTCTAACAGCCATGAGATTAAGAGTGTGATCGGAGTTTTTGTGTTCTTCTGCGGCGGGTCTTGCAGAACTTAGCTCCGACCGCATGGACAGTTTCCACGAGCTTGTCATTCATATCATCCACTTCATTGCAATCTTCTAGGCATTGAAAACGGTTTTGTAACTCGAGCTGAAACGTTTCGGGACTTTGGAACAGAGCACGAGGGGGACGGAGCGTTGACTTCATTAGACGAGACCTCTCCAACTTAACGTTTAGGTTCAATGTGCCTCTAACCATTCGGTGATCGCTACCAGTTTTCACCCTCGCGATCACGGAGACATCACTGAACAGTGTTCGTCTGGTCGTCATAATAAAGTCAATGTCATTTTTTGTCGAACCGTCGGGGCTCGACCTGGTCCACTTTCTGTGGGGCCGCTTCTGGAAGAAAGAGTTCAAAGAGTTCCTTTTTCTCCATGAAGTCGGCCAGCTGCTGGCCCCTTGGGTTCCGATGCCCTATTCCAAATTTCCCTACTTTCAGCTCACCGTTCTCTCTTGTGCCTAGTTTTGCGTTGTAGTCTCCCATTAACACCGTATAGTGGGTTTTGGAGAAATGCATGGTTCTAGAGATATCCTCATACATTTCCTCCACCTCCTCATCGGGGTGTGCCGAGGTTGGTGCGTAAACCTGTATGACCTTCAGCGAATACCGTTTGGTGATTCTGAGTATAAGGTACGCAACCCTCGGACGTAATAATATTTTTTTGTAAATATAACTAAACATATGAAAACAAAAAATACGCTGACTTTATAATTTAATATAGGGTAAAGTATCTAATTCGTAGCACTGCACCAATTATCAGCACTGCACAAAAAAAATACGAATTATAAGAGTTGTCGTTGAATTTAAATTGCTACGTGAAAAAAAATCGGATTTAAATTTATCAACTTATTATGTAAGTTAGAAACATTTAAAAAAATAAGATGGCGTGACGATTGCAATAAATAAGTAGTTACCTGTGTGTGTAAGGTAAAAAATTTCGGCCATTTTGATTGGGTGATGGTAAGTTCTTGTGATTTATTATCTTCTTAAACCATGAAAAGGTTTTATTATATTTGTGTTATTTTGGTTTCGAGGATTTCGAGAGTGATTTGTCTACATAAATTTAAATATATTTTTAGGTTAAGTTGTCGATTAATCAAAAAAAGTCGGGTGCTAGCATATGGTTCCTATTTTGTAGGTTTTTCCTATTATCAGCACCCGTGCGGATAATTGGGTTTGATAAGTAGGAAAAAAATATTATATTTTTATATGATTTTATGCTCTATGATTGCTGTTAACTGATTTCCGTCCATTTATTTATTTATTAAATACCGTTTTCCAAATATTAGCATGGTGCTGATACGAGCATTGCTAATTATCAGCATAGTGCTGATAATTGGCGACTGTCTATGCCGTTAATTGGATTTTTCTGTTTTAGTACACAATTAAAATGAAAACAAAGAAGCAAGAGGAGAAGAAGGAATTTACAAAAAGAAAAAAATATGGAAAGGAAAACTTAATACATGCCCTAGAAGCTGTAAAAAATGGCATGTCAAAAAAACTTGCATGTAAAACTTTCAATGTTCCGAGAGGGACAATCCAATCAAGATTGAGAAATGATCTAAAAGACCTGCCAGGCCCAAGTCCTGTTTTAAATTCAGATGAGGAAGATATTCTTGTAAAGTGGGTAAACGAATGCTGTAGAAAAGGCTTTCCAAGGAGAAGAATTGACCTTCAACTTAGTGTCGCAAACTTTGTAAAGAACTCTGGAAGACATAATCCTTTTAAGAATGGGGTTCCGGGTAAGAAGTGGTACAGCCTTTTTTGAAAAGACACCCACAATTAACAGAACGTACTTCTGAACCCCTCACTGCGGCGAGTGCAGCAGTTTCTGAACAAGATATTAAAGGGTGGTTTACAAAAATTGAAGAATACTTGAAAGACAATCAATATTTTAGTATCCTTAATGATCCTACACGAGTATTCAATGGTGATGAGTCAAATTTTCAATTGTGTCCCAAAAGTGGAAAAGTTTTAGCTATTAAAGGTGACAAAGACGTCTACGAAGTCGACAATGCGCCTGCAAAATCATCGTTAACGGTTTTATTTACATTCGGGGCAAATGTTGATGTCACACCACCCTTAGTAGTCTTTCCAAATAAAAGATCAACTTCGAACAAATAACTGTTTTATCTGATGTTACCATTAATATTCCTTTAGAGAAAAACATTGAAATTAAAGAAGATAATAAATTTGAAGTAGTGGCAAGGGATTCCCAAAGTGAAGCAGAAACTGTAAGACATTTTCTTGATAAAATTATTGAAAATAAAAAGAAATCGTACACAATAGAAGAGCTAGAAAAGATACTCGCAGATGAATAGTTATGGCTTATGATATAAGAAAGAAAACTATATATAATGTAATAGAGCTTTTACTTTTGCAAATAAATGATTTTTCTACTGCATTAAATGTGTGTTTATGTAATAATTCCAGGTATCTCCTATTTTATTTGTTTATTTTAAGTGTTTTTACGATTTAAAAAACTATGCCAATAAATAGGTCAATGGGTGCTAGTAATTGGTAATTGTACTGCTATCAATTGGGGAATAGGCGTTATTTTGATTAAAGCACCATAGAATGAAATAAATGTATGAAATTCGAAGAAAAAATGGTTTCTCTAAATATTTATTCACTGGTAAACCAAATACATATCTCGTGATGAAATATTTTTCTTTTTTTTACTTATTTCCACTATTTGAAAATGAACATTTTCTTAAAGTGCTGATAATTGGTGACTTCACCCTATCTTCTAGTTTTCAAAACATCCCTTTATTGATTTAATGTCTAAACTGAGACATATTAACAATTTTATATTGCAAAATCGTCATATAGCACAGCATGTCGAGAGTAGAGCACTCCCACACGCACGCTCGTTGTGCAGCATGTGGGAGTGCTCTACTCGCGTGCAGTATGAGTTGCACTCTGATCCGTTTTTCCTAACTACATTCAATTATGCCAATGAGAAAAAAAACAAGTTTCAAATGTTAGTAATATTTTATTACCTGTCAAAAGACAATAGTTTACAATTATTTTATTCAATGTACTTAGTAAATACAATTAGCTAGATTTATCTGATACTGCAACTGTCACTGAAGTAGTCTCTGTAAAGACGCTCGGTACACTCACACACACCAACATAAGGACGACGACGCACACTTATTCTGTCTTTGCAATTGCCCGTTACATTTGCCGGAGCCGCTTGTTCGGCCGCTGCCCGTCGTTCATGAAGCCGCCCTGAGGGTGAAAAATTCTAGTTAATATTTATTTTCTATTAGCTAGCTTCGCCTAGGTAATTAAGGACTTATCAATGTAGCTGTACTTATGAATTTATTTAGATTTAAGGCCATTTGTTTTATAAATTTCAAGTTTTTCGGATAAAATATAGCCTCCTGGCATTACTTTCTACATATTCGTAGTTTCATCACAATCGGTTCAGCCATTCTGAAAATTAGCCCAGACAGACAGAAAAAAAAAATTAAAAAGTTATTTATATCTTAACAGCATGCAAATAACTTAGGAGCTTAGTAGAAGCCAGTTACTTTAATATTACAGACACTTCAATTTTATTTATATGAATAGATAAACACTTGAAGCGCCGATCAGGAAAACTTGATGACGGTTAGAAAACGCTGCTAGAGGGCTAGAGCAACACAGGCGCGTTTTAACGGAAAATATTTAAGGGTGGATTTTACTAACGACACCTTTTTTCGGTGTCCTCAGTTATAAACCATTTGACAATTAATTTTATAAATACAAATAAAAAATTAATATCTCATAAAAACTATTTAAACGCTAGTGATAATCTTTCAACAACAGCATTTCACCACTTAGTAAAAACTTTAATTTCAAGCCTATTTTCCGGCCTTATTCATAAAAAACAACGTCAATTTAAGAAATTATTATTAAATCTCTTTTTTCACTAAATGACAATAGAAAGAGAGGTATATAGATAATAAATATCTATATACCTCTCTTTCTATCTTTTTAATATCAATATATATAGGACATTATAAAAAAGTTTATCATCGAGAGTTTTTTGATCAAAAATCCCAAGATTTCTACAGCAACGGGATTATGTCACTAATTACAAGATGGCAACAAGTTACCGAATAAAATGGCACATATATATTATAATTAAATGTAATTAAACTGAAAAAGAAATGTCTTGAATTTGTATATAAAATACGAAGAAACTTTTTCCCCGACCTTATATAATGTCGTTAAGTCTAGTACTGTCACTTGGACTTAAGAGACAGCACGAGACTAAGCATCCTTCTATTTTTAAGAAAGTAGTGGCTTTTTTTTTCTAGTTTGACAACTCTAATGGATTCTACCAGCATATAGTATTTCATGAAAGTCACGCATATTAGATTTCGAAGTTTCTGTAAACAGGTTTACTTTATGTTATGAAGGTTCATTATGAGTGATGGCAAATGTCACATGTATTTGAATAACTTTCCATTTGACAGTCCCGGGGAGTGTCAATTAGCCACTAGCAATGCTGACAGAAATTCAATTGTGGATTGCTCACATAATTTTAAGAACACCTAGCACCTGAATTTCAAAAGTGGTTAACACAAATTCAATAAACAATAATTGTTCTGTTCTCTGCAGTAAAATGTTTGCGTCGTTACTTTTAACTTTTAAAAAATAAAAATGAACAATATCGTAAACCATTTTTTCCTTTTTTTTTTATTCTCTGAAATACGTTACTCACACACTAGGATTTCTTCTGTATTGTGAAGGCAGATAACATAAATTAATGCACAAGGACTAACATCTATACCACAAAGCAATTATTTGTAAGCCACACAAATAATTGTTCCGTGCGGGATTCAAACCCGCGGCCGCAATCAATGCGAAGCTACTGCGCCTGGTTTCAACCATACAAGTATAGTTTTAATTACACAACAAAACATTTAGCATATATTCCTATTTACCTTTGATGTCTGCTAGGTACAATTTCAACTACAGGTAACTCTGAAAAGAATGCACAGAAAAAATATTAATGCAAAGAGAGCAGACCTACAGGCCGTAATTTGGGACTTTTTGAAGTTTTTACCAATTGTACTGCATTTCTTTGCATATTTTTCTATGCATTCATTTCCAAATAACATGAAAAAAATGAAACATGCATGTAAGTATATTTAACTATGAAGCAAATTTAAAAATAATTGCAAAAAAATACAGTTCTTTATCGCGAAATACAAATTAATGAAGCAATACAAATAACAATTGTAGATATGTAATACTAAAAGGGTTAAAAGCAATATAATATGAAGAACTGAATATATGGCTGCAACTGATGACATATTAAATAATTACATGTTTAAAGTTGAGTAAGTATAAAGTAATGTATGGTACAAGTCGCGGCACGTAAGTCTAACGCTGAACGAAACGTGCAGGGGACTCGCACGAATTGAATTGCACGAATGCGACTGGAGCCAATCAGCGCGTGCGAACAATACCCATGAGCCAATCAGCGCGACAATAACGGTCACCGCTAGACTTTCGTGCCGCTACTTATAGTAGCTTAAGTTTCCAAAACCTTATCATTAATACTTAACCACAAATAATTACGAATTCGACAATCCCAGTCAAATGAAATAAAGAGTTGTCAAAACAAACGTTTTTATAGAAATCGTATAAGAATATAATGTAATAATTATGGTATTTGTATATTTTTAAATACTCTAATCTATTTATATTAAAATAAAAAATCAACCAAGTTTTAAGACAACTACTACATGTAGGAAATTTTAATGATATGAATTCGTTTTTAATTAATGATGACGTCCAAATACGGAATTACAAAATAACAAGAAGCCAAAGAAACAGATAGTCCAATATGTTCCAATGTGATTTTATAGCTGTAGTTTTTATCTGATTATTTGTGTTTACAGTATATTAAGTGACAGCTTGTATGAAAGCAAATAATCACATACAAATACGCATGCGATCATGTGCACGTGCATATTCATCATGCGTGCGTTCGTAAGTACTTGTGCGTGCGTGAGAACGTGCGTGAGGGTGTGTGCATTCTTGTGGTTTGTACGTGCGTAAGCGTAAGTCTTTTCCAATCCAATTTACAATAACAATAACATAAACAATGTTAAGATACTGTCATTTAAAATTTGTTTTTATCTAAATTATTTTAATGCAATTTTCATTAACACTTAAGGAGTCCAACACACCCAACCCCTAATATATTGCTTAATAACTATTAAAATACGACTTTTGCAACGTTGCCGCTATTAGTGCCTTTCAACGATAGTGTAGCATAGCAAATGACGATGTTGGTAGTCAGTAGAAGTGCCATGCCAAGAAATAAATTTAAGCTCTATGTGCCTTTTGCAGGCTTGATATACATATATAAAAGAAATGTATTCATAAATGCTATCAGAGTTTACAATAAATTGCCTAACACTTTTAAAGACCTCCCTTTCGTTATTTTTAAAAGAAAACTCACAAAATGGCCTGCAACAAAATGTTTTATAGTTTATTCGAATATATATAAATCTACAATAATAGTGAAATATGGAAAACTGATTTTTTTTGACATTTAACATTTATAGTATGTTTTGCCTTTTTTTTAATGTTTTAGATATTTGACATAATATATAAATATAAACATTTACATAGTTATTTAAATTTTTGACATGTATTTATTGTAATTTAAAAACATGACGCTAAAATATTTTTAAATAGTTAAATATTTTTGTTTAATAATTTACTTAATTAAATTATAATAATAATAATTTTGTAAATTGTAAAGATATTGCACGCCATTATCGGTCTCATTAATAACTAACAACATCATCAAATCATTTACTACATTCTGCATTTAAATAAATTTGAATTAGTTAGTTTAAAAACTGGCCAAGTGCTTGTCGGGCCACGTACAAAATAGTGGTAGGGTTCCGTTGTTGTCTGTCACAATAAGTGGGCGTCCTTGATAATTAGCATAATAAGTGAATTCGCGGTTTGACAAAAATTGGTAGGAGGGGGGGACATGACTAATGAAAAATAACACTTTAAAGCTAAATATTTCGCAAACGGACCCCTGAATCGAAAAGATGTTTTTGAAAGGCCTATCCAACGATACCCCACATGATGGGATAGACGGGTATAAAAACAATCCTCCATTTACTTGCATGGGAAGTACCCAAAATAAAAATGTATTTTAAGATTTTATTTAACAGGTTTCTAGATGTGATTAATATCTATAATTATGCCAAATTACAGATTTGTAGCACCTAGGGTCTCTAAGCAAAACTGCAGACAGACGGACGAACATGGCGAAACTAAAAACGAAAAAAATGATTGACATTATTGTGTAAGACAGAAGTTTTTGTTTGAAATAAGTAATTTTAGGAATTATAACGATGACCTTAAAACTTGTCACAAAATACGGACAAATTTAGTATATTTTTGTAACAGCTTTTATATGAGTAAAAACAATAAATATTAGTATTTGATTCAATCATATTTTTCTTTACACATATCGAATCCTTATTAGAAAGTAACCATTTACGTTTATAAAGCAGTTTTGGAATAAGCTTATGATATTATATTGGGTCCTGTAGATCCGGTAGCCAGTACTTGTGCTACAAATTAGGACGCGACTCCCTAAATTAAAAAGTAAGTGTTAAAAATCTAAAACTAAAAACTTAAATTATCATACAATCCTACTCCCCGCGGTATTGACATGGCGTTTCCTTGCAGAATGGCATTATTTAGCCTTTGAGCGAGAAAAGAACCCGTCCTGTTATCACCAGCAGAGACAACCAGTCTCTACAGTAAATGGCACAAATGTGTAGTAATCTCCCAGACTCATTTTTTTCTCTCTTTTATTGTGCATTTTTTAATATTGTGCATATCTCAATTTTTATTTAATAACAGATAACATTTTGTTTACGTTCACAGAAAGTCAGATAAATTTTTGTAGTCCCCATGGCAATATACAGGGTTATTTTTCAGAGTATCCAAATTTTATATTTAAGTTCAAATATATAAATAATGATATACCGTTATTGGAGTTTTTAAAAAGACGAGTAAAAAAGGCTTCTACAATTATTTGAAGTTATCCCCAATTTGAACGTGATTTATGGCCAACAACTACGCGTACGCGCGCTCCGTTCTGTGCATTTCAATTCACAATAGTGCGTGCATGGGTGTGCGTGTGTGTGCGTGCGTGCGTGCGTGCGTGCGTGCGTGCGTGTGTGCGTGTGTGCGTGTGTGCGTGCGTGCGTGCGTGCGTGCGTGTGTGCGTGCGTGCGTGCGTGCGTGCGTGCGTGCGTGCGTGCGTGCGTGCGTGCGTGCGTGTGTGCGTGCGTGCGTGCGTGCGTGCGTGCGTGCGTGCGTGCGTGCGTGCGTGTGTTGCGTGCGCGTGCTTGTGTGAGCGAGTACGTACGGGGCGCGCCATGAAGGGCTGCGGCGGCATGTAGGTGTTGACGGGCGCGAAGCCGCCGCGCGGGAATGCACCACCGCGAGCACCGAACCCGCGACCGCGTGCTCCTGTATGACAAATTTAATTTCTTTAAAGTTAAATACCGGCATAAAATAGCAGCTCCATGCTGCTATGTTTTATATGGTGAATGTAGTCTCAGTCCTCAGGGGTGGCAACGCATCTGCATTTTATTTTTTAATTATTTATTTACCAGGTCGTCACTCCATCTAGTGAGGGGACGCTAGTAGATGGAGTGGCGACCTGGTAAGACTACGCTTCGCCTGCCGGTACGCGGCTGTCACTCGAGAATTTTCTTCCCCATCAGTTGTCGGTTCTTTGAGCTATATTGCCGACCCATTGCCACTTCATACTAATTCTTTGGGCTACGTCAGTTACTCTAGTTCTAGTGTAGATATCCTCGTTTTTAAGTCTATCACGCAGAGAACCGCCAAGCATAGCCCTCTCAACAGCTCGCTGAGCGACTTTGAACTTTCTCATATGGCCTGCAGTGAAAGACCATGTCTCAGTTCCATAGGTCATCACTGGCAACACGCACTGGTTCAACAATCTATTTAGTTTTGAGCTATGTCTAATGAGAAGATGTGTCGTAAAACGCTGTCAGGGCGAGTTCAATCCGTCAATTGGTCTCTCGGTCGAAGTTGGGCTTACCTAATCGGACTATTTGTCCCAGGTAAACATATTCGTCAACAACTTCGAGCTTAGTGCTCCCAACAACTACCGGCATAGGTGTGACATGGACATAAAACATTCATTTACAATACATTAATTTTATCAATTGTTATGAAGACATTAAGAAACAGCATGGTAGAGGATCACTTCATTCCCAGGGATTATTATCAATCATGTACTTCTTTAGTAGTACATTTATCAAACAAGTTTTACGACATAAGACATGAATAGAGTTTGCCTGAAGTTGCCGCAAGTGTGTGTGTGCCTTCTGAAGTTGGAGCGTGCATTACCTCTGAAGTTTCCGCGTGCATTGAAGGCAGCGCCACGCGCTCTGAAGTTGGTAGCGCGCGAGCCGGTGGCCGCGCCCCCCGCGGCCGCCGCGCCCCCCGCGCCGCCGCCCGCCCCGCCGCGGTTCTGCTGCTGCCCCTGCTGCTGCTGCTGCTGCCCGTGCTGCCGCTTGTTCTGCAAACACACGCCCCACTCAACTGCGTACTTCCTCACCGTGCAGCGTGCACACCGCACACACAGACCACAGTTGGACATGGACATAGACCTCTCCAATAACATTACGGATAGATTTGTAGTATACAAAAAACCATGTGTGCAGTTCACACATGGTAGAAGTGAAACCTTCAGAAAACTAAAGTTAGCACTGTACCACACTATGTACCACTGTAAACAGTAAACCTGTAAACAGTAAACTAAAGTTTACTGTTTACAATATCTTACATTAAACAAACACAAAACATGTTTTTTGCGTATTTTGTTCCAAAATTCCCATAGCCGTAACCATTTAAAGCATATTCAGTAAGCGTTTAAAGCATTCAATAAAGTAGAAGTTTACTGAATCAAACCTTGTTGGTATTGGCAGCATGAGCCTTCTGCTCCTCTTCATCGCGGAATTTGGTGATGGTGACGAGGAAACCATTAATACGAAGCTCCCGATCTAATTTTAGCGCCTTCTCAGCAGCCTCCTTCTCGAAGAAGGTCACACGCACTACGGAAAAATAAGTCAGTTAAAAAAATTATAAAAAAAAAACAATCAGGTCAAGTTGAGTCCAAAGCCTACAAAAACAAAACTTTTTTTATAAAACTCATAGATTTAGTTTGGATACTTCTTGTAATCCCAAGCTGTATATGCTATTTCCAATATAAGTACATAAATAAATCAAATACAAATATTTGAATAGAAATAGCAATATCAGCCAAATTTTTAAACGAGGATTAAAGAAATTGTTGTCATTAATTTTCAAGAGTAAAGGTACTAGGAGTGCTAACTTTTACCATGAAATAATTTTCATTTAATTAATGTGGTGTAACCCTACCATATTTATAGTACTATCACTACAGCCTATCAAACATTATTTATTAATGTTTGATAGGCTGTAGTGATACTACTATGTACCGTATGTTTATGTATATTAATACTTGTAGCTATTACTTATGTTCCATAATATATTATTTTTGTCTGTAATCATCATGTAATGCTACTTTGAAATTTTTAGACCTTAAAGTTACAGAGATACTTAAATATTATATTGTACTTGGTTTGCCTAACTTGAAAATGTATGATACATCTTAGTACTTGTGAATCATGCAGATGTTGAGGAAACATGTATTTAAACTGAACTTTTGGTTGTAAGAGTCTGTATCATGAAGGTAATATACTTACATATCTTGTACTTGGTTTTGCTGAACTCGTGTATATGTGAAACTTCGCCGCACTGCGCGAACAACAACCTCACATAGTCGGTGCTGGCCTCGTACGGTACACCCACCAGCACGGCCGTCTCGCTACGAGACTCCACCGCCACAGAGATGGTGCTGCCCTCCAACACCGTGCCATTTTCACTCAGCGCCTGCCCCACAGAACACATGTCAGCTACTGCACTTATTCACTCAGGTGTGCTCCATCAATCATGATTTTTGTATCTAGTGTATTTTTATTAATTTACAAACACTTCTCAGTTTATTCAAAAATGAACTTTACAATATGGGCAGTTGACACTAATGATAATTGATATACTATTTACAAGGCATCGAAACGCATTTTCTACAATAATCATATAGAAATTAAGAATATAATTTAATAAAATCATAGCTTCTTATAGCCAAATAAACATCTTATACAGGGTTACATGGGATAATTATCAATGATAATAACGTTTATAATATAAGGCGCATACATTATCTTTATATACATATGTCTTCTGTTCATGTGTACGTGACTGAACTCCCTCAAAACAGCTGGACCAATTTTGATGAAAATTTGTGTTTGTAATTAACCGATTCGTTAGTTGCCAGCTAAAAGTGGCACAATAGACGTGTCATCAGCCATGTGTAAAAGTAATGTTCTTTTTTATGCTTTTTTCACTTGTTTAGACCTAATTAAGTTTAGTTGACATAAAACATCAGTTACAAACGGAAGGATACTTGTTTTTAGTGGGTAAATACGTGTTTTTCTACGTGTTTTCTTTGAAATTGAGTGACTTCTTTTTATGCAGAGATTACAAACCTTTTGTACTATTTTTTGTTTTATAAAAAAATAATTTATATAAGTAGGTACAGCCAAATCATCCTGGAAAACCTTGGTTTTTATTAAATTAAATTTTCACCTAATAATAATATTTGTAAATATCAAACAATCAAGAACCTTAAATTGGGAAAAAATAAGTTTTGATTCATTAATATTTACAAATGTTAAATATTATTTAATGTTATACAGATGTAAAAGTAAAGTCGATTTCAAAACGTCTAATTAGTACGAATAGCAAAACAAGTGTTTTCAAAAGGAAACAAACGCCGGCGCTATACGGCGGCGGATTGACGAAAGACTATTTATTAGCGAACTTTTTTATGCATGAACGGTTTCAAACTGTTTCAAGCAAAAATAAACCTTATACCATATCACAAGAGCACATGGTACTTCGTAGGTCTATTCGGCCATATGATAGTAATAAGACGGCAGTTCAACCATTTTAAGCAAAATTCAACAATAAGACAAACGCATTGTTTTTTCTGCCGACTTCCAAAAAGGAGCCGGTACTCAATTCGACTGTATGTTTTTTTTTTTCGTTTTTTTTTTTTTTTATGTGTGTTACCTCAGAACTTTTTTCTGGGTGAACCGATTTCGATGATTCTTTTTTTATTTGAAAGCTGGTACTTCTCGTGTGGTCCCATATGAATTTGATCAAGGTCAGACCAATAGTTTTTAAGTTATTCTTAAATAACTTATATTGAAGTCGGCTGTACAAAATTTTTAATTTTAAATTATTTAAAAGGAGATTTGTTTTCCAGATATTTATTTACAACTTGAGTTTGTGAGTGATCGCAATGAGTGCTATTATTTGTTACTTATTAGACTATTTTTCCACAACGTGATTGAAAACCCACAAAGTAAAAAGAGTACCATGTACGAGTTAAAAAAAGGTTGTCAATCCCTAAAAACTTCAAATTTTCAAAATATCCAGAAACGAAGCTGCAAGCATGAACTACTTGCAAAATAATGAATATTTTGTTTTGGATAAATTTTCCAAAAACGCAATTTGAGCGTGTTATAACGATTTTTAAAAAGACACGACTCGTGTGTCACAAACACGCCACACCCAAAAGTAATCGATGGCACACCTGGCGTGTCATCCGCACTGAGCCGGTTAAGTTGATTCCGAGAATCGTTTAGATTCACAATCAGAACCGAACTTCCGAACGCGGGTAATATCTTCTTGCGTGTATTTTTTGCCAATATGACAAATAATGTTGATTTGTTTAAATTTTGCTATTGTTGATTATATCAAACAAAGAGCTTCTTTTTAACTATTAAAATACTTTTATTACACATTATATTGCTGGATAATAACCGGATAGTTATCAATGACCATTATTATCTTGATCATCTGCAGACTACCAAAAAGGAGCCAGAACTCAATTCGAGTGTGTTTTTTTTATGTGTGTTACCTCATAACTTTGTACTGGGGGAACCGATTTCGATATTTCTTTTTTTTATATGAAAGCTGATAGTTCTCGTGTGGTCCCATATGAATTTGATCAAATTCAGACCAATGGTTATTGAGTTATTCTTAAATAACTAATATTGAAGTCGCTTATATTGAAGTCGGCTGTACAAAATTTTTAATTTTTAATTATTTGCAACCCTATTTGATCTTAAATATTTTTGAATGATAAAGTCTAATTTAATTTTTAACGAAAACCTGATCAAGTTCTGAGATATATTAATTAAAATGATAGAGGTTTACAGTTGTGCACGCATCATGGAAAAACTACTGGATAGATTTCAATTAGGTTTTCTAGGTTTTATTTCTTGGACACTTAGCCTTATCAAAAAAAAAGTTATTGTGATATTTTAATTTAATATAAAGTTATAAGTTTTAAGAAACAACAATTGTTATACAGGGTTTTTCAAATGGTCAATGGTACGTCGCTTGCTCTCACTTTACTAACCCAGATAAGTTATATATTTTAGCTACAAATGAAGCAACAACTAACATTGTTTACAAAGAAATTTCGTAAGCAAGGTATATTTTTGCTTGCGATCTTTTTGATGTTTTCTTCCTTCGCACATATGAAAACTTTGTTAATCAAGCAACGCAAACGAAGTTGTGGGTATCAGTTAGTTACTAAATAAAGCAAATTCTAACTATATGTTGAAATAACAATTTATTACTGATAGTGTCAATTAATGTATGCATTTTATTATTGTTTTCTTATATTGCATTTACTAATCTAAATATGTCTTATCAGATTTTATCAGTACACTCTCTAAATTGTACAATAAATTTTCATAAAATACAATTGTGTGAAAAAACTATATATCTGCAATAAAATCAAACATTAATATATCTATTAATACCTCAATTACTTTTTTTTTAAATGAAACTTTTTGTTGATATTAGAATAATGGATACCTTTTTTAAAGGTGCCAAAAGTAAGGGTGACAAACGAGCACACAGTCCATCCGACAGTAAGTGGATGCTGTGACCCATAGATATAAATATCTATCCTCAATTAAGAATCAAAATGTAGATGCGTTGCCACTCCCGATGACTAAGATGCCCTGTTTCTAGTAAAAAGGAAAATTTTGATGAAAAATGATGATGATGATGATCCTCAATTAAGAATCAAAATGTAGATTGCATTGCCATTCCCGATGACTAAGATGCCCTGTTTCTAGTAAAAAGGAAAATTTTCTTCAGAATTTATTCATAAAATGTTATTATACTTTACAGTATGTCATTAACACTATTAAAATTTAATGATTGATGGATCACACATAGAAATGAATAAAACATTTAAACCATTACAAATGATAAGTATCTGAAATTTTATTTACCTAACACAAGTCATTTTATATCCTTTAATTATTATTAATCTTAGATCTGTAGTTTGTAGGAAAATATTACAAAATGGATTTCAAATCCAGTTGGCTCTTTAATTTTAAATATAAATTTAATTATTGTATTTAAAAAAACTTACCTTTGTTTATTATAATTCATAATAAATATCCAATGGGTAATTCATTAAAATTGGTAAATGAAAAAAAAATATTAAAGTGTTTTATTAACAAAAATTCTAGCCACACAGTAAATCCACTGCGGGCCATTTTGCCATTTTATAGTTACCTATTTTGTTAGTTTGTATATGACTGCCAGTGGCAGTCATATACAAAGTTATCTAGAACACCTTGACTACCTAATTCAGCTAAAAAGGTTATAAAGTCTTACATGAAGCTTTGTGTCAAGCAAATACCTCCCTTTAACAACAGCAACAAGGTAGTTTTTAATATAAACAGCTTTTATTAACAGTTACACTCTAATTAAAGACCTTAGCAATAAGAAAATTTAGACTAGAATTTACTTTTAATGTTAAAAGTATGTTTATTTTGAAGTTAAACTCCTCTGTGTAATAATGTATCATAATTATCCTTATTAACCAACTTCAAAAAAGGAGAATGTACTCAATTCAACTGTATTTTTTTCAGGCGTTTTACCTCAGAACTTTTTTCTAGGTGAACCAATTATGATGTTTTTATTTTATTTGTAAGCTGGTGCTTCTCGTGGTTCGATATATTATAAATTTGATCACAATCTGACCAGTAGTTTTCGAGTTATCCTTAATAATGCGTATTTAATTCACTTTCTACATTGATGATGTTCTCATTTTAATTATATTGAAGTCGGTTGAATTTTTTTTTTAATGTTACTACTTTTTTCTAGCAATAAGGATAATTATGATTATGAATTAAAATCAAACAATTACGAGCATAAAATATGGTGATACCATACAAAATAAATTAGACACCACAAAATAAAGATGCATATCAACTGATCTGCTACACTGCCAAGTATAAAAACTGTAAAATTTTGAAGATCTTATATCTAGGTAAAGCACAGCAGAAACCAAACAGTCACCATCTGTAGAAGACCAGCCATTTGAAACATTCAAATAGTCATACATTACTTTAAGATGATATTTTGAAGTAAATTTGGAAAAAATCTTAGCATTAAATATATTGTGCCACTTTGGTATTCCAGAGTAGGACACAGCATTATTCTAATTAGCTAGCTAAAGACTTTTTATTATTATAAAAAAGTTAATAAGCTTTTGTTTACCTTTTCCAGAGAGTCTTTGTTTTTGAATTCGACTATAGCCGATAATGTCGGAGTTGTGGTCAGTTCAGTAACAATGATTGGACCACGTCTAAAAAGAAAGAAAATTTCTCTTGTTAATACTCCGTTATAACAAAGGTGGTCCAAGGGCAATTTGCACTATAGAACACCTTGAAATTTATGGTCTTAAATTATATTGTTTCTTTAATAAATGAAATCATAATCACATTAATAGAGGGACTGATATTTGAATGTTAACAAATATGTTTTATGTATACAAATTCAATTACGAAAAATATCACTCACTTTACGCTAACAACTTCCCCATGTTTTGAGAACAACTCCTTTAGCTTTTCTTGGTAGTCAAAAAGGTAGCTTGATGGGAGGTTTTCCACAAGTAGTTTACCAGACTCCACCTTCTCTTCCTTCTGTTCCTCTGCCTTAGCTTCACCATCGGCGTTCTCTTGATTCTGTTCAGTTTCCTGTTCTGGAGCTTCTTCAGCCGTAGTGGTATCCTCTACCTGTTCGGCAGATTCTGTCTGACCGTTATTCTCTTCAGTGCCTTCCATCGCTTCTACCTCCGATTGAGGTACCTCTTCATTCTGATTGGCAGTTTTGGGTTTAGCAGCCTGAGTTTTGGCTCCACGACCTTTCTTCTGCGCCACCATATTTATATTTCGCTGAAAAAATATCAAAGTACATGAAAACTAGAACAGACGCTCCGCCATCGACGCATTTCCCGCCATGCGCTATACATACATACATATATATAGCATGGTCATACGTCGATTTGGCGCCGATATTATCTGAAGGACAAAGTAAACTACGCACGAAACTGTAACTACAACAAATTTGCGTATTTTGCAAGTTACTTAAAGGATATAAAACGCAAAAATAACGGTACCTACATTTACATGAAGCTAACCCGCCATGAAGCATGGCGTTAGGAGAGTGGAAAATTCACGAAACCTTATACCACAAAGGTCATTTTGGAGAACTCCCTAAAGTCCTTTAAAACTATGAATCATTCACGTATGAAAGTTTTGCTTACCGGTAAGTTTTCTTGTCACTTAATTCACCTGAAGCACTAAATTATACTAGAAGACGCCAATTCAATGTTAATAATAACATGCAACCGGCATCACGCAAGCGCGCCGCCATTAAATAATGGCAAAAATGATGCGTATTGCGATGCCGATGCGTACTACGTCTGTGTTGCTAGTTTTGCAATTCACACCCAAAGAGTATTTCAATTTTCAATCACTACGTTTATTCACATGTGCATTTTAAATACTTCAATGAGTCACACAGGTAATTTTATTGGGGGATTTGGCTCTTTTTAGCTTTAGCCGACTTCAAAACAAGGAGGAGGTTTTTTTGTATGTATGTTACGAAACAGTTACGTTATGAAACGATTTTAATGATCCCTTTTTTCCTTTTATTAAATGGGATCATTTCCTATATGAATTCCTATATTCCTATGTGAATTTGAAGAAAAAATCCGCTAAATAGGTGATGAAATTTTAAATGTAAAACTATTTGGAAATCAGTAGTAATGTTCATTAGTCCTACAAAAGTATAAAAACTTTTATTAGAAAGTAAAGAACTAAAAAGAATAAAATAGTTTCACATTCTGAAGTCGGATTTTACTTTTCACAAAAAAATATTTCTCACATGAAATTAACACGAACATCGACAATGGACATGGCAAAAGGCGGTTCCGAGAATTGATTAAATGAGTAAGACATAGGCATAGGGGGTCATACATTATACATCATACAAGATTCGGTACCTACATTTATCCCTTCTTTTATTTGTATTGTATTCAGTGCAATGAACACTCTTATTCTTAGCGGAATTTACGTTTAACATTTATTATGTAGACTAGCTGTTCCCCGCGACTTCGTTCGCGTGTTAGTGTTTTTATGTTTCTGCGCGGAACCCTGATTCTTTTTCTAAAATAAAAGTAGCCTATTTTACTCCTTATGAAATCAGCTATCTGCCAGTGAAAGTCCCGTCAAAATCGGTCCAGCCGTTTCGGAGATTACCCGGAACAAACAGACAGACAGACAGACAGACAGACAGACAGACAAAAATTTTAAAAATTGTATTTTAGTTATAGGTATCGTATTTACTTTCATATGGATTTAGTAAAAAACTGTAATTTTGACATTACAAACAGACACTTCAATTTTATTTATTTGTATAGATTTGTTCCTTTGATTTATACGACTACTTCAAATACAACTTTATCAGATTTCATACACACAATACAATAGTATGAGATTTCCTTTAAGTGTAATAAAAATAAAACCCTCGCAACATACAAATCTGTTTTAACCTTTCCGTTTCTGGTAAGTCCAATTTTAAACTTTAACCGTAGTATTACAATAATAAAAAGTTGTTTTTGCAAAAGTATCAAACACAACATGTCTGTCAAAGACATCCTAAATCATCATCATCATCATTACAGCTATTCACAAGTCCAGTGCTGAACATAGGCCTCCCCCAAGAAATGTCACAAAGCCCGTTCCTGTGTCACCTGCATGTCTGCATCCATCTACTTCCTGCACGTCGAACCAGGTTATTCTGGTTCTACGGCATTACTGCGTTTATAAGTCTATCGTGTAGAGAAACCCCAAGCATAGCTCTTTCCATAGCTCGCTGAACGACATTGAGCTTCCTCATGTGGCCAGCAGTGAAGGACCACGTCTCAGATCTGTATACCTGATGAGAAGATGTGTCGTAATATCCCGAACGCTCCCCAGCCGAGTTTAAACCGTCGATTGACTTCTCGGTCGAAGTTAGACTTACCCAGTCGGACTATTTATCCCAGGTAAACATACCCGTCTACAACTTCGAGCGTAGAGATCCCAACAACTATCGGCATAGGTGTGATTTGGACGTTACACATGATCTTTGCTTTGTCCATGTTCATCTAAAGACCTACCGTTGGAAGACACTATTAAGGGTATTGAGCATAAAGTTTAGGTCCTCTAGTGAATCTGCCGTAAGGACTATATCGTTGGCAAGTTAAAGGTAAGTGTTGTTGTTAGGGTGACCTTCGGTAGTAGGCGGAGCTGGTCTAGATTTTGTCAGGGTCCCTAAGTCTAGTATAACAAAGGGCAATCACCTTCAACCGTCCCTGTCGAGCTGCCGCCGAAAGACATAACGAGCTATTCGGAAAATAAGTTTAAACACAGAGCAAGATATGTTGCGCCACTGACGATCTACCGAATAATTCGAGTATTCGAATGAGGCTTTTGTAAACAAGACCGTGAAACCAGCCGAAACAGATTTACTCGCCATTGATGTTAATACCGTATCATTTCTAGTGCAGAAGCTTAAAAATGTTTTCCAATGCAGCAGTGAATAGTTTCAGGGGTATAACGTCCCCCTGTTTTACTTCTCTGTAGTTGGATAGGTTTCGTACTCTGATTCTGTACTTGGATAACCATGGTAGCCCTACTGTACAAACACTTCAGCAATTCTTTATAACCCGCCCAAATTTCGACGGAATTGAAGGCTTTCTCATGGTCCACATATGCAAGGCAAAGTGGTATATTGCACATTTCGGTCTTATGTACAATTTTCCGAAGGGTTTATATGTAGTACTAAAGCTTTTTGACCTTGACTTGTTCGAGAGGCTGAAAGCCGTAGAATCTGCAATTTGTAATGACTCTTGAAAACAGCACGTAAACGCGGCTGAGAAGGGAAATCGGTCTGTACCTTCACCAGAGCGTTGTCGCCTTTCTTGAAGAAGAAAATCACCGTTCTTCTGTTTCACGCCTTCGGATTAGTGCCACCATGGATGGAAGACGTGTTTGAAGAGCTTTTGAAGGACTCCAAGTAATGATTTTCCACCCACTTTCAGAAGCTATGCTGTCATTTCATCCTCAGCCGGAGCCTTGTGTTATTTTTAAGGTGCTGGGATTTTAACCTCATTTTAATCTCACTCAGACTAACTCAGAGTGTCGGATAAGACTTGCACTCATACTTGCATGCGGCTCCAGCGATGATGTGTACAGCTAGCTGCCTGTAGAACCTCTCAATCTCACTCAAAATCTCAGGTGCCTGGAACACGATGCTACCACATTCGGTCTTCAGTTTAAACAATTGGCTCTTTCTGATAGACAGATCTCTGGCAAAGACTTTAGCACTCGAACGCTTCCTTATACGAGATGCTACTACTGTTGAAGTTGTGCAAGTCCCACTGAGACAGACTTCCGATCGGAGAGTTTTTAGGTTTTTCTGCGATGGGTCTTGCAGAACTTAGCTACGACCGCATGGACAGTTTCCACGAGCTTGTCATTCAGATCGTTTGATGTATTGCAGTCTTCTAGGTACTGAAAGCGATTTGGTAACTCGAGCTGAAAGTTTTTAGGGCTTTGGATTAGAGCACGATTGGGATGTGGAAGGACTTCAATAAAAAAAAAATTAAACAACTTTTTACTCATAAACTCATTCACTCACACATTACATTCACAAAAAAAATCAAATAAATAATTATATAATCCGGCGAGCCATTAATTTTGAAAAAATAAATTAACATTTGGAAGAGCACACCTATACAATAAACTTTCAAAACATGTGAAAGAAACGACTTGCATCAATAGTTAAAAAAAGATTAATTGAATATATTTGTAAAGATGAAACTATTAATTAAAATTCACTTACTTACAACACTTGCCTAATCCAATGCAATTGTCACTATCTGTAATAATTTTATTTCTAGTGTGTGCTTGAAGTCAAATATACAACGGTCGATCGTCAACCAAAAAGCGAGTACATTGCGTTATTAACTAACTCTTAAGCCGAACGTCCACCGCAAACTAAGCTAACTTATTTTATCTTAGCTCGCATAGCTGAGCCAGTTTATCATACATTTTAATTTCCACGGCAAAATATTCCAGCTAAACTATGTGCAGTCCGGAAAAATCACCGGTGGTAAACAATTCCACAGAGAAGTTGTACGAGGAAAATAATTCCTAGGAAAACGCATAGTCATGGACCGCCAAGCATCCAGATGGTAACGATTGTATCATGGATCGCCTGTTTATGCCTGTCCTCATGTATACCTTCGGCATACTCAGGTGGACTCAGACCGAACTGAACGCTCTGGATAGAAAACTCCGCACTTTTATGACGTCCCACAGGATGCATCACCCGAGATCGTCAGTAAAGAGAATGAATGAGGAAACATAGTGGGCGCGGCTTTTTGAGCACTCTCACCATGCATAATCGCGAAGTGTGCAGACTCCGTAATTACTTTCTGGCGAGATCGGATGATCCATTCTACAGGGACGTCATTTCGTGTGATAAAGGGCTTACTCCTCTATTCTTAGCTCTTTTTTTTTATAGGAGAGGGGGCAAACGAGCATGCGGCACACCTGATGGTAAGTGACTACCGCCGCCCATAAACAACTGCAACACCAGGGGAATCGCAGATGCGTTGCCGGCCTTTTAAAAAGGAGTACGCTCTTTTCTTGAAGGTCCCTAAGTCGTATCGGTCCGGAAAAATCGCTGATGGTAATCGATTCCACAAGGAGGTCGTGCGAGGAAGAAAACATCTTCTAAATCGCACAGTGGTGGACCGCCAATCATCCAGATGGTGTGGATGGTATCGGGAGTTCTGCCGCGATGTGCGTTCGTGAAATTTGGCGGCTGGGATTAATCCGAACAATTCCTCAGAGCACTCCCCATGGTAGATGCGAAAGAAAATGCAAAGGGATGCAACATCTCTTCGCTGTGCCAATGAATCGAGCCGATCGGAAAGGGCTCGGTCGTCGACAATTCGAGCCGCTCTGCGTTGGATGCGGTCAAGTGGAAGGAGCTGGCACTGGGGAGCCTCTGCCCAGAGATGGGAACAGTATTCCATGTGAGGCCGAACTTGCGCCTTGTAAAGTAGCAGGCGGTGTGCCGGCATGAAATACTGTGCCGCACTGCTGAGCACGCCAAGCTTTTTAGAGGCAAATTTGGCCTTCCCTTCCAAGTGACCACGAAACTGCACGTCACTCGATATGTCGACTCCGAGGATACCGATACTGGCTGAGGCAAGAAGGGGAGTGCCTTGAAACTGAGGAGATACGACAAAGGGGTTCTTTTTAGCGGTAAACGCGCAAACTTGTGTCTTCTGAGGATTAAATTGGACTAGATTTA